ATTGATAATTGAAATTGAGAATTTAAATTAAGAATTGGAATTGATATTTGAAATGAAAATTGAAATTGAGAATTTAAATTATGAATTGAAATTGAGAATTGAAATTAAGAATTAAAATTGAGATTTGAAATTGAGAATTGAAATTGATAAATGAAATTGAGAATTGAAATTGGATTTGATATTGAGAATTGAAATTGAGAATTGAAATTGAGGATTGAAATTGCGAATTGAAACTTGAGATTTGAAATTGAGATTAGAAATTGATAGTTGAATTTGAGAATTGAAATTGAGATTTGAAATGGGAATTGAAATTGAGAATTGAAATTGAGAACTGAAATTGAGAATTGAAATTGAGAATTGAAATTGAGAATGTGAAATTGAGAATTGAAATTGAGAATTGAAATTGAGAATTGAAATTGAGAATTGAAATTGAGAATTGAAGTTGAGAATTGAAATTGAGAATTTAAATTGAGAATTGAAATTGAGAATTGAAATTGCAAGGATTAAGATAAGAGGAACGAGGTGACCATTGGATAGGAGCTTCTTGACCTTGGAGAACAAACAACAAATTAACAATCAAAAGTAAGCTGACAAATTACTTGAATCAATAAACTTTATGAGACTTGTTCTCAAAAATAGTCTGACAATGACATCGCACGTTTCCGCTGACTAGATGCCTTCTAGATTTTAACACTCGATGTAATGACCAAATTTTCAAAAACCAGCTCCAAAAACTATGCCTGATTTTGAAATATGAAGTAAAGAAAATGATCTTTTAAACAAACAAAAAATCACTTTGAGGAACTCATTTTGGCACAATCGAAAACATTCAATCGGACGATAATATAACATTGAAAAATGGTGAGGAGTCTTATAACCGAATTCGATTAAAAAATGGATCGCTTACGGGCTTCGGATTTTACTTCAATTTATCGATAATTGGTTTTGTCGGGCAGTATATTGCAAGCGATTATATAATGTCCTGCAAGGGAAAGTGTTTATAAGAAACGTTAGATGAAAATGAGAATATTCAGCAATTACAGAAGCAGTGCAACCGAAGAAATCAAAAGTAAAAGCTTTAAAAATAACGTGGATAATGCGAGTATACACGGCGATTCGCCGTCGTACCAATAAGTTCGATGAAAAGGGAGGTAACGTCGTCAAGTAGATTGACTTCTGTCATAACTGCATAGAAGGTTATGTTCGGCTCTTGAAAAAAGTAAACCACGACATTAAATAGAGTCAGTCAAATCGGTGCTTACAATAGCACGCAGTCAACGACAATTTGACAACGTTACATTCTAGAAACGTCTCGTATTCCCGACAACGTGCGATGAGTGAACCGTCAACAAAACAATACGGACATCATTTATATCACTCTATGTCGCAGACCAAATATACGTGGAAATCTGTATGACAAAATTTGAACAATCCCTTTTCTTCAACGAAGGCACCGAAAGTTAATCTACTTTACGCCATTTTTATTTAAAGTTAGTTCGTTTATTTATAGTCATAGAACTGGTTCTTGTAGCTTATTCTGCTAATAGCAGAAAAATACTAATTTTTGGTAATCGCCATGAAACCAACTTTACTGAGCAAACATTTTTATTGCATAATTAAGATTTGAACTGGAATGCATGTAGATTAGAACTACTGAGTGGTAAGCACGATTCCCATAAAAAATATTCCAACCCAAAAAACGTACTAATACCGCAGAAAAATGTAAAATATTGTATACGTAGATCTCAATTCTGAAAAAATGATAAATCAAGTGAAATCTTTTGAAAGATGCCCGAATGTTCCTCGTCATTCGGAGCGTTCTTTGTTACCGCAGATTTTAAGTTTTCTCAGACATAGACAGAGAAAATAGCTTCCTCGATTTTTTTCTCCATTCTTATTAGGGAAAAAACTGCAAACATTAAAATTAAAGCCATCCTGTATAATAATTACTTTACCCGCCAGGCTCACTATTTACTTTTACTGATAGAATAAAAACTGAATGAAAGTGAAATATATATGTCAAATTTCTCTCTGACCACTTTATTTTTATGTAGCTGGGTACGGTTCCTTTTTTAATACGCTTCACTAGGTATTCATTAACGTTAATTACTCGGATTTGTCTAATTTTGTTGATAAATTGGATATGTTTTTTCAACAGAAATGTACAGGCTCATATTCATGATGCCGCCATTTTTCAGGTCTGCACTCATCAGCCTGCTAGCTGGGACTGCCCCCTCCAATTGCAAAAAATTCAAATCCTCCCCCCCCCGCTCCTCAATTTTCAATTGCCAGCAATAAATATAACGATTTTTCTATATCTACACATATTTTTTTGAATTTTGTAATCACCGAATGTACCACCCATTTCATCTAGCGTTTAATTTGTGTAGCTCCGCCTATGACAGTTCTCTGAATCCTTCGTCAAGTAGATTCACTCAGTACTTATATATTATATATTATCCAGCTAAATTCCAGCTGAGCTCCGTCCATAGCATCAAGCGTGGTGCGTTTCTCGGCCACTCCTGTGTTCGTAACTCCATAAAAAGAAGTAGCCGGTAATTGCGGACTTGATCTCCGATCAAGTTACGTGTGTTCATAAAATATGCTTTTCATTATAATTTTTACCGTGAGGCGATTAGAAAAAGAATTTTAATAACAGCTTTGGATCGACTACTTTTGCCTTCGTCATTTCCTACATTATGATTATGGGAAGTATGTCAAGCGCGAAAATATTAATGCTATACAGAGTGATGCAAGAGCGTGAATTACAGGATTATTTGAAAATGTTTAAAACTGTTTTGTTCGGTTTATTATGTCAAAAATTAATTAAAATCGGATAGACATACGTATAGGTGTTTACCTTTTCTTGTCACTCGGTATATTTGCATTTTGTTTAACATTTTCACCTCCCCCCCCACCCAAAACCCTTGCTACCCCACCCCCGGTGAGATCAAGTTAACTCATACCTCAATAAATATTAATAATAACAATAAAATATTCTACAGATCAGAAACAACCTAATACCCGTTAATATATATTTTTAGAGGAAATAAAAGCGAGAGTCAGAGACGATCTGCAATGTGGAATAACCAACTCCGATAGGGTCAATGATGCAGATGAGGGTCAACTAATAAACTATAGACTCAACTGAATGAAGAGAAAGATAATAATAAGCAACGAAATTAATTCTGGATTCCAAAAAGCGATAGCACAATACAACGGATCAGGTCTTTTACTATATAAGGCTGGTCACTCCTTAACGGGGCTCCTACAATCACGAGCACCATCTGCTGAGGTAACGGGAAAGGAAACGAGGGTGGGCTGGTCTTAGACGGTCGTCGGCTCTACTTTAAAAGAGGAAAGGATGGCTGCGGGTGCGTACCGAGGTTAATTTTTATACTAACAGAGTCGGATTTCGATTAGCGATCTAGCCTGTAAATCGTTTCCTATTTTGGTACTCAGCAAGTGATCATTTAGTATTGTTCTAGCCTTGTTACTGTTCGTCGATATTGTGTTATTGAATTGTTCTGTTGTACTCTTGTTGGTACAAAAATTGTCAATATCCTTAATGCAGAGATCTTACCATCGTACTCATACAATGCTTTGACTTCCACGTAATAGCTGTCCATGGTTGGTACGTTTAGTTAATTATCTGTGCATCACTCTGTATGGCGTAGCTTATGTTACTTGGATGCAAACCTTCATTATTAATAATAATGATCCGATATAGAAAAACTAATTAAATCTTCCATCTTGTACAAGAAGAGGAAAAACTGAAAGTACGAGTTTTGGATTATCATCATGACTGTTTCCTCAACACATCAGCCTGGCTTTCACGGACAAAAAGCATACGACTAAGTAATGAAAAGTGACGTCAAGCAGGTTGACTCAGGATTTCCTGCTCAACGTCGTCATCAGTTCATAAAGGACTAAGTCTGCACCCTCTGAGAAGAAAATAGGGTGTGAGAATGTACGATAGAGCAACTAAAGAGATCAAGCCAGTCAAACGTGCCCATACAATTAGTACATAGGTTCCTAGGTCAGTGGCGTGGTAAGTGAACTGAAGGTAAAGGTATACAAAAGTTGCTTAAGCATTTTTAACAACGACAACGAACGAAAACAATTTTAAGTCCTTGAAAGTAATAATCAATTACGTATAAGTACCGCTTCACGTATTGTCTATATTTCTGTGATATTGAGAATGACAGTGTACGAATACTCATTATCATGCCGGAAAAAGTTTCGGATGTGTTTGGAACATGTCCTCTAATAATATCCTACGAAGAATGGTAATCATAGTAAATTATTGTTCTGAAAGAGCTACGTATAAGTTAGGTAATAAATGAAATGGCGTCGAGTAGGTGGACTCTGCACTTTAGTTGGAAGCGTATAACTATATTAACCTCAAAAAATCCATCAACCCCAACCCCTCAATTTATAACATCTGCAATAATTTTCCTGAAAATGATCGGGGGTCTGTGAAACGTCAAAAACGCAGTGTTAACGTTTTTTTATACTCTGAAATTTCTCAAAAATACTTTAATAAAACATTCAACTTGTTAAACCAAGGTACAGTAATGTTTATTGAGAGATCGGAAAATTTTAACTGTTATCATGTTCAAATTGTGATCATTCAAGTATTGCTTGTTCACTTCGTTAGCAGCTTTCTCTCAATTTCATTACTATTTATATTTGTTATTATACCCTTGGTTTTTACTCTTCCTGGCCGGTGATGACATCTTGAAAAACTAATAAAACACTGTCAAGATTTCTAATCCTTAACCATGAAAAGTTTTTTCTGTTCGTAATATCGATATATATATTTTGTGTACAAGTCATCTAAATAAATAACAAACATCCGTTGAAATCATTAAATCTCGCATAAATTACGAGCAGAATAACAAAAGTTTGAGAGCACAATATATGCATATTAGATAAGATAGCAATGCATAAATATTCAAAATACTGGATTAAAGTGTTATTTAAAACAGATGAACCTTGTGATAAACAATGGATTATCGTTTCCGATCTTTAGGAAAATTTTAGGTACATTAAATAACATACTCCTGTAATTATCAAGTATTAAAAAAGCCTATAAGTCTGATGTCACGTTTGTTGACCAAATAACGAAACCAGTCACCAATTTAAGAACTGATGATGGGATTTTTACGAGGTACCATCTGAACAGGTGTTGAATAATTTGTGAGTACTGTATTCGAAATTTGAAACCTTGCTTGCCAAAACAGAGTTAGCTACAAACACGTCAAAACACTGAGTAAGTATAAAACTCAGCGACTTGGTCATCGAGGTACTACCTTACGTAATTAGTAGATCGATGTTAAATTTATATTCTGAACGCTTTTTGAGACGGACTCAAATTGTCACAATTGACCATTTTGTCAACGATTATTGGTACTGCTTGTCAGACGGAAGTACCACCTACGCAATAATAGAAGGAAAGCGATACACTACGATATCCAACCAGCGAGAAAAAAATGCTTGTAAAAAAAATAATCATCAGTACAGTAATTTACAAATTTAGAGGAAGTAGTACCTACACGATAGAGGAACCATAGTATGTTGAATTATTTGTGACAGACAATGTTTGACATGGCCCTAATAGCTACAGAAAATCTAACATTAACGAAAATAGTACCTACGCAATTACAAAATTGTCCAAATCAACCGTTTTGTCACGGACTCATGTTACCACCCTTCAAGTATCTCCAGAAAAGCAGTACCTACGCAATTTTTGTGACCAACGATATTCGAAAAAAGCGATCCAAATCACATTGCATATATTTAAAAAATCACCGTTCGGTTATTGACCGTTGGTACCACTTCTTAAATATGTTGATGGAAGTAGTACCTAAACAATTATTGGATCACCGATAAATCTATGTGACCCGCGATATTCCAACAAAACAACCCTAAAGATTACAAAACTATGAATATCCACTAATTAGTCACACAAAACAGGTACTACCTCTTATTTTGGAGAATAGAGACGAATATAGTACCTACGCTATAATCTAGCCATAACACCACACCCCGATGGAAGTTATTAGAAAAACAGCCCTAATTGCAGAAAATATAAAAATTTGATCATAGGTACTACCCTTCGTACGAAGACGAAAGTAGTACCCACTATGATATGACTGCGGCGGACGATTTGTGAGAAAGGTGGTTCTCAATTACTGTAAAAAAAATAAAACCAACCAGTTGGTCACTGCTCTACTAACTTTTTGAAAAACATATCTGAAAGTACTACTCACGCAATTTCTCGAATGACTATAAAGCTTTGCAGGGATCGGCGATAAAAGCACGTCTAATGGTTGCAAAGGATCAGAACCGCTTTGCTCATAATTACTAACCTTTTAATAAGTAATCGAAGGTAGTACTCATGCAATTTTCGAATCGCTGAGAATTCTGATTGCCCCACAATATTCGGAAAGACCTACGTTATAATCGAGTCATATCACCACACCGCGATAAAAGATCTGTTAGAAAAACAGCCCTAATTGCAGAAAATGCCAAAATTCGTTCATAGGTACTACCATTCGTGCAGAGACGAAAGTAGTACCTACTACGTATGTATTCGAACGATAACACTGCGGTGGACGATTTGTGAGAAAGGTGGCCTCAATTACCGTGAAAAATAAAATCAGCCATTTGGTCACTGCTCTACTATTTTAAAAACGTAATTGAAAGTACTACCCACACAATTCCCCGAATGAAAGTAAAGCTTTGCTGGGATCTGCGAGAAAAGCTGTTCTAATGGCAGAAAAAAATCAGAACTGCTTTGCTCATAAATACTGACCTTTTAATAAGTAAACGAAAGTAGTACCCACGCAATAATCGAACGAAAGTAAAACTTTGCGACGGCGGTCGATCTGCAGCCCTAATGGGTCACTGTGTCACGACGCATCTCGCGCGCGGCAGCACTTTCGCTTACAGGCAGTACCCGAATCACCAAAGAGACGCGGAAGATACGAACCAACGGGTAGGTAGTACCACGGCACCACAACGAGCTTGTCTATACAATTCGGCGATCGTACCCGACGTGGTGAATAGAGTAGACCGCGAGTCGCCCTCCCACCTGTGCTTAGTGGTACTTCTATCCAAGTGGTACCGATGCATCGCCGGGGAGAGTATCAAGGATTCTTACGGTTTGCCTAAGGTGCATGAAGCTAAATTGAAAGCACCATTATAAATTTGACGTTTTCTACTAAATGGTACTTCTAAGTGATACTATTGCAACGTCAGGGCAGTTCGAACGGGCCTGCTGTGCTGCAATACAAGCGGTACTGGCGCAACATCAGAAGTACTACCAATGATTTTAAGATCTGGGATCTGGTCAGGGGTAGATTAAGTTAAATTGAAGGCCTAGCGATATTTTGTTGCCTTTGGTATCAAGTTCATGCTGTGCAAGTGGTGCTTCTGTCTAAGAGGTACCAGCGCATTGATGGGGGGTAGTGGAATTTTTACAGTACTGCAGTAGTGATACATCGTCAAGGAGCAGTTAAGGAGGATTTGTGAATTAGGAATGAGGTTGATTAAGTTAGGTTCGTTAGGTAGATCGTTTTCCTTGAATTCAGATTGATCCTCGAGAGGTACTTCTACCAAGGTGGTACCGATGTATAAATAGTCTGGAGTGGTACTTTGTGAGTTTATGGTGAATGTCATTTTTAAATTTTTTGTTTTGTACCCAATCGTTCTATTCCGTGCATCGTTGGGAAGCAGTACCAAGAACTTTTACCGTTTTACTATTAAGTACCGTTATGCAAGCAGTGTGATGCATAGTCGGGGGTAGTACCGAGGATTTTCGTATCTGAAATGTGGTTGGACAGGTTAGATTGAGCACAACGATGCCATGTACTTTGAATTTGAAGTTATGTTCAAGTGGCGCTTGCATCCCAGTGGTACCGGTGCATAGCCAGGGAGTACCAATGGCTTCTGTATTTAGACTGAAGTTGATCAACTCATTTGAGAGACACAACAACAGATTGCTTTCTTTGAATTTGAAGGACTGTCCTAGTATACGAGTCCATCGTTAACGGGTAGTACCGAGGACTTTTGTATTTGCAATTAAGTTGATCAATTGGTAATACTGTTGACAATTTTCTTCAAATGGTAGTTCAAACAAGATGGTACCGATGCATAGTCGGGATCAGTACCAAGGATTTTGTACTTGGATTGCAGGACACACTGAGCATACTGGTACAATTTCAAATTAGAAGTTATTTTCAGTCAGGTAGTACCAGCGCGACATCGAGGAGTAGTACCAAGGGATTATGAAATCAGTTTGAAGTTGATTTAAATAGTTTGGGAGTACAGGAATAGATGGTTTCCCTTGATTGCAAAGTTCCAGAGCAATTGATACTGCTATGCAAGTGGTACCGGTGTATCTTTGTAGAGTAATACCGATATTTTTTATTTAGAATCAGGCTGCTCAAACGAGACTAGACACAACGGTAGATCATTTTCTTTGAATCTGGTTTTATGTTCACTTGGTACAAAGAGCTAGAGCAACTGGTACTGCTAACCAAGTGGTACCAGCGCATCGTGGTGGAGTACTACGAGAGTTTTTGTCTGAATGACGTTGATCCAGTCAAGTTGGGCACAATCATAGATTGTTTTCTTTGAACACGAATATATCTTCAAGAGGTACTCTGCCAACAAGCTGGTACCAACTCATAGTTTCAAGTAGTAGTACCAAGAATTTGTTTATTTTGTATATCATTTTCTTCGAATTTGCAGTACCAAATCAACGTATTTAATATTCAAACGCAGTTGTTGAATGTATATATTTCGATACGACAATGAAAATAAAAAACATTTCGGATATACCGTGTGCACTGTCCGCAGCCTTGATTACTTTTTTATGTTACACTATGAGTTCATCATACTCCATAAACGAAATTATGGGTTCATGGAAAGTCGTACGTGGAAGAGATTGGTCGGAATATAAATGCATAATGATTAGCTACATTGAAAAAAAGGTCAAACAAAGCATAGAGTATTGGATCACTTTAGACATATGCAGTACCAGTCAATCTGCTTCACGATGTGCAAGTGCAAATGTGGTACGACTCTCGTACCAGCGCGAAAACGGCGTTAGCGTAACCCGCTTCGCTCCTGCAGAAAACGACTGTGACGTAGCAGGTACCGCCGCCGTCAGGCGTGCAGCGCGTATAGTAGTACCGAGTGTGTGCCGGAAAGGCCGGTTGGCAATCTCGCAGATTGATACACAACATTATCTTGTAAATTTAGAAGCGGAGGTGAATAGCAGCATAAAATTGACGCGGCGCGTTTGGAACGTACTGGTTATTTCTATGGTCAATCAAAGTACGATTAGTACGATCCCGTTCACCTTTCTGTGGGCGCATAAATGTCTGATCTCAGTTACGACAACTGTTTCTTGGATCGAGAGGGCAATATTAATCTACTACGAATCATGCTATTACGTCTGGGTTTTCATACATTTCTTTTATATATAAATAGTCTCTTGTTGGACTTCAATCTATTGTTTTCCTTCATGTAGGCAATCGATAAATATTTTCCAACTCTCCTGACTTCCTGAAACTTTCCTGTGGAGTCTTGGATTCTAAATGGAGATGTTTGGAGTTTGCGATGTTTATGTTGCACTTTTGCCTTACAAGACAAGCGCTACTTGATACCTCGAAGATGTCGATGTTTATAGCTTTATAATTTTTAAAAATTGCGTAATAGATTGGTCAGTTGTCCAAACAAAATACTGAAGACCTGGACACATAAATAAAACAATTAACAATTAACTTTGATGCATCTTATATTCTAAATATGTGAGGCGACTGAAATGTTGGTGAAGTTCTCCTCAAAGTCAAATATGTGTCTGTTATATGTAGTAAAAACAACAGTTTTACCTGCGTGACTCCCGCCACAGCCTTGGCTTGTGTCTGCCTCATGTTGACGGACGCTGATTGACAGACTGGAGTCCAAAACTTAAACACACAAACACTCACGATCCAACGCACCAACACGATGACGCTCTGATGACCAAAAAGTGATGACGCACTGCACTTATTCGGCTTGAATTCACAAAAAAGTTGACGCACTGTCTTTGTCTGGGTCTAGGACCTAATGAACGATGCCGTACGGCCCTTTCAGGTCCAAGAAGTCCTTACCCAAAAAATGTCCAGAATATAGTTGACGCACTGTCTCTGTCGGGGACTTTGTAGTCAATGAAAAATAACGCACTATCCGTGTCAGTTTTAAGAAAGGTGACGCACTGTCCTTTAACCAGATCGAAATACCAAATTGGAGATGACGCACTACACGTATCCTACTTTAAGATCCATAAGAAAGTTGACTAAATAAACGATGACGCTCTGTAGGTTTCTGGCTTCAGTGTCAAAAAAAGGTGACGCACTGTACTTATCGGTCTCGAATGGTCAAAAAGTCATGACGCACTGTACTTATTCGGCTAGGATGTCCAGAAGAAAGTTGACGCACTGAGTCATTGTACCCCACTGAGAAATGACGCACTGTCTGTGTCAGGTTCAAGAAAGATGACGCACTGTCTTTAAACCAGATCGAAATACCAAATTAGAGATGACGCAGTGCACTAATCTCACTTGAAGTTGAAGAAAGTTGACGAGAGTATTTGGTCTTCTTGGATGACTAAATAAACATGACGCTCCGCCCTTTTCTGGCTCAAGGGTCCAAATATAAAGGTGACGCACTGTACTTATCCGGCTCCGATGATTAAAAAACTGATTGCTAACGCACTGTACTCGAAGAAACAAAACAAAGTTGACGCACTTTTCCCTTAGACGACCGCACTGTTTTTAGCTGGTTGGAGGACGCACTGCACTCATCCTACTTGAAGATCCATAAGTAGACGCACTGTATTTGACCTTCTTAGATGACGCTGTCCTTTTTCGGCTCAACGGTTCAAGAAGAAAGGTGACGCACTGTACTTATTCTGCTCAAAGGACCAAACATACGAGGACGCACCAAATGGATGGCGCACTGCTTTTGTCTAGTTACCAGAACGAAAAGTGCGAAGAGAGTTATTATACAGCGCTAATGAACGAGCTCACTAGCGTTCTTACACGGCTCAAAGGGCGCAGCACGAACACGCACTGCCCGTGTCCGATTCAGAGGAACAAACACACAAATGTATACGGATCTTATGCGGTTCGAATGACCAAATAGAAGAGTTGTTTAATAGCCATCGAGACACGTCGTCATGACGGATTGGCGTTAAGGCCAAACGGGCCAGGCGGCGCGGAACGGGCCCAACGATAGGTGGACTCGATGATACTGCCAGCATCTCGCGGATCATCTCACGACGTCGAGATCGGATGCTTAACGGGCTTTCGTACGAGGTGATGTGGAAAAATGCCTAAAAGGGCATTCATCGTCTTTCTCGTCACTCTATGGTGCCTATATTTCTATTGGAAGAAGGCATGGGAAATAAAAGTTGTATTGAGACGATATACGTTTTATTATTCAATATCTTCATTATACAAACTCCTCATCTACGACACTGCTATGTTCAGAAGACGGTGCTCCGAACTGATCGTTCTCGTGCATCACGTATTTTTTCTGCTCCAACGTACCTTCGGTTACGTACATCGACTTTGCCCGCATTGCAACCTTCTTTTCTTCAACTGGGCATGTCAAACATTGGCAGTACCTAAGCAGCAAAAATAAATTGAAACTGTTCGTTGCATAAGACGAAAAATCAGAAAAATGTTGTAGTCAGGGGACAAATGTTTTTGATCACCAACTAATTGAAGCTTGAGGATGGCTTTTTTGTTCTGTTAGTGGCACTGCTCGATGATCAGCTGAACAGATCCTGATTATCAAGATCATGAAATGACTGTCACCACCATTCTATTTCTAGTTACATACAATTTGCGACCACGATTATATTGGTCTATTAGTTATTTTTCAGCAGGTTCTTCTTTTTGTTCAACCTATGTTTATTATTTTTTCCTCTTTTCCACGTTGTTTGCAAAATTGCACAACTATTGTTTTGTTTTTTTTTCTTTTCGTCGTTTGCTTTTTAATTTTGATATATTTGGAAAAGGACAAAATAACATATGTAGAAAAATGCGACAAATGTTACGAGCTTTGAAAAGATCCATCTAGTAGAGACCTTTAACGTGACCTTGACTTTGACCTTCAATCTCATCTGGAGTTTTCTTAAGCCGAAACCCCTATTTTAAGCTCCGAAAATCGTAAGAGCGAGAGTTTGTTCAGGTATGTTCATGACCTTGGCTATGACCATCAAGGTCATTTGAAGATTGAATGGATTTTTAACGGGAAACACATTCTTGAAATGTAAACTGCGGGAAATTTTAAGATTTCTCTGATGGTGACCTTGAACGTGACCTCGACTATGTCCTTGAGGCTTATCTGAAGGTCAAGATAGCTTTCTTAAATGAAAACCGCTATTTTTGACACCGAACATAAAAAAGCAAGAACATTTATGTTCAAGTATGTCTATGACTTTGACTGTGACCTTCCAGGTCATTTGAAGGTCATGAGCTTTTTTAAATGAAACCACTTTATGACACTGAAAATGTTTCGTTAAAGCATATCTTTTCCCAAGACCTTGACCATGACCTTCCTGGGTATTTGAGGGTTCCAGAAAGCTGGAAAAGAACAAAAAATTTCGAAAATATGCGAAAAATTTTGTGAAATTTGAAAAGATCCATCTAATGGTGAGCTGTAACGTGACCTTGACTTTGACCTTCAATCTCATCTGGAGTTTTCTTAAGCCGAAACCCCTATTTTAAGCACCGAAAATCGTAAGAGCGAGAGTTTGTTCAGGTATGTTCATGACCTTGGCTATGACCATCATGGTCATTTGAAGATTGAATGAATTTTTATCGGGAAACACATTCTTGAAATGTAAATTGCGGGCAATTTTAAGATTTATCTGATGGTGACCTTGAACGTGACCTCGACTATGTTCTTGAGGCTTATCTGAAGGTCAAGATAGCTTTCTTAAATGAAAACCGCTGTTTTTGACACCGAAAATAAAAAAGAAGAACATTTATGTTCAAGTATGTCTAAGACTTTGACTGTGACCTTCCAGGTCATTTGAAGGCCATGAGCTTTTATAAATGAAACCACTTTTTTGACACTGAAAATGTTTCGTTGAAGCATATCTTTTCCCATGACCTTGACCATGACCTTCCTGGGTATTTGAGGGTTCCAGAAAGCTGGAAAAGAACAAAACATTTCGAAAATATGCCAAAAAATTTGTGAAATTTGAAAAGATCCATCTAATGGTGATCTGTAACGTGACCTTGACTTTGACTTTCAAACTCATCTGAAGGTCAAGACAGTTTTCTGAGTCGGAAACCCCTATTCAAGTATGTCAATGACCTTGGTTATGACCGTCAAGGTTATTTTTAACGGGAAACATATAATTTTGAATTCCAAAAGTGTGAATTGCGTACAATTTTAAGTCATCCTATGATGACCTTGAATGTGACCCTGATTATGTCCTTCAGGCTTATCTGAAGGTCAAGATAGCTTTCTTAAATGAAAACCGCTATTTTTGACACCGAAAATAGAAAAGCAAGAACATTTATGTTCAAGTATGTCTATGACTTTTACTGTGACCTTTCAGGTCATGAGCTTTTTTAAATGAAACCACTTTTTTGACACTGAAAATGTTTCGTTAAAGCATATCTTTTCCTATGACCTTGTCCATGACCTTCCTGGGTATTTGAGGTTTCCAGAAAGCTGGAAAAGAACAAAACATTTCGAAAATATGCGAAAAAATTTGTGAAATTTGAAAAGATCCATCTAATGGTGAGCTGTAACGTGATCTTGCCTTTGACTTTCAAACTCATCTCAAGGTCAAGACAGTTTTCTTAGTCGGAAACCCCTGTTCAAGTATGTCAATGACCTTGGTTATGACCATCAAGGTTATTTTTAACGGGAAACGTATAATTTTGAATTCCAAAAGTGTGAATTGCGTCATCTGATGATTACCTTGGATGTGACCCTGATTATGTCCTTCAGGCTTATTAGAAGGTCAAGACTGCTTTCATAAATGAAAACCCATACTTTTGACACCGGAAATAAAAAGCAAGAACCTTTATGTTCAAGTATGTCCATGACCTTGTCTATGAACATCACGGTCATTTGAAGATCAAATTAGTTATTAACGGGTAACATATTTTTGATTCTTGAAATGTACATAGCGGACAACTTTTAGTTCAAGTATATACTTGCCAGTGAACCTGAACCAGAGCCTTCAAGGTCATTTCAAGGTGAGGTAAATTTTCAGCTGCTATCAAAAAGTGAAATAATGAAATTAATTCATTGCATTGAAATATTGGATAAATGCATATGACCAGAGTAACTATTGTATTACTTTGAGTTTTGGATTTCTTTCCACGTTTTTTTTTTTTTGAGAATGCTATTTTTTCCGGTTTACTTGCCTGTGAAGCTTGATCTTCAAAAGTTCGTTTTCAGCTTTTAAAAACTCCTTTTCTTCCAAAATGGCAAACCTGGACGCGTCTGCCTGTCCCACTCTTTGCCAAAAATACTCCATGTCAGCGATATATTCCGGAATATAATCGATGGCCACTCTTTCCTTGCTGGTTGTGCAAGGGAAAGGCAGGATCTTTTCCTCCTGAGTCTCCAGTTTTCTACAAACTGCAGCCACGTGTAGGATATGTTCACCTACGACGTACGTTTACGATCATTTTTAAGTCAACCGCATGTACGGTTTTTTGTAAGAGACAAGTATTAGGACATCTAGCAAAACACAATCGTTCCCAAAATATCTGAAAACATTTGTTTCAAAAATTAAAATTTCACGCCCTCTAACGGACAAACGAAGCGCATAGGCGCCATGTAGGTCGTTAGATACCCTAAACCGCATCCGCCGAGAAATGTGCACATCATTGACAATCAATACATAATCTGGCAATATGTTGCTCACCCTTTGTTTGCAGCTTTTCCAGAGCCTGCTTGGTAGCGTCAAAGTTTATCGTCAAAGTCTGCAATTTCTGAAAATCGACCGCTCTATCAAGAATAAGCTTTCTTTTCAACAGATTGAAAGCGTTGAGGAAGAACGCGTGTTCGTTGTCCAGATCCGAGACTCTCCTGCCCAACATTTTCTGAGACTCCCTCAGCCTGATCTTCAACGCTCTGATCCGGTCCGTGCTCTTCCTGATATGGTCAAGCTGGGCTTGCAGGATTTTTTGCATGGCTTCGTCTCGAACCTTCAGTTCATCGTGGAGTTTTTGCTTTTCTTTTACCTGCAAATAGGAAATATCCAGAAAAGTATTTTTCCTCGCCTTAGGTGAATATTGATAACAAAAAACAATTAAGTAAATAAACTTTACGCCCAAGAAACTTAAACATTTATTATGTTCGATTCCTCACGTGATGCTGATGTGCGTTCAGAAAATTCCTGGTGTCAGCATCGAGGGCTATGTGAACCTTCTCCAATACGCCCCGAAGTCTGGATATCAACTGGCTACCTTTCGTCTCTTCCTCCTCTAGCTTAGAGAAATATTCAGCTCTGACTTGCTGCTTTTGCTTTTTCCGAGCCATTTCCACATGTATACCACGGTTTTCAAGCAATTTTCCTCTCGTGGCGTCTTCGACGTCTTTCCTGTCCGCTGTACTCGTTGATTTCGTCATCAGGCGCAAAGCGCCGTCGTCGTCGTTTATTTTGCGACGTTATCCTGTCGTAACTGTTATTTCTTCAGTTGCAGAGCGCAAATGTTTTATTTGCGCTGTCGAATGGATCAGGTTCGGTCTTTCAAAGTTTTGCTAGCGCCATGGTTTTTTTTAAGTAAGGATTGTTTGTATTCGGAAATAGCAGTCAGAACAACTTCAGATCATTTCCTGTTACACTGTGTTGTCAGTCTATTGATTTGCTTTTGTTACCATGCCACAATACCTTGGCAGGAGAACAAGATACAAATGAAATTAAAAAAAAATACTGTGCTACCAATTACTGTGAATAAGAGTTGATTCAATAATTTTTTTTCATCACTAACAAAACGGTTCCCCGTTTGTGCATCTCTATCAAATTCTACCTTTCTTGCAGCTTCGTAAGCTGATGTTCATTGTCAGCTGCCAGTTCTTCGAGCCTTTCCCGAAACATATCTATAAGTTTGTCGATGTGCTCGACATGATTTTTGTAGTTAAGCATATACTGTTGTTCCGCATCTCTTATTTCGTCCATTAGAAGTGAGATGGTGAAATCCTTGCAGTCGATGACTCTTTCGAAGTTGTTCCACGCGAACTCCAAATCGTCTCGCATCCCTGGCAGGGCTTTTTCTGTGGTTTCAAAAAATTCATTAAACAAGTTAGCAATTTGCAACACTGAGAGCAGTGGTTGTAAAAAGGAAACTTTTGAAAGAAAATGTGTGCGTGTTGTTTTTTCTGAAAGCTAGTAACTCATCCCGACATATTTTTCGTGACCTGTGTTGCGTGAAACCGCATCATAGTCGATCTACTTGACGCCACTTATTTAATTGTCAATCAAGCGCGCGCTCAACGTACGGTCTGCGACTCGGTACGAGTTTGGTCGTACTGCTTTTTGGTCCACTGTTAGCAGAAAAAATTCAATAACGTCATTCGTAAAACCGTGGATAAGATTTTGAAGTTGTTTCACCTATAAGAAGTTGTCTCCATTCTTTCTCGTGTCTCTGGTAGGTTACCGCGCTGTACTTCAACTCTCGCGTTAGCACGTCCCTTTTGAGTTGTTTCTTTTTCTCGGTCGCTTTTCTCTTTTTTTCGGCTTTTTTCTCAGCCTTTAAGGCCTTTTTCTCTTCGGGTGTGACGGGCATGTTGAATAAATTCTGGCAGTTGCCAAAAAATAGGTCAAAACCAGCTCAACTCAGTACAGCGAAGAACTTGTATTGAAGCTACTCTAAAAACTAGAATTCTGTAGTTTATACTTATTCCACTTATAACTTCGGGAACCTGCTCACTTATTTTTGAAAAAAATAAAGGGGTAGCCGGGTTTTTTATTATCCCTATTTCTTATATTGAATGATTGATGACCCACAACACAAATTACTGTAAGTCCGGTTGCCAGTCACCATAAATATATTTAATAGAGATCGGCTGTACGAAGCACAGTATCGAACTATCGATTATTTATAGTTTGTGTTGCCAGGTTGTATAAAATTTCACCAGATCCGAGTTCTTGTAAGTTCGTTCCAACAGAGATTGTTGACAGGTTACTTCTGAAAATTGGTGTTGCGGCGGTGAGTTATAAAAATGTCCTAATTGTCGCGTTTTTGTATATCTTATACCCTCGTGCTCAAGCAACACATTTTGAAACCATACGAAATCTCAATTTCCGCCATTTTCTTGCTATATGTCGCTCTTTGGATCTGTGAAATTTTTGTAAGCTGGAGAAACCGGCACGTATCTTGAAAAGTGACATCTGCAAACACATAACTGTCAAAAAATTAACTTATGTTATGTGCACTCTAATCCTCAGATAAGCAAATCCTTGACTAGCTCCTTCTACCCAGGTTGAATTTCTTGCTAATAATTGAACTTTTACATAAAAGATTGGTTTGCACTGTAGTTTAATAACTGCAGTGTTCAGTAGTGACAGTAACTATCATTATCGCTGTTGGCTGTCACTAAACCGGCTACAGAAACAAACCTTCGGTAATCTGGCAACGCCGTCAATACTTTTCCAACAGTATCGATTTTCAAAGTATCGAAGTTTGTACCCCTCATCTCTACTCATGTAACGTTTTGACGTGTCATAAGTTTTATTATTTGTTGTTTTTCTCATATCATTCAATTCGTTTGAAACTTGTGATTTGGATAATTATCACAGAAGCAAGAAAATGTCACATAAAGAGTGGTGTGCCGAAACATCGGCAAAACTGCTACAGGAAGAACAGAGATTTCCAACGCTCAATGAAATTAAAGACTACATGATTACTGCGTCTCCATCGGAAGCTACCAAAGTTGCTAACAATCTGGAGTTACCTCTGATCTTCGACTGCCTCAATGATTCCAACAAGTAAGTCAATCGTAATTAGATCATAAAGTAGAAGATTGTATCGTGACATTGCGTTTTTTGGGGCCAAATTCAGGGCATTAGAAAGTTGTTTATTCTAACCTCAAAACTGCTGAGTTCATGCATCGAGCGATTTTAAAAAACTACAAAGGCTCAAAAGTGCCAGATGAAACCTTATGGGTTCTAAGTGATGTCCCTAGAACAGGGTTAATTAAAATAATCAAGACATCAGTTGTTGTCTCAGCTATCTTGCGAACTTTTTGCTAAAATATAAATTCGCTATTTTTCTGATTCTTGGCAGTCTCAAGAGTTAGAGGAGGATACATTTACTTATAATCATTGATCATTAGAGTGACTGTACAAAAATGATAGTTGATAAAAAATAATGTTGATTATAGAGAACAGGTTGAATTAGCGTGTGAAGTGTTGACAATGTGTATGAATCAGATGACCTTAGGGGAAAGCACAATGAAATATGACACTCCATTGGAAAGAGCATTAAACCATCCTTTTACCGAGGTCAAACTTATGGCTCTTAAGGTAAGGTTAAAAAACTCTCTGGGTATAGGATTTGATTTTGTTACAGAGCGACTTCATTAGGCTGAGTGAGAATGTATTATGAAATATTGGTAAATGTAACCACATTAATTTTTACAAATCACATAAAAAGGTGGACTCTTCTTACAGTTGCAATGTCCTTGGTTTTGTGTTATGTAATTCTAAAGAACTTTCTAAAGAAACTTGTAAAAAATTATACATGTTACTTGTGTCTTTGTTGGAGTATGGACCAATGATCTGGTCTCCCTATTATTTCAATGTCTAGCCCTGGAAAGAGTGGAGATTAAACTGATTAGGTTATGTTTCATATAAGAATTCCTTATGATTTTATATTATGTATATTGAACTTGAAGAGTTATGTCAAAGGTGTGTTCACAATGATTTATTGTTTGTCTTATAAATACTAACGATATAGGAATATTGGGCATCCCTTTATCTATATTTAAAAGCATTAGAGAACTAGATTTTGTTATTTGTTGTTAGCTAAAATTTTACTATTTACATTTGTTATTGGTTAGGTATTATCATATTTGAGTTTTATATACATATTTTTTGTAATGAGATTGATCCCTTATATATAAATAAATAAAAATTAAGCTCCTTTTACAGTAATCTAAAAAGATTCAGACAGGGCTCGGTTATAACCAAAAGGTTAAGAAAAAATAAGAGTATATCTACTGTACACAATTTTTTAAAAAGGTGGATGAGGTATTATTTATAAATATGATGATTACTGTAACAGTTTAAAAAATGGTGAATGAGTCCAATTTTCAAATTTTATAAATAATCCACCATTGGATCCACCATTTACAAAAAATGGTGTATCCAATTTGAAAAAAAAAGGTTAATGTAGTCATATTTAATAACCAGTGAATGAGATATAATTTAAAAATATGATGATTTCTGTCACACTTTAAAAAATGGTGAATGAGTCCAATTTTCAAATTTTATAAATAATCCACCATTTACAAAAAATGGTGGATCCAATTTAAAAAAAAGGTTAATGTAGTCATATTTAATAACCAGTGAATGAGATATAATTTAAAAATATGATGATTTGTCACACTTTAAAAAATGGTGAATGAGTCCAATTTTCAAATTTTATAAATAATCCACCATTTACAAAAAATGGTGGATCCAATTTAAAAAAAAGGTTAATGTAGTCATATTTAATAACCAGTGAATGAGATATAATTTAAAAATATGATGATTTGTCACACTTTAAAAAATGGTGAATGAGTCCAATTTTCAAATTTTATAAATAATCCACCATTGGATCCACCATTTACAAAAAATGGTGGATCCAATTTGAAAAAAAAGGTTAATGTAGTCATATTTAATAACCAGTGAATGAGATATAATTTAAAAATATGATGATTTCTGTCGCACTTTAAAAAATGGTGAATGAGTCCAATTTTCAAATTTTATAAATAATCCACCATTTACAAAAAAATGGTGGATCCAATTTAAAAAAAGGTTAATGTAGTCATATTTAATAACCAGTGAATGAGATATAATTTAAAAATATGATGATTTCTGTCACACTTTAAAAAATGGTGAATGAGTCCAATTTTCAAATTTTATAAATAACCCACCATTTACAAAAAATGGTGGATCCAATTTAAAAAAAAGGTTAATGTAGTCATATTTAATAACCAGTGAATGAGATATAATTTAAAAATATGATGATTGCTGTCCCAGTCTAAAAAAATGGTGAAAGTGGACCAATTTTCGAAAATGGCGAATGCAGTCCTATTTAATAAATGGAGGATGAGGCATAATTTAAAAATACGATTGCTGTCACACTTTAAAAAATGGTGAATGAGGTTCGATTTCAAAAGATGGTGAATGGGCATACATCAGTCTAATTTAAAAATTAGTATGCTTTATCTTTTCCATCCTGTTATGGATTAGATTGCGAATCGATTCGTAACTTTCAGGAAATTGAAAGAAACATTCGCAGAGAAGAAGTTCTCACAGACATGTGTAAAAAACACACTCTTCTAGTAGGAGTTGTAAGGTGCCTAGGAGACGATGACGTCGGCGTAGCGAAAAAAGCTATAGACATTCTGACCATTGTCGGCTTAACTGCGTCTGGTCTCAACGCGATATTGTCCAATCAGGTCATTGAACCATTGCAAGAAGTTATGGCTATCAGTGAGGTAGTCAGGTTAAGAGTATACGAGGTGAGCTTTTCAAATCCATTTAAGAATAACCTTCATCCGTACGAAATAGCGCTAGCTCGGTATTTCTTATGCCATAGTTTTTAAATAGTGTATGAGAATTGACACAATCAAAAGCTTTCACCTTTGACCTCGGGAAACTCTTATTTCAGTTAGTAATAAACATTGCCAAAGAATCGGAAACGAATTTCCACGCACTAGAATCGACAGGCATTATAAATCAAATCCTAGAAGAGCTGAACAATAGCGATGTGTTGCTCAGAATGAACATAGTGGAACTATTGACTCACTTTGGACTCACCAGGCATGGCTATAGGTTTCTGGAAAGTAGTGGAGTTCTCACCAAACTTTTTTCTTTAATAGACGTTCCTAACGATCTTTTGAACGTACAGCTATGTGAACCAGGTATGTTCATCAGACAAAATACATAATCTTCTACAGATCAAGTTTAAAACCAAGAATCTATTTTTGTTGAATGATTGAGGCTTCCATATTGTAATAATAAAGATTCTATTTTGTTTAAGATGTTCTGAACTTATTTTAGGTATACTGAAATTCTTTGGCAACATGGCGCACAAAAAACCGATAGAGATGCTTTCAAAATACCCGAAACTTTTCGACAGGGTGTTCTCAAACCTAGAAAGTGGCGATTTAACCGTAATAGGCGTTAGTTTAGACACTTTGGGTATCATCGGTTCAACTAATGAGGGAAAATGTGCTCTAAGCTCTACAGGTATTGTTTTGACAGCAAACATCCCGAGGTAGATTTGGTGTTGATTGGTGGTTGTCTTTTAGGCAATAAAATAACTTACGCGATAAAAACGATAGTGAAACTGCTGCCTTCCTTGCCTACCGAAGTAAGAGTGAGAGCCCTGAACTGTCTAGAAAGCCTGATAAGAGTGGCGGAAAGGAAGAACGATATGTTGCAGATCACTAGAAAGTGGTACCAGGCATTCGGAGATGAGCCTATGGAAGTCATTTTGAGATATGCGAAAAATCCTTTTTCTGAAATCAAACTGGCCGGATTAGATTTGCTACATGCGGTAGCCAGTCATCAGTGGGGACAAGAAGAAATCAAAAATACGCCAGGTAAATGATGCTGTCTGAAATGTTTTCGGTATTTTGGACGTTCAAAGACGTTTTGGAGGTTATGGGCCCAAGCGACTTCACCTTTAACGCCATTTTATGAGGTTGGATATCTTTTACGAGTTAAATGTTGTCGACAAAACGTAATCATGCTCTTAGCTAACATTTTCTTTTAATTTTGGCCGCTAGTGGCGCTAAAACACGTTTTGGAGGTTATGGGCCCATGTTGACAATAAAAAATGTAAGCTTGCCGTTTGGTGTTTTGGATGCTAGTGGTGGTAAAACGCTTTTTTGAGGTTATAGGCCCCGCTGACATTTTCCTATAACGCCATTTTACTAGGCTTGATTCATAAGCTCCGTCGCTGACCCTTTTGCAGACGGATGTTGTTGATAACAAAACGTAATCTTGCTCTTTGATATCATTTTTTTATTTCGGGCGCTATTATTGCCAAAACAAGTTTTTGAGGTTATGGCCCCATGTTGACAATAAAACATGTCCCTTACTGTTTGATGTTTCGGATGCTAGTGGTGGTAAAACGCTTTTTGGAGGTTATGGGCCCGTGTGACATTTTCCTATTACGCAATTTTTGGCGTTGATCCATAAGTTTCGTCGCTGATCCGTTTTCAGATGAAAGTTTTTGACAACAAATCTTGCAGTTTGCTATTTTTTTTTATTTTTGACGGTAGTGGTGCTAAAACACGTTTTGGAGGTTATGGGCCCATGTTGAAAATGAAACATGTAACCTTGCTGTTTGATAACATTTTTGGTATTTTGATGCTAGTCGTGGTAAAACGCATTTTGGAGGTTATGGGCCCATGCAATTTCGCCTGTAACGAGTCCGCTTTGCTCAACATTTGCAAGAAAAAAATCGAGTGATATCCGCTGTAGAAGACTGGCTTTCACTGATGCTTATGAATGCGTGTAATATTGAAAAAATGTACGGATCTACAAAACGAATTCTCTATTTTAGGCCTCATAGAATACCTGCTGGATAGAAACCAGGAGAGAATCAAAGAAGCCAAAGAACTGAAATACGAGATAATAAAAGAAATGTCGACGAGCATCTTGTTCGATCAGAATACGTTGCTGAGGCTTCAGGAATATGTTAAAGAGGGTCCATTTTATGTACGAGGTGTCACAGAAGTTGCATTTGAGGGGAACGACTAATTATTTTTCGTGTTGAAAACTGGAAATTTTATATTAGGCATGAATGTTGTAACTGTTTATTTATGTTGTAATAAAACAAGTTTGTACGTAAAGTGCTTTTATTTATAAATAAATAGATGCTGAAAAATATACACAACGCTGATAATGCCTTTGGCTTAAAGAAGTAAAAAAAACTATCGACTAACTATATACAAAAATTGCAACTACCTAATCTAATGCCTATTTGTATCTCAACATTTTCATTGAGTCTTGAAAAAACAAAACCAATTTTAACACTTATTTTCATTGATAAACTAAACTTAGATAAACTACTACTACTAAAACTTACGTAAAAAACAATAATCACAGCTTTTTTCATCAAACTTTGTGAGTTGAAATGGTGAATTCAGTGATAGCATTGAGAAAATCCATAGAATAAAAAAAGGTTCCGACTATGATTTTTGGTGGACAAATCTTAGAGAAAACGCACAAAAAGAATAAAAAGTCTCACTATATTTTGCCTGTATTTTTACCTCTGAACAAATATGACAGACATCGGAACTCGGCATTGGTTTTTTTATTCCTGAGTTGTTTTTCATGACTTCTAGAATTGATGCTTAAGCCGGAAAAGGTTGAAAAAATGTAATGTTCGATACCTAGGTAAACCGTGTGGTTCTTCACCAAAAGCTATAACTATAACGTTTTCATAAAGTAAACGTGATCTTGCTCTTTGCTAACGTTTTTTTTTGTTTGATTTTGGACGCTAGTGGTGCTAAGACACGTTTTGGAGGTTATGGGCCCATGTTGACAATAAAACGTGTAGCCTTGCTGTTTGGTTACATTTTTGGTATTCAGGATTCTAGTGATGATAAATAGCGTTTTGGAGGTTATGGGCCCATGCGACTTCTATAACGAGTCCCTTTTGCCTAACATTTGCAAGAAAAAAATCGAGTGATATCTGCCGAGTACTGGCTTTTAGTAACGTATATTTTTTCCTCTCACAAATATGACAGACATCGGTATTTATTTTTGACTTTTAAACTCAGCGTAACTTTTTTTATTTAGTACGCCCGAGTTATTTTTCATGACTTCCAGAATTGACGAAGATTTGAGCCGGAAAAGGTTAGTAAAATTTTAATATTCGATACCTAAGTAAACCGTGTGGTTCTTCACCAAAAGCTATAACTAGAACGTTTTCATAAAGTAAACGTGATCTTGCTCTTTGCTAACGTTTTTTTTATTTGATTTTGGACGCTAGTGGTGCTAAGACACGTTTTGGAGGTTATGGGCCCATGTTGACAATAAAACGTGTAGCCTTGCTGTTTGGTTACATTTTTGGTATTCAGGATGCTAGTGGTGACAAATCGCGTTTTGGAGGTTATGGGCCCATGCGACTTCTATAACGAGTCCCTTTTGCCTAACATTTGCAAGAAAAAAATCGAGTGAAATCTGCCGAGTACTGACTTTTAGTAAAGGATATTTTTTCCTCTCACAAATATGACAGACATCGGTATTTATTTTTGACTTATAAACTCAGCGTAGCTTTTTTTATTTAGTAGGCCCGAGTTATTATTCATGACTTCCAGAATTGACGCCGATTTGAGCCGGATAAGGTAAGTAAAATTTTAATGTTCGATACCTAAGTAAACCGTGTGGTTCTTCACCAAAAGCTATAACTATAACGTTTTCATCAAGTAAACGTGATCTTGCTCTTTGCTAACGTTTTCTTTTTGTTTGATTTTGGACGCCAGTGGTGCTAAGACACGTTTTGGAGGTTATGGGCCCATGTTGACAGTAAAACGTGTAGCCTTGCTGTTTGGTTACATTTTTGGTATTCAGGATGCTAGTGGTGCTAAATCGCGTTTTGGAGGTTATGGGCCCATGCGACTTCACCTATAACGAGTCCCTTTTGCCTAACATTTGTTGTTTTACGTTTTTGCTGCTGTTCCACCGCACATCATTTCAAACGCAATTGCTCTGAAAAGGAGTGCCCCAGTTTTCTGCAAGCTTAGATAACAAAAATCATCTATCACGTGGTCACAGTAGTCGCATTTTGGTTCTTCTTCAAAGCGAATACCTTGGTGATGATCCTCAACATCGACACTACCGGCGCTTCGAACGCCAAAGAAACGAAGAAAGAGAGGAAATACGAGGCAACAATTTGTCCCAGGTAGATGATCACTGTGACGATGCTGCCCAGATGGAGAGGACTGTCCATACTCATGACCATCACTCTGATCGCAATCGGATGGAGAAGGTATGCACAGTAAGTCACTCTGCTGAACGGGTAGAGAATCGTAGCTGAGAGAATTTTGTTCACGACACCTGTAGAAAAAGGAAACATTTGTTAAGGTCACTCGTATGCATATACAGTCTGTCCCAAAAGTCATGAATCAAACGAATTGGGGGCGTGTTGGGTGGTTTTTTTCAATCAGAAAAACCGGTTTTTGAAGTATCGTCATTTTTGGCCTTCCAAAATATCCTTTAAACGATCAAATATCCTAAATAGTCTCTGCTCTAGATATACCAAATGCTGAATATACCCTCAATCTTGATAATTAACATGATAGCGGCGTTGACATTATTTTGGGTGGTAAAACGGTTATGGAAGCTGTGCCGTGTTACCTAACCCGATAACTGCTTTTTGTAATACAAATGGGATGATGAAACGTATATAGAATGAGATACTAACGTCTGTACTATAAAACTTTTGCAAAGACGTATTCCACTTGTGATTTCTATGCAAGGTGCATTCATCACAGCAAGAGGCAAAGATGTTCTTCGTTTGTGGATAGTGCAAAGGAAATTCTCAACTTTTCGCTGAAATATCACAGTAGAGTAAAAATGCCTGAGATAAGAAACAAACAGAAACACCTCCTATCGAATGAACCATGACACTCTGTATAACACAAAAAAATATTACCTCCATAGCCTGTAACACAAGCTATGACGATCCAAGACAGGCCCATGGCCCATGCAGAATGGCTCATCGCGCTGTAGGCAGCTCCAGACCATGCAGACAATCGTGTGTTGTAGAGACCGTAGACTAGAGCCAGGAGAACTGAGAAAGATGCTGTCCAACCAGCTGCCAAAGCCAGCTGAAAAAAAAATAGGAAATAAGTCTTAGAGACAGAAAGTTTTTAAGGGATATAACATTTACGGTTACAAGAGTACAAAAAGGGCGAATCTCACAATATAGTAACGCCAAAGCATGGAAGAAACTTCCGAACCCGAAGTGATCCAACTTTCATTTCATTCTGCAAACTTTTAATATAGACATCCTCGCGACCGTTTTCTCACCTTTGTGAAATTAATCCTGCAGTTCTTCTTAAACAAAATCCATCCGGTACACATTCCGATGAGATAGGGTCCCAGCCTGGTCCAGGGTTTGTCGTAGATTTTATCAAAAAGGGCTAACGGATCATCAGATCCTGGTAGATGACTGTTGCTGAACGCGACATAGCCTGTCGTTATCCAGGAACTCAACATAAAGGTTACCAACAAAGCTGCGGCGCTTTTAAAGTGACTGGAAAGATAAGATTATGTATTTAGGATAGCTGCCAAAAAATAAAAATCGGTCAAAGGTCTCTACGACACGTTTGGCGTGCTTCGAGCAATGTTCCGTTACGTTTAAGTTACGCTTAAGCTACGTTTCACGAACGTTTGAGAAAAGTTTGCATTTGAGAAACATTAAAGTTACATTTAGGCAAGGTAAATTAAAGCTAAGATACGTTTAAGCTAGTACAGTTCAAGCTACGTTCATACGTTCATGATAGCTTGCGCTTCGGTTAAATTTATGTTTAAACTACATTTAAACTATACGTAAAGTTATGTTCAATACACGTATAATTGACGATCATATAAGGTTTGCGATCAAGCTATATTTACATTTAAATTGCTTCAAGGTGCATTCGGTTTCGTTTATACTACGTTAAACTATATTTAAGATACGTTTAAGCTATGTTTAAATTCTTTTTTAGCTACGTAACCTAAGGTTACGTTTAAGTTTGGTTAAATTACGTATAAACTATATTTACGTTTCGGTTAGTTTTTATTTGAACTACTCTTAAGCCATGTTCAAGTTACGTTTAATCTAGGTTTACGTTGTGATCGTATCACGTTTGCGTTTAAGTCATATTTACATTTAAGTTACGTTTAAGTGGTGTTTAACCAATGGGGAAGTATCCCTCCATGTTTAAATTACAATTAAGTTACGTTTAAGTTGAGTGTAGACTACGTTCATGTTACACTTAAGCTAGATTCAAGTTAAGTTTAAAATACGTATAGCTTGAAGTTACGTTTAAGCTGCATTTGGTTGCGCTCAAGCTACGTTAAACTGTATTTAAGATACGTTTAAACTGTTTTAGTCACGTTCAACTTGTTCTTAAGGTTACGTTTAATGTTGGTTTAACTTACGTATAAACTATATTTACATTTCGGGTTATTTTCGTGTAAACTACATTTAAGCCATGTTCAACTTTCGTTTAATTTACGTTTAAGTTGTGATCATATAACGTAGAAGTACGCATCAATGGTAACGTTTAAGTTATATTTAAACTATGTTTCGGTTATGTTTAAGTGATTTTATGTTGGAGATATGTTTAAGTTGCGTTTAGGCTACGTTTAAACTGCGTTTAGATTCACTTAAACTATATTTATGACACGTTTAAGTTTGGTTTAACTTACGTTTGAACTACATTTAGATTTTTGTTTACGTTTGAACTACGTTTAGGTTACATGTTTCAGGTATGTTCAAGTTACGTTTAATCTAAGTTCAAGTTATATTTTCGTTTAAGTTACGTTTAACTTAAGTGGAAGTATGATTCATCGTGGTTTAGGACACGTTTAGAGTACATTTAAGTTATCGGTAAGTAAGATTTAATTTAAATATAGAGGTGAGGTGTTGAATGTGTGTTTTTGAAAACATATTGCATATAAGGTTACCTTGTAGCTAAGATTAGCATGATTGCTCCAATCACATAGAATTGTGTGTCGTCTGAGAGATACCAACTCCACAACATACACTGAAACGAAGTAATTTAATTAAAAAATTACAAAGTGCTCGATTCGTTTTCTTACCATCTCGTCAACAGGAAACAATGTGTTAATATAGAGCACGTTTCTCCACCAGTAGTTTGGACAATTCACATGGTCCATAGTTGGTGGCTCAAATACTGAATTATAATTGAACCATTTCATGGAAACTTCTACTATGCCCAGGGTGAACAAATAAGGAACTGTCAACCTGAAAAGTAAAAACGAAATAGTCACAAATTCTCTTTTCCTTCTATGTATCATCGGATCGGAAAAATATGTGTGCATTTACCTTGCAAATCTATAGCTGATCAACCCGATGAAATGTAAAAATCCAGCGACGAAACTGTTGCCTTTGTTCAGAGGGTCTAATTTTCCTTTGGCGTTCGTTCTGAAGTACAAAAATGACACCAAAAGTCCACTGGTGAAGAAAAAAGTATCAACGCTGTACGTTCCATTTGAGATCGTTTGGAACATGAATTCCTTTTGGACCACTTTTCGATATTCCATATTATCTAAAACAGATTTTTTTACATTCTTGGTTTCAGATTTACGAAAAAAATGCAATACTTTCGTTCGATTAAAGTTTCTCTTAAGGTACTTTTACAATGCAACAAATTGCAGATACACCCTGCAACCTTATTTTAATGCATCTGTTTTGATATTTGCAGCATTTTTTGTAAGAGTACCCCTACTTAAAGCACAAAGTATCAAATTTTTTAAGCCCAAAGATTGTTATTTTATGTATTTTTTTCACAAACCTGAATATTTGAAAGCAATGATGCAAGTGTGGCCAAGTATAACCCAAGCCATACTGATAGCTTTAAGTCCATGAATGACTGGTAAAGTGTCACTGCCTACAGTTTGATCACAGATATGTCTCATATTTTCTCTAATAGAAAAAGACAAGAGCATTTCTCTTAGAATCAGTCCTGAAATTAGGGAAATCAAAATTACGATGTATTTTGAGATTTCTTTATTCTAAAGCGATTTTTATGCAAAAATTGACGAACTTTTGGTGCGAGTATATGACGACATTATTACCAAAATTTGTCGTACATTCCAAGAATAGCAAGAAACCCCTACACCCTACACCTTAAAAGCAGTAAGTACTACATAAATAATATCAAACTAATAGAGCGATAAAAGCTTTCTGATTCCTTTTTTCAAGATTTACCAGCGAAGGTACCTTTAGAAAAACCATAGCCCCATGCGTTTCAGTTAGCTCACTTTTTAAATTCTTTGATGAACTGTTTATGCTGTTTCTTAGTTTTTTGTGGAAGTACCCTGTATATTAAATCTAAAGGAATGATATCAATTGTATTATTAAGATACCAACCAAACACTAAGCTCGGTGCAACAAGGGATAATTGTTAGTCACAAATGCACATTGATTGCATTTTTGGGTAATTATTTTGTCTCAATCAGAGCTAGTGATACGAAGACAAAATTCACTGCACTTTCCCATTTGTCAAGTGAGACGGACCAACTCTGATTTCAACGTTGTAGTAATCTCAGTTTTGATTCGATTTTTTTTTTCATATGGCCTGGTTTAAATTTCACAAAAACTTGATCCAAACTGTAAAGAAACAACCGCTATCTCTTAGACACGAAAGGTCTTTTGGTCTGTCCATGACCAAGGGCGTCTAACGCCATCTGCCGGAGGCCACAGTAGTTAGAGACGCAGAATTTTGACAGAGGTGGCTGTACATAGCGACACGTGCTGCTGGTGGCAGCTGGTATCCCGCCAATTGATTTGCTGTCCCCGGAGAGATGTGCGCTCTATACACAGGACGTCGAAGCTACAAGCGACGAAATAGAGGCGCTTTTTGTCAAACAGCAGGAGAGATGGGATGCAAGTGGCCATGGTGAACAGACCAGACGGCTGATCCCAGTACGCGAATTGCGTATATTGCATATATATATATAGAAACCAGGCCATGGTGTGTAAAATATTAGCCAATTCTTCATTGATACATCTCCAAAAATGCTGAGGCTTCGTGCATACCGATCTAAATGATGATGAAGAATGATACATACTTATGAGTGGTTCACGATATCTAGAAGCATTACAACTATTACCAGTATTAAGCTCTAATGTATTGCGATGCGTGTGCTCATCTTTATTGTTACAATTTGTGTCGATGTCATTGTTGTTGTTGTTGTTCACTACGTACAAGCCACATTTACCTTAAATTACAAAGAAATAGACACTATAATAATCAGAATAGCATATTCGGTTGTTTCAAAAATAAAGTTCCCAACGCTGTAACTTTGTCACGCGTGATGCTGCATGAAATGTGGCAACAACGTCGTGTTTTCGGCTCGCCCACGACCGATCCCAACAAGAAGCGCTTATTGGCGATGCAAAAGAGAGAAGTTTATCGTCAGTTGAGTGAAGTACATGTTCTTGAAGACGTGTGATGCACGTCTAAAAAAATGGCGACTATGTAGAAAAATAGCTTTAAGATCAACGTTTCCAATTTTTTCAAATAAAAATGTGGGGACATTATTTTTGAAACAACCCTCGTATTTGAACACATATTGTGAATAAACTAAAAACAATGTCAAAAATATATTCGTTATTCTGAATACCACTAGATTAAGCATCATTTTATAAAATTTCACCCCTCCATAACATTATGTAATATGAATCTATCAATAATCATATAATCTTACATCAAGCATATGTTTGACTTAAATAAAATAAAAAAAAAACAGACCGAGTGACATTTCAAAAAAAAATTGTTCGCCTTATATTTTTTAAATAATTGGAAAAATTTGTGTACAATATTTGTAAAAGGACTTACCGTTTTTCGTCTTGCTATCAGGCATTGTCATGTCGATCTTCGAAGAAAACACGCAATTTTTAGCTTTCATTTTTGACTTTTTTATATACTCTAGGTAGTAATCGAAACACGTACCGGCAATCAAAAGGAACACCACAAGCACTGTGGTCACACTGTAATAATAAAAAGAGATGCAGCGAAAAATTTGTTTGAAAGTTGAATAATCTTACCACTTCTAAATTCTGTATACAACACTTATTGAAATGAAAAGTTTTTTGTTTTCTATCTGAACAATTTAAGATAAATGAAGATTTTTATAATTTTCTTGAAAACGAATCGACCGATTTCGAAAAATCAAAAGTCAAAATAAAGTACTTCGAAAAACCTTTTAAACAAGCTATTATGTTTATATCTAACATATTTAGATTTCAACTAATCCTTGATATTGATTCAGCGTGTACATGAATAATTTAATTTTTGGGGACAGCGCCCCGCACCCTCCCCTTGGTTCGCACTTGAAAGGCATTTATATGGTAACTTAACCATATTTTTTATATACTATTGAATGTTGCTCACCACAGCACCAAAAATGTCTTGTCGCCCCAAATATTATACTTATTGTGGGCGGACCTTACTGCCTCTACCTTAACAGTGATTTTTTTCGAGGGTTTCGATGTTTCTTCTACTATTTTTTTCACATCGTCTTCGGCACAAACGTGAGGTAGGCAAAGACCTAGATGTAGAATTTTCTCCTGAAAACGAACACAAATTTACACCATGGTCATCTGAACAGTCGAGTTTGGTTATTTTTATAAAGCAACGCGTTTTTTGATGGGAGGAACTCTTCAATATATCGTTCATTTGGAAGAGGACGGTTACATTTCAATAATTTTCCGTTTTATTGCGTTTATAGTTCAGAAAAAGTGTTTACATTTATGTGGAAACATCTGTAATTTTCCACATAAATGTAAGCAGCTAGAGTTTGACTGTTGAATCAATAAAAAATTTAAACAGTATTGTTACTAAAATCATACGTAATCTGATTGACATTTTCGATTTTTTCTACAAGCTACAGGGAATTGAAAGAAATAAAAAGTATCCAATTGTTGCTTGCCATTTTAGAGAAAATTGAATTTTAAATATGGTTTATTCAGCTATTTCAAGTTTGGTATCACCAATTAATAAAGCAGTATCTGACACATAAAAATAAAACACGAATTTTATTTAGGGTGAGAATTAGCTACAAGTTAAGCCAAATTATTAACTCTTGAAAAATCGGCACAAGAATATTGGAAGCATTTTGAAATTCAAACAAAAATTACAAATTAAATACAGCGTACACTGAGAGTTAATTCAGATTTGAGAATCAAAGATAACTTGTTTCATTCCTTTTTGAAATCATTAAAAAATCAAGATGTCTAACAGTCAATGGAAATGCATTTTATAGATTGATCGCATTTAAGAAATAATATCTAATGAAGTTTTGCGAAGAGGCATAGTTAATGTGATAGTCAATCGAATATATAAACCCTGTTTATATACGCCATATACAAAATAAAAAGAAGTGGTCCAAGCACTGATCCTTGAGGCACTCCTGAGAAAATTAGACGTCCTGTAGATAATTCTGAATAAACGACGACTTTTTGGAATATATTTATCAGAAAGCTGCGTGTTAAACTCAGCCAAAACCATAATGAGAGAGATATTTATTGCATCTTATGTATTTGACCTTGAATTACCCCAATGCCCTTGACAGTTCAAGGCGAATGCTTACGTAACCTCAAGTGTTCCCGCTCGTTCCTTATATTTTCCCACCGTTTTCCAAAGAAACTTAAATATTTTAAATTAATTTGTACGCGAAGAGGGAAATTCTCGTAGCGACAAACTCACCTCAGTAGTAAAACTGGAGTTCAGATGCAACCTCAGCATGAAGAATGACACAGGAAAAGCGGGTCCGTTCGTGTAGACGATCGGCTCATTTTTGTAGCCTATCGGGGCACTTGGACTGACTGGTTTCAGCGACGCGCCTGCGGCTCTCGTCGGTCGAGAGCGGTTCTGGAAGAAGAATCGTTTTATTGCGAACGACAACCGGAAATCAAAATGTCTGGTGTTCCTCGAGGCTCCATATTGTCTCTCTGTATACAGTGTGTCCCAGATTCCCTGAACCGAAAATGGCGGAATTCGTTTTTTGCCAGGAAATCCAAAACGGTTAATTTGACAGCTGTCAAATTGTGACATTATTCGGACATTTTTTAAGAAAAATAAGAGAGCATGTATGACATGCATCAATCGTCTTTTGTTTTCCAGCAACTTTCCTTATGTAGAGTTTAAAATTTCCAGTCTAGTGATGTCTCACAAGTGCATAAAAGATTGGAGTATCATCACACGTAATGTTATGTATTCGGTTTTTTTCTAAGGGGGCCATGATTTGTTTGTCAGAAAATAACATTGACGAGTAAGGCATAAAAAAGATCGCTCTCTGGATCTATTTATCTCTGTCGGATTTTTTCTAGTGCTCTTATCAGCAGAAAGGATCAGTTACACAGAAATGGCAGTTTTGTAACCAATACTGATCAGAAGCATGCCTAGGCGCGTTGGTGAATGCGTAGCACATCAGGGTGCATCCACACACTATTAAAGGTCAAAGGGCTTTAAAGCAGTGCAATCATTTTGAAATTTTTATCATTTACTTATTATGCTTCATTAAGTAGGTACTTATATTAAAATAAAACCATTTAAACTGGGTGTTCGGATTTATATGTCACTTAGTATAAATGAGAAACATGCCAGCTCCACCAATACAAATAGAATAGTTTATTTCTGCACACTTCTCTCGCTAAAGGGAAAAAACTCGTTTGAATGCTCGTATCAGTAAACAGAAATAGACCCACAAAAAATGTTTAACGCTGGTTGGTCAACCAATACGCGTATCGTCTGCAGAATATTCAACGGTGTGTGGCTTCTAGGCGGGTCATTCGTAGTTTTTTATCTCTCACAGGATATTATTGGTTATTTAGAATTCCCTTTCCTGGCTATCATATAGGAAACGTTGATATGGGATTTTCAAAATACGCTGACAGTTGAGATTTTGGTACCTGTTGCTACAGTTGAATATCAATTAGTATGTGTAAAAAATGTTACTTCTTTCTGTATTGTGGTTCATACGTGATGCTGAGAGGCTGGACATTCGTGTATACACAATTCTGAAATGTGTACGCTCAAAATAAAACCATTATTTGGGCGTAGAGAATATCTTCAACATGAATCTTAATTCAAGGAACGATGTAACATGTCGGCAACGCGGCAGAGTGTCGCGTCAGCATTGCTAGGCGACGCGGTGAAGAGCTTCGCTTTCCAGCCGGCTTCAATCTCTATCTAAAATACGTGTCTAGACACACTTTTCTTTCGTACACATTGAACTTGAGCCGTCAGACGAAATTGGTTTTCCCTGTATACAGTGAATGCCAGATTCGCTTCCATATACAGGGATCTCGGCTCCTGTTAAAGCTACAGCAAAGGTTAAACGGAGAAGTTTTAGACTACTTGGACATTGACCCAGTTGACGCAATGTTATGTTAGTAAATATGTTGGATTTCGTCCTTATGTCTATCGGTTGCTAACACGTGAATGCTTTTAAAATACCTGAGTGCATTTTTACATTATTTTAAATGTGCACACATTGATCATAAATGAGGAACCTTATTTCTTTTTAAGCCTTTCACAATCGGTGGAGTCAAAGACTAACCGTTTTAACTTTGCCTTAAAAATGACATTATTAACAATTTTTCCGGTATTTGGTTTCTGATACGGAATCTACTTTAGTAGATTTTGTTATTAATGTTTCTATATGTCTCCTATTATTTTGTGAATAAACAAACTTATACAAAATTGAATGATAGATACGATGAAAGTATAAGAAAAGATACTCTCTTTTTGATAAAATCAAATTTTCATTCTCCTTTTTACCACCCTGATATACTTGTTCTCCAAATCCGGGATAAAAGCACAACAGCCCTGTACAAGTTATGGTATCCTGTTGCCATTAGCTTAAAGCATTTTAACACCATCCAAGTCCCTACGAGTATAACACCGTCCCATACTCGAGAGACAGGATGTGAAGATGCTTGCATTTTTACCCGACACTAATGATTTCTGGAAAATTCGTAACTCTAATCCTAGAATATAAAAAGGGTCTTTGACTAGTCTCTGTACTCATTTCGCTACTTGTTCTTCTGTTCTCAACTGTTGCTGATGCCTCGATAAAAGCTACTCTACAAAAGTTACTGAAGTATTTCTCTAACATCCTTCGGCGATTATAAGAGAAATAGGAACGCGAGTGATAATTCCTTAGTGCAATCGATCACCCACGATCCACACGTATTTAATTTACATGCGATGAAAATTGTAGATTGGAAGCTGTATGCGGTAAATGGCTGTAAATTGTAGCATATTTGGTGTCAAGAAGAAGCTGCTGATCCCACTGATAATAGACATAATAAGTCACGCATAGTTTCCCTGCTTCTGCCATGAAAAGTGCGGTGATAAGATGAACAAAAATTGAATAAATGTTCCTTCCAAGAACTAAACTGGCTCCTAATATCTAAGCATTACCGAAAGCATGGCCAAATCTGTCTGGTCAAAACGCTTAAACGGCGTATACAAATAAATTCAGAGATCACTCTTTCTAACATACGTATTGCACGCTACAGTCAAAATCACGAAAGATGATTATAAATTATACTGAAGTAATCAACGGACGTACGTCGATGATAAAATCACGATGACAGGTATATAATGACAACAAATTTATACTATGATTTTCCGAAGTTAGGTTAGTTCACTGACTACTTTTATTTCATGGTTTTGAGTGATACCTTATTAATAATTTTAGTGGGGAGTTTTTGTTTTGAAAAAAAAAAGTTACGAGTAGAATAAACACATTAAGACAGAACAATAAAGACCAAAATATCATTCGAAAACAACCTAACCTGCTTAGACATAACCTAACTATCGTCTGTCAAATATGATCGATCACGCATCATGAAAACATCGTCTATCTTTGTCGGATTAGCAATATAGTTTGTTTGGACAATAAAATTCCGTTTGTCTCTGTCTAACATATCTGAAACAGACTAAATTGATGACGTAATCGTCATCTTTCGTGATTTCGACTATATTCTCTCGTACACGTTACGACGTCGGTGGTGTATGGATTTCACTGTATATTTTTGTATAATAACATACTAACCTGTGAATGAATGACTATATGTTTCTTGGGCGTAATATGTTCACACAGGCTCTGAGAACCAGTCCAGTAGATGTTTCCCCAAAACCAGCCGGTGGAGTACCTCCCGCTTGCATCATCCACTGGAAAAAAAAAGTAAGAAAAAGTTAACAATCGCGCATTGTCCATTGAAAATTGCATTTTTAATTGTTAACTGACATAAGTTTAAAATGCAACACACAGAATTATTTATGGAATTTTGAAAATTTGTAAACATATTTGCTATTATGGAAACCACGTCGTCACTAAAGACCATCTGATTCCATTTTGTGTTGTCAGATGAATTTTTCATAGAACGGTGAAACTTGGTCCAAAAAAGCGCAAGGAAACTGCTAGTCGCACAATAAATTAATGCATTTTTTGTCAAGCTGTAATAATGATGCCAGAACTCTACATAAAACTTGATTTATTATATGTTCTAAACAAAAACTAAGAAGAACTAAAAAAAATAGGCATTCTTGACATTGGCAAAAACTCAACTAAGTAAAGAAAAATAAGCATTACGAATATTGATTCGCTAATTTTAATAAATTTTTGTTGTCGTTAACCTCATCAATAAACAACTACTTGTATTTGATATCTGACTGTGTAATATTCCTATATTTTTTTCTGAACTCAAGCGAGTCCTTTGAGTAGTTTTCAGCATATTTATTGCTGTAAAACCCTTTCAACATTGGCACTTGAATGAGGAAGAATCAATATGTTAGAAATAAATTTAGTTAGCGAGCATAGTCCAACGTCTGCGATTTTGGACCAGAATGCAAAAACATAAAAATGGCAGCGAAATATTTCCGCAAATACCCTCTTGTGGCGTCGCGGAATTCCCTGACCAGCGAACCTGGCGGTTATTAGTGATTACCGCGAGATGGCGGTGGCAAATTATGTATTTACGCACCGAGAATGATAAAGCGGTAGGTAAAACTGGATATCGGTAGATGGCTCTCTAACGCGGTAGAAATACAATACACGCATTCACCACGAAAACTTAACAGAGAAACCTGACCATTTTATCACTTCTTCAGCCATGGCCAGCGCCACCTTCAACTAACGAGCCATGAACAGTAGATATGGCAACGCAGCTTTGGGGTCTTCCACAGACAGGTGTTTGCCGGGCTTTTCGTTTGTTTATATTCCTAACCTCCGACTTTTTGGTGCAATTTTGTTGTAAATCTCTGGGAACAGTGCAATTCATACAAACCAGAGTAATCTACTTAGTTTTGCTCTTCAAACCGTACAGAAAGTGTGTGTGAATCGGTGCTTGTTAGAAACGTCTGTATAGTGTGTAGATTCGAGTGGGTACATCTTTTCTTTTAATTAATATGCCTAAGCGTTGCTGTGTACCAGGCTGCAAGGGAAATTACGAGGTAGAATTGAGATCGACACCCTACAGGTCAGTGTTTCGATTTCCAAAAAATGAGGAGTTGAAAAGTAAGTGGCTAGCTTCCATACCAAGAAAGGACTGATCGCCTTCTAAAGATTCTGTTGTTTGTGATGCACATTTTCAACAAGCAGAAATTGTCCGTACGGAAACTTATGTTCTGCAGGATGGATCAGCTAACACAGTCACACTGAGTCGTCCAAAACTTTCAGAAGGTGCTGTTCCATCAGTCTTTCCAAATGTGCCATCTTATCTAAGTGAGCGTCAAGTTTCTAGTAGAACAGATCCTGCCATCAGACAAGATAAGATCCTTCAAAGGCATGAGAATTTGGTTTCAGAATTTCAGGAAAAAGACAAAATTACAGGATTCTCAGATTTATTGGAAAACTATTCTAAAATGATTAAAATCCCTGAACATTGGTTGGTGAAGAAGACTAATGACAAAATTTATTTTTATAAATTAGAAACAATCAGTGAAATTTTAGTTTTGAATACGCAAATTATAATAGACAGTTCATTAGAAACTAAGGTATTTAATAAAGGGGATCCGCTCTCATGTAATGATTTGAAATGGTGGTGAAGGTGGCGCTGGCCATGGCTGTACTTCGGAGCGTGCGCGCGCCGACTGGATTCCGTAGAGGGCGTTCCTAGCTAACGAATGAGCGGCTGGTCAGTTGTCTCCGAGCACTTGGAGAGTCAGGACAGGCATTTTCGCGCGACGTGTTTCTGTGACACAGAGACGTTTGATATGATCAAGCAGGCTTACCCAGGTGTTGCTTTAGCAAGAAGTGGTGTGTTTCGGTGGCACCAGGCCTTTTTGGAGGGCCGGGAAGAGGTCGCTGATGAAGACAGTGCTGCAAGACCTTAGACTTCGACAAACACCGATAATGTGACTCGTGTGCGCAAGGTTTTGAACTCAGACCGTCGACTAAGTATTCGTTTAATTGCCCGGATGTTAAATTTACCAAAATCTGTGGTTCATGACATTGTGACACAGCATTTCAACATTCGCAAGGTGTGCGCGAAGATAGCCCCAAAGTGCTCACTGACGACCAGAAATTGCGGCGAGTGAAGTGTGCCAAGAAAATTTGAACATGTGTGACAGTGACCCCCAATTTTTGAATAACGTAATCACAGGTGACGAGTCGTGGATCTTTGAGCATGATCCCGAGACAAAGAGGCAATCTTTCGAGTGGCACACAATCCAAAGTGAAAACGATGCTCATTGTCTTTTTTGACATCAAAGGCATCGTCCACCATCAATTTGTTCCTCCTGGACAAACCGTCAACGCCAAGTTTTACGTGGAAGTGCTCAGGAGACTCAAACGAAGGGTCAGTCGGGTCCGACAAGACATCGCGGCCGACTGGAAGTTGTAGAACGACAACGCCCCTGCCCAGACCGCCTTTCTTGTGAACAACTACCTGACCAAGGCCGGCATCCCAACGCTTCCGCAGCCGCCCTACAGCCCAGATGTGGCCCGCCCGGACTTTTTTTGTTTCCTCGCCAGAAAAGGCAAGCATTTTGAGATGACAGAGGGGATCCAAGCAGCATGCACCGCCGCTCTCAAGGCTATTCTGGAGAATGCCTTCCGTGACGCCTTCAATGCTTAGAAATCGCGCTGGCAGCGCTGCATCGCCGCAGAAGGAGCCTATTTTGAAAGTTGTTAAAGAATTGTAACGATTGGCTCAATAAATTGTTTAAATCGACTCAGTCCTATTACTTTCCGGACAAACCCTGTATATGCAGAAGAAAATAAACATACGTGTGTTTACCTCTTTTTTCTCACTCAGTATATCTTGCATTACAGTTTTTCCAGTAATCTAACCTGACCGCCCCTGCTAGCTGAACAATACGAACAAATTACCCATTTTATATAACATCGGTTTCGAATAACACCCTAGAGAACATGATACATCATTGTAAGAGACGAAAATTTAACGGTTGTTGAGCATACCGTGAACTGGAGAAAGTACAGCTAGCTACAAGTATGCTCACGTGTGTAATCATAAAGCAAAGAAAGTGATAGCGTATGACTTAATATGGACTCATTATACCTTCGTAATGCCCGGTAATACGCATTGTACGGTTTCAAGATCATGCGAAATTATTTTCCTTGAATGCGAATACTAGTTTCCCATGAACTTACCGGCTAGCCGTTTGTTGAGTCTAGGCATTTAAGCGCCGATGGATAACGATGCTTTTTCCAAAGCTGATGCTGTTGATGTCAGACACTTAGGTCCGCTTTTACTAAGACGGATGGGCGCGAAAAAGGGCGTTAAACACAAATTTGGGATGCTATTATCGAATATAAAGTTCAGATTTTCTGTTTCAAATACGAGTCATTAACGGTGCCTGCCTTCTGGAACAGAAACTTATCAAAGAAATGCTTATCTTTGCTTGCCGTCATTACGTCTACGAATCGATGTGAAAAGGCGTAAAGGTGAGGAACCCAGATTTTTACTGAAAAGCTATCATGCCTGAATATTTCAGAAACTGGCAAGCTGCTAGAATTTACTCGACATGAATTAACCAAAATAGTTGCTGGTGACGACTATCGGGAATTAATGGAACTTTCAATATGATATTCCTTGGCGTGGATACAGAGAAAAAATGTAAGTTCGACCGGCAACTTTCTAAAAGGGGTAAGGCACACGTGGGCGAAGCTTCGTGACGTCATCCGGAGAGTTATCGGCTCGTGGTTACCAGCGGCAGGATTGTCGTAACGTTACTGCAGTTCACGTGTATCGTGGTTAATATACTAAGTGAGATATAAATCCGAACACCCAGTTTAAATGGTTTTATTTTAATAAAAATTGGTGAATGTATTTATCTTACTGTAAATAACAAGTGAAAAAATTTTCAGCCTTATCAGTTGGACATTCCGGTTTTTATACTGCTTTTTTTAATTCACTAACGCTCTAACAATGAATATTTCAGCCGCAGTAAAGAATCAACGTTGGCGGATTTTGGTTCTTGACATCCTTTACGATCGGTTACGATGCCTAGAGTACGGAGACCTGTACGATTTCGTCAACTTAGTGAGTTTGATAGGGGCCGTATAGTAGGACTTCGGGAAGCTGGACTTTCTTTTCCGGCAATTGCAGTTAGAGTGCAAAGAAGTGAGGACACTGTGGTTAGGTGTTGTCAGGCATGGCTTCGAGAAGGCCGTACGTAAAGAGCAAGGGGCACTGGACGCCGCCGTGGAACAACAGACCGTGAAGATCGCCACCTAAGATTATTGGCCTTAAGGGACCGTTTCTCCACTACCAGGTCCATTGCAAATGAATGGTTTGGAGAACACGGAAGACCTATTGGCATGAGAAGTGTTTACCGACGAATGAGAAGTTTTGGCTTGTTTTCATACCGGCCACACTGGGTCCTCCCTTTAACTCGAGAACACCGACGTAATCGCCTTGAGTGGTGCAGACAACGGTCACTCTGGGATCAGGAATGGAACAGTATTGTCTTTAGTGACGAGTCTCGATTTTGTTTAGGCATACACGATGGTCGTGCCAGGGTTAGAAGGCGACGTGGTGAAAGGAGGAATCCACAGTTTTTTGTTGAAAGACTTGTTCATCACACTGTTGGAGTTATGGTTTGGGGTGCTATAGCTTATGGTTCCATATCACCTTTAATCTTCATCAGAGGTAACATGAACGCGCAGCGTTATATCCACGAAGTTCTAGAACCCCATCTTTTACCCTATCTTGACACCCTGGCAGATCCAACTTTCCAACAAGATAATGCCCGACCACATGTTGCAAGAGTCACAATAGACTTGAATAAAATAAATTGATAAAAATGCGGTGCGCTGTTGTGGGATGTAATTCCGACAATCAATCTAAACGGAATCTTCGCAAAGACATGAAGTTCCACAGTTTTCCTCAAGACCAAAACTTTAGCAAAAAAATGGCTACATCTCACAAAAAGATAAGACAAAGTCGATGTGAAAAGCGCTAGGGTTTGCTAGAAAACGCTCTAGAGGATCCGTCCAGCCGTTTGGCCTGTAGGTGAAAATATGCACGTTTTCCACATCAATCCAAATGATAATCACTCTCCGCGTGACGTCATGCGCGCCGGCGGACGAAAATCGAACAGCGCAGCATACGGCCCTGAGGCAGCTCTGTTAGATATACGAGGAGGTACCCAAAAATAACCGGTATAGCATTGCAGTGGGCGGAGCTTGTGTAGTACACATTTCAGCGCCTAGAGGCGTACAGTGCAACTGATTACATCACCAGTTCAGTGCCACCCGAGTTGTCGATCTGGCTTGTTTCGTTTCTCTGTAGTCATTATTTTTACTAGAGCTGTTTCGAGCTTGCTTTGTTTTTTACGATGGCAAGCCTCAGCGAGCAACGTGCCGCTGTGAAATTTTGCTTTCTAATTGCTAAAAATGCTGCTGAGGGAGGAGCTAAGGGAGACTTCAAAAAATGTTTAGAGCAGTGGAAGCGCCGGTAGGACAAGTGTATTAGTTATAGTGGACAGTATTTTGAAGGAGATAAGGTTACTATGTGTAAAATTTGAAAATAAATAGCTATTAAAATATAATTCCAATTTTTTGGGTACCCCCACGTAGATATAGATATTTTTTAATTTCGGATAAAAGTATCGATCACTTTGTTTCAATCAAAAGCAAGTCGACTCATAAATTGATGACAGTTTTCTCGACTAATGTCATTTTTCAAGACACGGGCCCAGTTGTCATTTCTAGTAACTTGAATTATTCGAGTATTTTTCGGTCTGCAACAGATATTCTGCACATTTCGGCATCATTCAACAATTCAACTCTCTATTCCGATATTTCATACGTGACAAATATTTATATTTTCCCAAGAATACTAATGTGCTATCAGTTTGGCAAGAAGTGTCGATGCGGCGTATGTAGGTCAAGTTACGTCCTTGGTCTCGAACAACTTTTGCTAACAACGCTGGCTGGCCTGTCCATCATCAGTGAAAGTTATAAGTTCCCAAAGATGTAAAAACTGCACATGTGACACCTGCTTTATTCACGTTGTGTCTCCCACTGGATTTGTGCAGGGTAGTAATCAAAAAAGTGTTAGCATCTGATGGCGAAAACATCCTGATTCGGATTTCTTAAATTCCAGAAATTGTTTTTTCGCTCCGGCTTGGGTTTTTTTGGGGCATTCAAAATGAAAACGGTACCGTATTAATTTTCTCTAAAGTTGATAGTTTATGATTTATACAAAGTGCGAAATATGCAATTTACGACCCCAGAAAACAATATGAAAAAACGCAACATGTTGCCAAAGTTCCTCAATATGCTTCAAACATCCATTAAGCATCACATAGCACTTTAGCAGGTATTGTTATTGCAAACCTTTTGTTATCTAATTAATCGACGCTTAAAATTACTCTATATTTTGTTTTATATAATACCCAGAAAAATGAGATAGTATATTTTTACTTCCCTTAAAATTATCAAAAATTCCTTTCCGTATTCGTCGTGCCATTTTTTTAAATGAAATAGTAAGATTACGAAAAGGTTTTTTGTTTTTCATGCTCTCATAAGAAAATTTTTCAATTAAGATTATCCCAATGACAGAATAGTTAAATCAGTCTCCAACGTTTGATACTTCTGCTTACATCTCTTGTTATGGGATAATTGTTGATACAGGGTGTTTCAGTTTATTGTTGCATAACTTTAAGGTTCGATAGAACTTTTAAAATTAATGCATAAAGTCTATATAAACATGGGTCGAAAAATGCGTGGCTTCCGAAATACAGGGTGTTCAAATTTACTTTCTAAAATAGTTTTTTTTAAATATTTCGAACAATATTTGATGTATAACAGTGAAAATTGGTATACAAGGGTTTTTTGATACGACAAAACGAACCATGGGCATAGTTTTACTGTAGCCGCTAGAGGGCGCTCTCTACTGTACCTGTAGTGTATTGAAATGACCGACAAATTTTTCTTAGTGCAATTTTTTGCTTTTTGAATAAAAAAACTGATTCTTCGTACTTTTCAACATAAAAAAGCTCTCTTGTGAATTTTCGTTATAGTTAGCCGTTTTTGAGATATTTCGATTTTTAAGGTTCGATGCGTTTTTAATTATTTATGATAAAATAACGTTAAAAAGTCAGCATCTCGATAATTTTTAGAAGTAGGCTGTGCCTGCAAATATTTTTGAAATTGAAAGCAGAATAAGGTTAAACGTCAATTAGTTGACAGTTAGTTTTGTTGTCTGTTGAAACCTGAAACGTTTTTTTGCAATTGTGAATGCACGAAATTTAGTTTCCTTTACCTGTTTTTTTTTTTATAAAAATGCCATTTTTATTCTCCAATCAAGAGTTAGCGTTTGTCGTACCAAAAAACCCTTGTATACCAATTTTCACTGTTATACATCAAATATTGTTCGAAATATTTACAAAAAAAACTATTTTAGAAAGTAAATTTAAACACCCTGTATTTCGGAAGCCCCGCATTTTTCGACCCATGTTTATATAGACTTTGTGCATTAGTTTTAAAAGTTCTATCGAATCTTAAAGTTATGCAACAATAAACTGAAACACCCTGTAGAATTATTTAGTGTTTCAAAAATACTCCAAGTTTAAGATCTTCTTTCTGTTTATCTTCACCCGCCTCGTATCGTCTCGTGATTCGAACATTCTCGCAATTACATGTTACAATTCCTTATCTTGTCTCGCAATCTTAGGTTAATTGTTCGTGAAATCCCGTAATTGGCGAAAAATGCTTGATATAATCACTGACGAATTTGCCGTGTTTGTTTTCACTTTTACTGTGTGAGCACGAAAGTGAAAATGTAATTGTATAGTGACTTACACGACGTCAGGGATCTTCAAACAAACCACTTACTAACTCGATTTGCTTATGAGAAAAGTAAAAGCCTTGCGGGACAAGCCATTTGCTATACGAATTCAAAAACCCCCGACCGTCAAGTGAATTTTGTGATCGTACAGAAAACGTATGCTGATTTTATTATCCGAAAATTTTCTATGAACTGACCAAACTACATGAAGAAATCCGCGTCATTTATTTCCTCAATAACCTCTTTAAGAAACGCGTATAGAATTCGTAGATTTTGTAAAAATGATTTCAATGAATAATAGCGCGTTATGAAAATGATTTGTACCGCAACACAGTTTTAGATGTGGATTATATAATGGCCAAACAGCGCTTTCACTTTTTCATTATAAGAAGAAGATACATTTGGACGCGAAATGTGTATCTAATCGAGGTCACTGTTCGGTTCCATCCCGGATAAGATATGTTCCAAGTGCTTCAATTGTTTCATGGCCAAAGTCAACAACTGGTACAGACACTGTTCATAAATAGATATCCATAATTGACTTGAAGGGTCCTAGTTTAATAGCTCGGATGTTTAAACATTACATAACCATCCAATAATTGCATGTTCTTAATCAGACCTGGTAGACATCTTCGGCGAGTGTATAATGTTACAAGACAATCGTTCAGGTGAAATCGTAAATCTACGACGTGAATAATTTTGCAACGCACTCTTACGCTGTGCAGTTCCTTGTTTTCATTCAAACAAAATGCACGGTTTCGGTTTGGCTAACAATGTGTTAGAGACTACGCAGTTATTGCAGTTTGATGATTCTAATTGTTCGTTATACAGTTATGTCATTCATTATAATGACCACTTAAGCGCCGGTTAGTGTAACACTGGCACGGAGTTTAGTCACTTTTTATTATGGCGACTTTCACTTTCTTAGCAAATTTGTTCTTCGTCAGGGGTGGCCGCAAAAAAGTATTCCAACTCCAGGATTCTCACTTCATCGCCAGGTTTGGTTTAGTAAGTAAAAACTGTTGCGTTTTTTTTCTGTCAGTTAGGATAACATGCTTTTAAAGATAAACCAGTCTCACTGACAATTGCGGCTCAACTTCGGCACTAACTCAATCAATGTTTTGTTTCAGAAAAAAAATATTCTAGAGGTTAAAAATTGCGAAGTGTAGAGCCCTTCTGTCCTGTACAACAGTCTGCGGATTATTTGAAGATACTTCAACAATAACATCAAGCGTAATCACCTTATATACTGTATCTGCTACAAAGTTGTTTCAAGACAAATTATTGATCCAGTTCCGATAATATCTAAGAACAACTAATATTAATGATATCTTTCACTCTATTTTTGAACCTTGAAACCGTAATGCACTCTCGTATAATAGGTATACAATCATTATTTAATGCCAAGCGGCCTCGAATCTCTTCTACCGCGACATTCTAATAGGAAAAAAACGACGTCAAGTAGGTTGACTCAACGTTGTCTTCAGCTCATAAAATTCTCGGCGCATTAGCCCTTTGAGGAAAAAGTTAGCTACGATCAACGAATTTAAACGATTTCAGTCAAATTTGTTCTACCGCGCGTTGAAAATGTTTCTTTATCGTCCGTTTTGAAGGAAATCTACGAGGAAATGCTCAGCTTCCGGTTCCAGCTCAGCTTCAAAAATAAACTCAGCTACAAGCATCAGCTCAGCCTCAGACTTCAGCTCAGTCACAAGCTTCGGCTCAAAATGTTTCTTTATCATCCGTGTTGAAGGAAATCTACGAGGAAGTGCTCAGCTTCCGGCTCCAGCTCAGGTTCAAAGATAAACTCAGCTACAAGCATCAGCTCAACCTCAAACTTCAGCTCAGTCACAAGCTTCGGCTCAACGTTAAGCTTTGGTTCACCTTCAAGATTCGGCTCGGCTTCAAGCCTCAGCTCAGATTCAGCACGGCCTCAGCTTCAAGTTCGACTTCAAGATCAGCTTTAAGCTCAGTTTCAAATTCAGCTCCAGACTCAGTTTTAAGCTCCAGATTAGCTCCGGCTCAAAATGTTTCTTTATCATCCGTTTTGAAGGAAATCTACGAGGAAATGCTCAGCTTCCGGCTCCAGCTCAGCTCCAAAAATAAACTCAGCTACAAGCTTCAGCTCAGCCTCAAACTTCAGCTCAGTCACAAGCTTCGGCTCAACGGTAAGCTTTGGTTTACCTTCAAGATCCGGCTCGGTTTCAAGCCACAGCTCAGATTCAGCACGGCCTCAGCTTCAAGTTTGACTTCAAGATCAGCTTTAAGCTCAGTTTCATATTCAGCTCCAGACTCAGTTTTAAGCTCCAGATGAGCTCCGGCACAAAATGTTTCTTTATCATCCGTTTTGAAGGAAATCTACGAGGAAATGCTCAGCTTCCGGCTCCAGCTCAGCTTCAAAAATAAACTCAGCTACAAGCTTCAGCTCAGTCACAAGCTTCGGCTCAACGTTAAGCTTTGGTTCACCTTCAAGATGCGGCTCGGCTTCAAGCCGCAGCTCAGATTCAGCACGGCCTCTGCTTCAAGTTTGAATTCAAGATCAGCTTGAAGCTCAGTTTCGAGTTCAGCTCCAGACTTAGTTTTAAGTTAAAGGTGAGCTTCGGCTCAACGTCAGGTTCCAGCTCAGCTCAAAAAATCGGCTCAACTTCAGGCTTCAGCTCGTTTTCAAGACTCAGCACCCATTCAATCATCTGTACAGCTTCAGCTCAGCCTCAAACTTCAGTTCCTTCCCAAGCTTTGGCTCAACTTCAACCGTCTACTCAGCTTCAAGAGCCGTCTCAGCTTCTAGCTTCAGTTCAGCTTCAGCTGAGTCTCTGATTCACGATTCGCTATAAGCTCAGTTTCAAGTTCAGTCCCAAGCTCAGTTTCAAGCTGCAGGAGAGCTTCTGCTCGGTCTCATATTTTGGCTCAACGACATGCTCCAGCTCAGCTTCAAAAAACGGTTTAACTTCAAGCTTCAGCTCCTCTTCAAGACTCGGCTCCGCCTCACACTTCAGTTCATCTTCACCTCAGCCCCAAGCTTCGACTCAACTTCATGATTTGGCTCAGCTTTATGCGCCGTCTCAGCTTCAATATTCGACTCAGCTTCAAGCAACAGCTCAGTTCCAAGCTTCAGTTAAGCTTCAGCTAGCTTCAAACTTCAGCTCAGGTCCAAGCTTCCACTCAACTTTGAGCTTCGACTCATCTTAAAGATTCGGCTCAGCTTCAAGTTTCAGTTTCTATTTTATCAAAACTCTGGCAACGTACCGAGTTCCTTCATTTCCAGAGTGGAGTACATGGGAAGCTTATCACAGAGGTAGGTTTAGATAACTGCTGGAAAAATAAGGTTTCTGACAGTCCTATTACAAAGGTTGATACGAATTGCCTTATAATATCCCATACACGAATGAAAGCAATGAAGACTCCTTCCTCAAATACTAGTATGTCCAACGCTCGGGAGTTTAGATAATTCGAAACGATAAGCTGAGCCAAAGCTGAGCCGACACTGGGATGAAGCTGAGCTGAAACTTAAAGTTGAGCGTATCTTGAATTTGAGTAGAATCTTAGCTGAATCCGAGCTTCAGATAAACTGTAGCTCGAAGCTGTTCTAAATCTTGAAGCTGAGATGAAGCTTGAAGCTGAGCTCAAGCTTGAAACTGAGAGTATCTTGAATTTGAGTAGAAGCTTAGCTGAATCTAAACTAAAGCTGAGCTAAAGCTTGAAGCTGAGATGAACCTTGCTGAGCTGAAGCTTGAAGCTGAGCTGGAACTATAATTCTGTAAACCTTTTTCATCCTTGGCATAGCGAAAGAAAAAACTAATAGACGGGTCGGTGGACAAATTGACAGACAGACGAACGGAAATGATTGACATGGTTTTTCGTGATGGAGATGTCAGGTGTTCTGATTTTGGCGATTCGCCAGAAGCCAGGACGTAAAAACGAAAGATGAGAAAACTAATGCTACTTAAACATTTCAAAACCTGGTCAAGTTCACTGCGGTATAGTGACATAACAAAACAAAGACAAAACGCGACTGCTGGAATCACCTTGCGATCTATGCCTATGCAAACTGTGTAAATTTACGTAATAGAAAAAATATTTTCATAAGCAAGACATACGGGATTTAATGATTAATCTCGTTATTGAGAAACAGCAAGTTGAACGAATAAATGTTTCTTGGAAAAATCATTATCGATTGTACGACACATTAAGGTTTTGCAATTTTGCGTGACTGTCTTGCATTTAAATTCGTTATTTGCATGTATGAATGATTATTTCAGAGTGTATTCTCTATTCCTAATTAAAACAGCAAAAATAAAACAAGTTGACCTGAAACAGAACACAGTCCTGGGTCGTCATATTTCATATACGTTTTTAGCTCAAAACAATCTTTAATATCTTACAACAATTTCTTTACGAATTATTTATTCAGATGGATTTCTTCAAGGTCATCCGGATTGTCTTTTGGGGTGTTTACATCAATTGACAGCTTCATGAGCTATCTGTCAGTACACAATGCCGACAACCACACAAATTCTTGCTAGATACAGTTTGAATTTTTATATGTATTGTTTTGGCTTTGAGGCGGATCCTATAAATATAATGCATGTTGTTGAAAACAACAAAGTTTTATATTTGAATTGTTCAAAAATCCACGAACTTCATGGATTTATTTGACGTCAAATTCCTCTTTTACACTTTTGAAATTTGGCCATGAACTCAATTTATAAAAAAATTCTTCGATTTATTGTCTAAGAGCCGTTTTACACACAAGAGAATTACTCCGAAAATTATAGTCATAATTATGCCGAAAATGTTTGCTGTCGTATTACACGTAAAATAATTCTTATGAAAATTTTCATGGTAAAAATATAAAACCCGTTCTATAGAATATGCGCGAGAATCGGCGCAGAGGGATATTTCCGTGCATGTCATTATCAAATGTCAACGTCAACAACATAACCTCACTTAACATTTCTTGGTGTGGTCCTGTTCGTGTCGTGCGAAGAAGCGTTCATTGTTATGGTTTATTCATAATGTCGTGGAATCGGGAAGAAGTTACACTGTTGTTGCAGTACCAAAAATGGCCAAACCTGTACAATGTGAAGTCACCAAATTACAAAAACAGAAATCTGCGACGTCTGTTGTCTTTCCGATTCTATTGGACGTCATACCCGTTAAGGTTATGTCCATTCGAAAATATTACTCTAATGCGCAGGCGTATCATATGAATTACTCGGAAATTTTGTTTGCTTGTGTCATACAGGTTGTAGAGGAAATCTTCAATATTTTTTCCATGCAAATTTTCGGCATAATTATGACCATAATCTTCCGGAGTAATTCTCTTGTGTGTAAAACGGCTCTAAGTAAAACGGGTATAATACCTGTAGAACCGATAGAGAGATAAAAATATGTAGGTATTATTTGTCTTCCGTTTTCTTTAAATGGCAATTCGCATTGAATAAGGCAATTTGAAACCAAGTTCGCATCGAAACAGCAATAACAACAAACGTACTTCTTTTGCGTTGCAGATACTTTTATTAGGAAAAAAGTATTTGCACAACCCGACGAAATCAGTCGGTTTGAACTTATTATTCATGAAGCAGCGCACACTCGATTTTCGTAATCGTAGAACACGATTGAAGCAATTGCATTCGATATTCGACCTCGACTGTTTTTTTTCTGGGTTGGCTATTGTAACCGATGTAGGTGCAAACATAGCTATGGCTTGCACTATTCCTTTGTAGTATTTCTTATCCTAATTGAAACTATTGTAATTAATGTACGGCTCTGGGGACTCTGGATGTAAACGACACTATCTCTAAATTACTTCATCGCCACATTGTGGCTGTTAACATCATCTCCAGATAGTGTAGACCTTTTAGTGGCCGTGTTTTGTTGCTTTATGGTCAATATCATTCAAAAGACATGAATAGGAAGATTTTTGTTCGATATGGAGTGTCTTAAAAAACAAAAAAAAAGTACGACCTTTCCTAGGATCGAACCTGAGATCGCTGGTTTTGGATTTTGTGCGATATGAGAATCGCGCGAGCCGTCGCGCAACGACCAACGGACTCTGCAACAGCGCGATTGTGCACCAGTTGCGGATATTTCAGTAGAGTTGATACTTAATGCAATGTTGCCGTCAAGGATGCGGGTTAATCCGAAATAAAAGTCTGACAAAAAAAATATAATCAAGAAGGTGCATTTCTTATATTAATTGAAACCATTGTAATTAATGTATCGCTCTGCACACTATTTTTAAACTCCTTCATGGCCACATTGTGGCTGTTACATCATCTCCAGATAGTGTAGACCTTTTAGTGGCCGTGTTTTGATGTTTTATGCTCGATGTCATTCAAAACAGATGAATAGGAAGATTTTTGTTCGATGTGGAGTCTCGAAAAAAAAAACAAAAAAAAGTTCGCCCTTTTCTAGGATCGAACCTGAGATCGCTGGTTTACTAATCCGCGGTTTTACAAATTTCATTTGATATGGAGTATCTAAATAAACAAAAAAAACTGATGTTCCCCAGGATCGAACCCGGGACCGCGGACTACTAATCTAAACATATAACATATAACCAATACACCAAACAGTCAGTTTTGTCTTCAGAAAGATCTAAACATCATATTAAACAATGGGCAACTAGATTGTGTATAAAGAAACCCCAAAAAAGTCCCTTTCAAGTCAACAACATTTTCATTAAATCGCTTTATTAATAAACGTAACGTAACTGGCCTCTAAAAGATAACAAATAAATCAGATCGCTGTGATTTTGAAATTATTACTCCTTCCACGTAATTTTGGTTATTACAATTTTACTAAATATCAACTTCCTGTATGCTTCTGATACCTTTAATTTGGACACTATCTAATTTTACGTAACATTAGTTAACGAATATCGTACGAATAATCAGAATCATAGGTATCGATATACCAAGTTATATAAATGTTAATTATATAAGTATATCGGACATCCCGCAGAAAGTGGATTTTTCCGGGCCAAACAACATTCACAGTTAAAAACTTTGCATAAGCGTTAAAAATCCACCAGTTCCAACCTAGAAATAATCCAAACACGCTTCGGGTATCTGCGTGATCCAAAATTCAAACCCACGTCAAGAAAATGTTGTGAACGCATTCGATAGCTTGATGATCATTCAGAGCTGTCTCGGACCTTGGGAACTGAAAAGCTGAAAATCGATCCGCTGGCAGCGGAAAAAATGGCCAAAAACCAAGAATATCCGTTTTTGGGCGTTTCAGACATTTTGTAGGGGATAAAAGTTGAGGGTTTGGATCTGTAGGGGGACCTGTTTTAGGTCTACTAGACGGACTCGTCAGGCTTCCCAGTTTAGCTTGACCGCACTCAGCAACATCGAGACTTTCTTATATGTTGACCAAAAGAAAGTGAAACCTTAAAATACGGCTTGCCACCGGCCAGCGTTTTCTGTTTCGCCGTTGACGAACTTGTATTCTTTGTGTATCCGCGACTTTTACATCGTTCAAACAAAAACTGTCGAGATACAGGCGGCGGCACACTTACATAAGATGCACTCGCACTGACCGACTCACAGAATTGACCCACTTTTGATGTTAATCATTAATAGTGATGTAACTTGATCATAAAATGTAATAGGTGTGAATATTTATATCGTCATCTTTCTGAATGTCGCGACGAAAAAATGCAGGTAGGTTCAACGCGTCATCTGTTCATATAGGATTATGTCGACACAAGTTACCGTTAGCCCTCCTTGGGAACAATTTTTCACGTAATCTACATTCTGAGGAAGTCGGCTGAAAAAAAAAAACGCTAGTTGACTTGTTTTCGCCTATCCCGATTGACTGTACTATTCTGTAATGGTACCTGAATTGATCAGGCAACATGGCCGAAATTGCGCCCTCCCATGGCCAACACGCAAACTAAAAACTGGCGCGAATTCCGCAACTGGAAAATGAGAGAGTGAAACGTTTTCGAAATGACTTTACAGTTATTTGTTACAGCTTTTTGGTTGTGCTTTGTGATGTTGTGTACTTAGACACGTCAGAAACAATTGACAAAAGAGTCTAAACCATAACTAGTGTCATCTCTACATATCTGATAATGTTTAAGGCATAATACATCACCATTTAAAAGAGTAGGAAGTCATGGAAATGTAAAAACATTAGAAAAGTACATACAAACCAAACGTCACCAATTAAATTAAACGCAAACATGAGTCATAAAAGTGTAAATAACAGTAAAAAAATGTACATACATAGGTAATTAAAGGTCAATATTTAAGGGGGCGATTTTTGAAGAGAAGACTTCATATGAATTTATCTCCTGAACGTTTTACCGCTTTAGATACATTTGGGAAACACTGCATTGATCAATGTGCTGTATCGGCAACAACATAATGGATACATACGAGGATATTTCACAATGCTTGTTACATATCGACCAGACACGTAAAAGACATTATATAAGAATCTGTAATGCATCAGAACCGTGAATAAACATATTACAAACGAAGGCACAATGCGCATAATGCCATTCTATGAGGTTCATTTTATGCTTTACATTTTTATTCAAGCAATTTTTTATGTCCACAAATTTCATAGAATTATATATGCAACATGAAAGATCCTGAAGGCGTATTTCTATCTTTCAACTTTACTCAACTAGCTGAGGCTATTCTTTCTCACATTTAGAAACATGATTAGTGATTTTGATTATTATCAACAATTCTTGAATGCTTGTGGTAGGTATGTTCAATCTAAAGGTCACCTTTCTCTGAAAGTAAAAATCAAAGTACATTTTATTGATATATATGACTCGATCGAAAAAGTACCTAGTAAAATTTTTCAAAGTCTGACGCGTAAAGTTATCGTTTCTCTCAAATGGTTTGTCGCTCTTAAGAGTCAACGTTGGATCGGCAAAGTAGCACTTTGCGCTCGTATTACATAAATCAAGATTGTATTTTCAAAACTAGGCATCTCGAAAATTTACGTCACATTTCTCTTTCTCATCGTAATTTTAAAAAATGAATAAAAATACCCGGACTAATTTATACGTAAGTACTACCAAGTACTAGTTGGAACATGTTTTTTTGGGGAGCCTTTTTATCTACAAAAATTCTTGAAACATTATCGTTCATCAACGTTTTACAAAATTTAAAAAAATAATGATTTTCGAAGATTTCAAAATATCCCAAATTTTCGTAGTTTTTCGAATTGCAAAAACGTCGAAAACAGTGCAAATTTTGAAAATTTACAAAATGACAACCGTTCAGCCGACTGTGTCTGGGGAGATCCAACGTTGCTCGCAAACATCACAACACTATAGCTTAAAGACGTTTTAAAAACTCGTTCTGAGATGTTAGAGACGTCGTAAAGACGTCTTGTGAACGCTGTACGGCTTCTTGAAGACGTTGCAAAGACGACGTTTGTTGCATAAATCGTGCGTCTTAAAGACGTCTTTATAATACGTGCGTAAGGTACTAAAAATGACATTGACAGATGTCCCAGCTAGAGATGTTGCAGAAATAAATATAGAGATGTGCTCGCTTAAATCGACGCATCATCTGATGCCGAATTGATGAATTAAAACAGGATGATGCAATGAATTTTGAACTTTAAGAGATTCCAGAAAAAGGTAAATCGACAAATAAAGATATCTGAGAGATTCAACGACTTGTCCTTTTGCATACTTCAAAAAAATGAAAACTGTTAAAAAAATATATGAATTGTCGCACTAATGAGATAACTTAAAGACGTCTCAGGCATTCAGACATTATAAGTGCACAGAATGGACGTCCTTAAGACGTTCTGTGCTATTTGGGCTTTTTTAAGGATTCCGTACTTACTTTTAAGCGCCCAATTCTCCGCCTTGCCCAGCCCCCGAATATACGCCTCCATATCCTTTTCGCACCCCTTGGACAACTTGACCCCTACTTGCGCCCAATTCGCGGCCAACTGTTCCGTATTATAAAAATCCAGCACCCTCGCCAGGCTAGCCCTGACCAAAGTGGTACCGTTGCCGGCAGTACCGCTGACGTTCACCGCCGGAAGCGAGTACTTCGCCTCGACGGATGTACCTTCGTCGTACTCCATCTGAGGGGTGGTCTCGCCCCCGATAAGGGCGGCGCTGGTAAGCAGTACGGCTGAGGCCGCGAGTATTGTCAGCATTGTCGCGGCGCGGTACTGACTGCTTTGCAATGGAACTGCCGCGAGACAGTCGCGGTGCTCGAGGAACTTTCACTCTTCGTTGCGTGAAGGCGGCATTTCTTCGGTAATAAGCAGTGGTGGAGGTGCAGGGGATAGAGGCAGCGTGGTTTCCGGCACCAGCTATTATTTACGAACACGTCAAAATTATCGTACATTATCCCACACCGCGCCTTAGGTTCTCTCAGGATTCATGATGAAGGGGGGGGGGGGTGTTTCCCACTCTTTCCTATAAGCTTACTGTCTATGTTTGGCTTTCTTCAAAGATTCCGCTCCTTTTTTTTGTTTTCTGTATTCGAGAGTATCGCGTCTTTTGTTGTGCATCTCGTTATTGAATTAAAACCGATTAAATATCGAAACTGATTGACGGCAATTTTTCCCGTTGATGTTTGCCGAGATGGTCCGCATAATGCTAGCCAACCCATTATACAGAGTGGGGTACGCGCGCTTGTCTATCAAGCCGCAACACTGACAGCTGCATGCAAGTGTTAATTGAACGTAGTTGTTAGATTGATCATCTGAGAGTAAATAATGCTCATTCGCAAAATTATCGTACATTCAGCTGTTATCCTACACATACTATCGTACATCGTACAGTACTTGAAATTATCGTACAGAAACCATAATTATCGTACGTCTGGCAACGCTGACTGTGAGGCTCATGTCCTTGTCATTGATATTACGAAAGCGTTCGATCAGCTGCGGCATGCTGTCCTTTTATGCGAACTCTGGAATGCATGTCGTGATTATCCGATTGGAATTCACGTCAGGATTAGCCGACGTGACTACCCGTCAGGAATGCACGTCGTCGTTGCCTGTTACGAATATACGTCGGGATTGAACGTCAGGAATTCGGCGTGTCAAGAGTGCACGTCGTGACTGACTGTCGGGAATACAAATCGTGATTCCTTGTCGAAAAATAGGAAAAAAAATGTCTTATGAACCTGGGTCCCGAAATGCAGGGTTTTCAAGAAACATGGTGATAAATTTAAGAATATCTTATTTAATATCTTAAAGAATGTTTACTCGATGCTGTTGACGTTCGGCAATTTTATTTGTTGTATGATGAGGCAAATTTAGCCCTAAATAGAATAAAATTATTAGGTTCAGTGGCGTCCAGGGGGGCACCTTAGCGAATATTTTTGGCAAAAAAATTACGCCATCGCCTTTTTTGTAACTTTAATATTTGTTGTTCGATTAAGCATCTAAAAATACAACTTCTATGTCTCTTGTATTTTTTCTTATCTCACTTCGTTTCCGAGAAAAAAATAAAAACCAATTTATTGCATAACACTGGACAAAATTGGTTTATTAATTGTTGCTAAGCAATTCACAAATGCCTTGGAAAACAGTAATAATTAGCCTCTTAATTAAACAAATAATATTGCCTTAACAGAATTGAGCAAATACTTTTAAGATATATATACAGGGTGACTTCGAAGTCGAGTCATTTATTTTAACAGTGAGTAGATCTGATCAAAAGAAATGTTTTTTTCCTTTACCATTTTTGTGGTAAAATTAAAGTAACAAAGTTATAGCCCTTTGGAAGTTTGAGTACCGCCCTGTCTCAATAATAATATTATGTGCTCGTGTTTGGCAACAACGGATATAATCCGCCTTATCGGTTCATCGCATCGGAAACAAAAAAGCGAAAGAATTTGGAACGATGTTTTTACAATTATTTTATTCAGTTGTATATAGTCAGTGTCAGTCGGTAACGCGTGAGTGAATAGTGGTGTCTGTTGCGTGGCTCAAACGAAATCAAAAATGGCACATGTTTATGCGGATCGGTTTCCCAATCGAGTGCAACCAACCCCTCGTGCCTTTGTTAATGTAGTACAACGGGCTCGTGAATCAGGTGACTTAAGACCTCACAGGAGACGGCATGCCGGTGCTCCAAGACCTCACGATCAAATACAGGTCCGCACTGAAATACTTGTCGGGAGGATACTTTATAAAACAAGGTAACATTTTTTTTTTTATTTTTACACACATATTTTGGTTTATCTTCCTTCTACAATCATTAGCTGAATATTAATGACTCAACTTCAAAGTCATATTGTATCTTGAATTCGGACCCATGTGTATAGAAACTCTTTTTCATATTTTTCAACAAGGAATCACCTTCTGAAGTATGTCCGACCATTTTTTTAACATCCTGTATAAGTCTTTGGACGACTGGAATCGAAAAGATGATAGGGATAACCAGTCTTATTATAGTGACTACTGATTTTTTTTAATTATTACTCTCAATATTCTAATAAAACTGTGACAAAGAATTATAACATTTAACATAGGTTTTTATTATTGTAGTGTCAATTTTGAAAACAATATCTTTAGAAAGAAATCTTTGCTATTACAACTGATCAATGCCAATTTGTGGGAAGTAAAAAGATACATTTGTTTAAGAAAACCCTTACTGAAATGTATGCATATCCACCTATAGTAAAAAAATTGACTCCAAAACAGTCCACGGTAGATTATTTTCTGTGGAGATGTATCTTATTTTACTTCATCTTGTTGGTTCATAAGAGCATAAGAGCACACCAAATATCGCAAAATAATTTAATAAACCTTATCATACAGCAATATAAGACATTACAAAGTACAGAAGTATGGAAAATATACAGAATGTTACAATAATCTAGACTAAACGTGTCATCCAAGCACCAACTTTATCAGTATAGTTATTACATTGAGAAGTATCAGAGGCACTGAAATAACAAATATTAATTAGAATATTTTTATGTTTCTGGGAGAAAATATATTTACCTCTAGCTACCGTCCTGATGGAATGGAGCAAGTTAAACAACTGGGCTTTCGTTGAAGGATTTTCTCCAAATCCATGGACGCCGGCGCTTTTGGAACCCCAACCAACTAAAATGAAGACATTCATCAATCTAAAGGGCTACCTTGTATAGGCTGGCACCGATACTTCTTTGCAATTCTGGGCATACGGTTTTGGTTAGGTACTTACTTTTGCTAAGAAATCTTTCTTCATTCAGAATGCATACCGCATTCAAGCACAATAATGATGCTTCAAATAGATTCCACAACGTAATCGCCATAGTTCGTTGGATGTTTAATTCAGAATAATAAATATGAACATTTAAAAATCGTCCAAATCATTTATTTGTTGACAAGTAGCAGCCAAAGGAAATCGAAAATGACAAGTCGACAAAATACGTCAATCAAAATGTGACATGGAACAACAAATAGACGGAATGGAGTTCATAGAACTGGACTATACATTTTACATAACCTAGAATCATTTTTAAATATAAAATATAAACATTTTTAATTGTATTCAGAATTTCTTGTAATGTTTAGACGTATAAGTTCAAAACCAATTTTCAACTCGATTTGCAGCTCCAGGGAGCAATGCTTCACCGGTAAAAACTGCTATCGCAACTACGGTAAGCGTATGGATTATTTTGTAGGTAAATAAACATTGAAACTTTGCATATTTTATAGCTAGCCCGCCGAAGAGGTTTTACAAAAACACAAACATTTTACGTAGCGATAAGAAATTCGAAATAATTTTGGATCAACGAAAATTAAAAACGCCAAAGGGAAACATTTTCGCTGTGGAGAGCGAACCACTTGCGTTAGCGATAGCCACAGAATGGAACTTGCAAAAAGATAAAATTATACAGAGCAAAATGCATCTGGTGAGTTCTTCAACAGTTGAACCGTGATCATGAACTTATGCTTGAACTTAAACCAAGGAACTTATTATAATGCGAAACAGGGCAGTGCTTCAGGGGGCCCCATACCAGTAACAAGAAGAGCACTGGTGTGTCGTATAAATGCAGTAGTTTTCTTACATTACAGTATACAGTATAATACTTTGTCTAACTTAAAATCCCATTTCTTTTCTAGACAACTCTATGTAACACCGTTATAGACAACCCAAATAACTTAACAAAATATGATATTGTCGACTATATTGTCAATTATTTGGACACAGATACTGTTCTCTACCAAGGCAATGTAAGCATAGCTTTATTTTTTATTTTGATTCAATAAATTTGTAATAGGACATAAAATGTGATCCTGTGAATGTTTCATTTTTGGTCATGACTTGTGTAATAATAACATAGTTGGATTTTTGAACTGATTAGTATTTTTTAAGGAAGACGAGAAACTGTTGGAGCTGCAAGTGAACGAATGGGACCCTCTTATCGAATGGTTCAACAAAAGATTTGGGCTGCATTTGAAGAAATCCATTCAAATGGATGTGCCGCCTGTCAGTGATCAAGATAAAGCTGCATTGACAAAGCATCTGACGTCCTATAATTTTGCCGCTATAAATGGTATGTATGATCGTATCAGTGTTGAGATTTCACGAGATCCGGTGATTGTATGAATAATCTAGTGATCGGTGAAAAACTTTTTGTAAAGTGGCAATTTCTGGTGATTTTTAAAATCTCATCGATTTTTAACAATCTTTCAGCTACCAAAAACTACAACAATTACTAAATTTCTGAACCGCTCCCAGCTTAAAAAAATAACTTAAAATTCCTGGTGACTTTTCGCGTTTTTCTGAATTCTTTTGGGTGTGGATTAAAACACGGGATTCCACAAAAAGAAATGCACTAATTTATTTACAACACAACACGATCAACTCGACGAAATAGAACATTTATGTACTCCACCGTATTCCGTACTCTGCCTCCATCTCCCGGCCGCCGAGTTATATCTAGTCCCCATTGCAGCTTCAAGAAAAAAACCGGGTGCATCACAAAGCGACATCCAGTATGTTGGAGATCACTTCGCGTCGATCTAGAAGGCGATCCACTGCCACGGTTCTCACGGACGCCGCCAGGCGGCTTGTGCGCCGTGGTTCGCGTAAAAGCAGAGACTCGCCCAACAGATGGCGCCGTTCGTCACAATATGATTATGATGATGTCGGGCGATTAAACCCGATTCCGAAATCATCAAAAAACAAAAATTTGCAACAACAACGCCCCTTAAAATGCTTTGTTATCTTGTTAACATTAAAATCAAATTAACAAAATTTCTTCGGGAACTTCACGCCTTTAGGATTCTGCCGTGTAAAAAATGTCATTTCCTTTCAGGTTTCATGTACGGAGTGGACACCTTGAAATCGGTGGTGCTCACTTTAGCAGCCACAGAAAGATTCATAACTCCTGAAAAGGCCGTTTTACTATCACGCTTAGAAGAAGAATATCAGTTAGGGCACTGGGGTAGAGTTGAATGGGCGCACGATTTAAATCAACAAGACCTTCAAGCTAGGTTATCAGCAGTTGTTTTATTTGTATATTTCAATTCACAGAGCAATAATGTACAGTCGAAAATATAAAACAGTTATTTTTTAAGTTTTACTTTGCATTATTTCGCAATCTTACCTTGACTTCCTTAATCCGTCCCTGTTGTGAAATCCGCACTCAAGTCACATGTCTGGTCCATAAACTACAAAACATCTACGCTGACCCATCTCTACACCTTCATGTCAATTGTAGGTTGGTAGACATGCATCCATAGTCATAGAACACAGGAAAACAGAATAAGTTGTAAGCTATCTTTGTCACTCACGCGTGTTTCGGGAGACAGAACGAGACTTCTGCATCGCGATTTTGCTCGTCTTTTACGGCCATGGGTCTGCAATTTCCCAAATACAACAAAATACGTCTCTGTCTATCTGGCATTTACGCAAGCGTTAGAATTATGTCATTTGTAGATATGGGGGATTTTGAAATATTACTAGATAAACAGCCAGAGTTGCCAGATCTGGTGGAATTTCACCAGATCTGGCGATTTTATAATAATAATGGCAACTTCTGGACAATTTTTAAAGTTTCATCGATTTTGAATATCAAGTATAGAATTTTTTTGTAATCAGAAACCTTTATGTAGATACGTTAATTATTTTTGAAAAAAACGTAATATTGAATTAGATCGTTTGTATTTAGGATTCTAGTTATTTATTAGAACACTTTATACTTGTGTAATGGTAAGCCGACTACTGGAATATGAATTTGAAAAAGTTGTAAATCTGGGGGATTCTTGCGCTTGTTCTGGGGGAATTCTGTTTGAAAATATATTGATTGAAATCGATATTGCGCTATTCTAAAAGTAGGTTGACGTTTCAAATAAAAGAGTACATTCATTTAGAAGCTTCTATATTATCTGTAGTTGGTTGATATTTAGCTTTCAAGGATTCATAAAAAGACACATACTGTTTCCGACTTCTTATAAGCACTGTCGCAAAATCTAAACGTGTTCCGAGAGCCTGCAATTTTTTCAATCTAGTCATAATAGTTTCCGTACTGTGTAATAAAAGTTTCGGTGTTTTGCATATTTGAGCAGCCGTAAAGCCATTGGCTAACAAAATATCTATCTTGTAATTCAGTTTCTTTAAACTGCTGTGTTGTATTGCGGGTTGTTTGCAAATGATATTTTTTGCCATCTCCTCACTACACTCCAGTTTTGTTGACAAATATTCTACTAAAGAATTATGACCAAGAATCGATCTGTCTTCTGATCTCCGCCTTAAATACCTAAAAAAAATAGTCTTAGATCAGAAAACACTTATGAGATTAAAATATAAAATAACGTTAAAAAAGATGTTTTAATTGTAATATTTTATGGTGCGATATGTGATAAGTGTTATTTTTTTAATATTTGACTGTTTTCTGTAATATACAGGTATTTTATTTCCTATACAATGTTTTTTATCGAGAGGAAATGAATAAATGCATAAACTGACAGAAATAAAATTGAGACTGTTAACGGGAAAAAAACTCACGTATCAAAAATGAATGGTTTTGCTCTAACCATCCATGTTTTCACTTTATCAACGTTATTATTTTTGGCTGTGGTGAATCTATTTTTGACCGCATCTGTACTATACTTCAACACCCACAAATCGTTTTTTATTTCTTCTTTGCTGATTCCGAAATCTGAAAAAGTTTGACACAATGACATCTTCCTTCCGCGGTCAATAAAAAAACAATGGCAATATTTCAAGGAGACAGTAAGTCAATAAATGAACATTGGTTCAAGGTCATTTGCAACCATCAGTACGGTAATTATAGGTGTTAGGGCCGTATCGGCGGTTGTTCCCACAGTTGTAGCACGGCTTGATGTTCAGAATCTTTTCTCTCCTTAAGAAAGGCCACATTTCTACTGTTCCGTGTCAGCTATTGCGAGGCTATGTTTTCTACGATTTCAGGCTGATACAAACCAAAAGCATGAACAACTTGATGCAAGATGATATTTGTAACATAACCTCAAAATAGAGCGCTGACACGGAACAGTAGAAAACTACGGAAATCAAGGAGGCCATAAAGGCGTCCTACAATTGTGTTTACATTAAAAACACGATTTTTGTTGTATTTCTTTTATATGGAAATCCCTCTCGAACGGACACATTCTGTCGGTTCCATTGGTGGAGATTACCCTGTATTTATTTACGCAATTTTTAATGCATTTAAGGAGAAAATGTGCTAAAATTATCAATGCACACATAACATTACCTAAGAGTACATTAAATGTATCTTTTATTTGCTCTTCTTTCAATGTAATCAAAAAATGCCTTTTTGCGATATGTTCACATAGTTGTTCCTCATCCACCTGGAATGATATTAGAAAAAAAGTGGTGTCAAATAGATTCTGTACTTTCAGTTATACAATGAGGGGTCGCAACATGTTTTTTTCATATAAAATATATCTCATTTGCCAACTGGCAAGGAAACTGAAAATAAACTAGCACAATTTGTCTTACATCGAAAAGTCCTGACAGGAACTTTATCCTTTTTGGTGCGTCTTCTTTAAGTATAAATCTCTTCAGCGTCCTAGAAGGAATCATGACTAACGGAAGAGTCGTATCCAGGTTATACGGTAACCTTTGCAACAGGTCAATTTTTTCAACTAGGTCTGACACTGCTAGAATATGTGGACATGCTTGCAATCTGTCTGCTGTTACTCCATTTGAAAGACATATCATGTGATTTTTCTCAATACTAACTGCATCAACTTTTGAAAGTTTACTCGACTTTGATACGATATTTAACGCATCGCCTTTTTGTATATTCAACAATCTTACAAGATGTTCCGCTTTCAGTTTCTTCTCTTTTTCGACCGCACGTTTTGATTGCACATTCGAAAGCGTCCTACTGACATTGTTCAAATACTGTCTCGCACAAATTTGAACGAAACCATTGCTCAACTTAGTAAACATCTTAGATACATTTTACAAAATTCAATGGGTTTTAAAGAGAATCCAGATGTTTATATAGTTCGGCAAACGTCAAAGGCCTTTGAGCTTTGAACGTTAGGTGTCAGGACTGTCAGGTTAGATTTATTGCAGTGTTGCCGGACCGACAAAGACGAAATCGGTAGACAGTGTCTTTGAATTTCTGTAGATAACTCTAAACAGACGAATCAACAGGGCGATCCAAACAACTGCAAACTAAAAAGATAGTATTGTAGAAGGAAAAAGTCAGGCCCTTTACATGATCAGCGTTGGGTCAAGGGACTTGCCGGTTCCGTCACGCTGCGTCCTCTATGAAAAAAGTATGTTTTTGTGTTGCATGCACATTCACAGCACAGCTTCCTGAAAGAATCTTTATTACCACTTGTACAATGAACTCTTATAAATCCTTTGCAACGATCATTGAAACTTGGTTTACCATTCTTGTTTATAAGACTCCGAATATTTTTCTGTTTGACTGCTAAACTTGAAACCTCACCACCGGACAACTTAAGCACAGACGCGCTCTGGTTTTCTTATTGCTGTGCGGTGATGAAATAGTGACGGTGATATGTCAGTCTGTACCTGTTACTCGTAAAAACCAATATAGAAAACTAGGCCATCTATGTTCGTCTCTCGTGTGCCCGACTGCCAAGTATGATTGGTATCGGGCTTAAGACTACACAGAATTTTTTTTTCAGCTTTATTTTTCGTTCCAGCTCTTTTCGGTATATATCAGATTTATTCATAAAAGTAGTGGAAAATGACTAAACTGCTTAATTTCAGTGGAAATAGCGAAAGATCGGTAGGTCCGGCAACGCTGCTCTATTGCGATCAAATGTCAATAATTTGAACTTTTGGAAGTTTGAACTAAGGGATTTTGGTTGTGTAGGTTATGAAGGCATTATGCAATGTTCACGTTATACAAATATTTAAAAGTGATTCCTCTGCGGGCAGTCTCAATTAGCCGAAGAAATTATCAGCCTGCATGGCGAAATATCATAAACAATTTGAACTTTTGAAAATTCGGAATAATGGTATAAGTGACACTCCGTGACGTCGTGTCATTTGAAACTGACACATGTCAAACCTATCGCCATTTTGCAAATGTCACATATTTGAGATCGTTAGAAAACTTGTAACAACGTACATTTTCCCCGTTTAATTTCATCTTAAATTAAGGACTTTATTTTAAGTATCTTCCTTGGAAGGTCCGTTTTGTAATCCGCAATTCGTAGTGAGCAGTTGTACATTCTAAAAAGTATGAGTGCAACAGCTTTATTTGCGTGCTCGCGATGTTTTGCGCGTTACCCTTTCGAAGACTTGTCTGCTGGGCAACAGTTGTGTAAAGTAAGTTGTTTTCCTTTAGTCGTTACTTAGCCTAACATTGCTTGCTACGGAAGTTACAAATTGTATGTACCTTAACTTGCCCATTGTGTACGGTGATTGTGACGTCTTCACATTACACGGATTTCGCTTGGCCAATTTTATCGTTTCGTTATTATTTGCGTCTGTCACCGCTATTCGCACATCTAGCAGTTCTGAAAAGCGGATAACGGATAACAAGACTCGATATTCATATGTGAACCCATAGTTCAAGCTTTGATATCGTCAAGCTAGCACTCGAAGTTTATCGCATTTGCTATAACTCTTAACTTCTGTATTTTGCTTTCAAATAAGGCAAATTGCTCCTTCTAAACCTAGTTACAATGTCAAGACCAAATCCTGACCTTAAAGTGCACAGATACTTCAGTAGGTTGACAGTGACTAGAGGGAACAAGGTTAGGGCCCCAGAGGAGACAAAATTGGTTCTCCAAACTATGACACCCATTTACAGTGTCCAACACTATCCACTGATAGTGACCCAGAAGTTTACAGGTTAAAATTCTCATTATAACTATATATTTGTGTCAACTTTTGTTTTTATTGTGAGTGGAATGACACATCTTCATTTTATGTGTTTTGTGTTAGTGTTTCATTAAAAATTTTAGCAGGAAGTGTTAAATTTGAAAATGTGTGAATTTTGGACAAAAATGTTGCAATTACAAAATTATTAAAGACAAATTTTGATAGTTTGTTCTGTATTTAAATGAAGAAATCTCTTTGATGTGATGAACCTGAAAATTGAGTGGCTTATAATGATTTGGCAAACCTTGAAAATCACAAGAGTGAAAAGTAATAATACAGTAATGGACAAAAGTATATAGACACATTATTATTTCTTTTTTAACTTGTTTTATTAATACACCAACCTATATACATAATTCGTTATAGCATAATACTCACTTATATAAATTCATTAGACTCACTTCAATAAAAAATTAATTGAAAAAAAACTGGAACTATGAAGGACAAAAATATATAGACAAAGCAAAACAATTATAGAAAAAAGAAGCAAGGTTCATTGAATTATGGAAAACCAACCATGTTTGTGTTATTATTGATCACTGCCTGGCATCATCTCGGCATAGTTTGTAGAAGTTTCTTGATACAAGATTGTTTGAATAATTTTTACCTCGTATTTGTTTATCTAAGTATTCCCATAGATTTTCAATGGGGCTTATATCGGGAGACTGTGAAGGCCGCTTGAGAACTGGTATTTTTTCATCCAGAAAGAATTGCTTTGCGAGATTTGACATGCTTTAGTATGTCTGTGTATACAAACTTATCCATAATGCCATCTATTCTATGTAAAGGTCCCATCCCAAACCCCGAAAAGCACCCCCAAACCATAACAGATCCGCCTCCATGTTTGACAGTGGGCAAAGTGTACTTGGGGTTCAATCTTTATCTACTAGGATTTCTAACGTAATCAACACCATCTGATCCAAACATATTGAAAATGGATTCGTCACTGAAACATACCCTCTTCCAGTCAAGATGCAATGGTGCAAATTGTAATTGGTCCTTACGGTTTTTCCTCGAGATTAGCGGCTTCTTACTCAGGAATAACTTCAAATTATTTAATCTTCTACTTATAGTTTTCATAGAAACACACAATTCCTTTTGTCTCGATTTCGGCTTTTATTTGTCTTGGGGTTTTAAACGGGTCTTTGGATGAAATTACTGACCTAGCATTTAGTTTTCTAGGCCGACCACTTCTCTTAGAGGCTTCCAAGGTACCTTTTTGTTTATATTTGTTCAATATTACTAACTATATACTTTCGTCGAATACTGTATGTCATTTAGTAAATTTATTAGTTAATGTTAATGTAGCTTATTGGCCATAAGTGTCAGGACTCCCTTTATTCGTCAAATGATCGCCGACTTTACCTGCAAAAAAATCGGTCACGCAAAATTCGGATAATGTGAAACGTGGCCGTTGCCGTTTTTGCTCTTTCTTGTTGTGTATAGCGATTCGATCCTGTTTTGTAAGTGAATTTTTTGTTCCCGATTAGGAGTGCCGCGGGACATATCCCGTGGTAAAGTGCACGTACTGTCGTTCCGAATTCCAACAAACCTCGAAAGGCAGCACATCGACGATTTGCAAAAAGTGCGAACAGAACGTAAAAGCATATGGAAAACCTACCGCCTGCGAGTATTGTAACATAATCGCAGCTTTTATAGGGAATAAATGTCAACGTTGTACAAATTCCGAAATTAAATATGGCCCGCCAGTCAACTGTGAACAGTGCAAACAAAAATGTGCTTTCGATCGGCATGACGACGACAAAAAGGTAAATATGAGACGAATATTACTCAGCCGATCGTACCGGGTCTTCGTTGAGTATGTGCCATAAATTGAACAGACGATCCTTTGAGTAGTTGGTCCGCGAATTCTTCCTTCTCAACATGTTAAATTTAAAAAGAAAAGTTTTTTTTTGTAACTTGAGAACGAACAATTTGTGAACCTGTGTTTATATGAACTTTTTTTAAAATTACTTAAAGAATGATCTGTGAAATTTATGGTACATCCTTGATTAACACCCTGTAAAATGAAGTGAATCTCAGAAAGAAAGGTTATAAGTTGAAAATGTATAAGACCCTTGATCTTGACGTTTTACTGGTCAACCCTAAAGTTTCATATACCTGGGTTGATTGATGTTACACTCTTTCAGTGTATATGCTTCCATTTTTGTTGTGTAATAATATTTACTCACTGATTGTACAAAGAAAACAAAATAAGTAAATAAATATAGGAGGCATTGTTTTGAATACCGCCTTGAACAACGTGCGGCAATAAAACAAAATATGATTAGACTATATACAGGGTGACTTTGAAGTTGAGTCATTAATTTTCAGATAATGATTGTAGAAGGAAGATAAACCAAAATATGTGTGTAAAAATAAAAAAAATTAAAAAAAAATGTTAACTTGTTTTATAAAGTATCCTCCCGACAAGTATTTCAGTACGGACCTGTATTTGATCGTGCGGTCTTGGAGCACCGGTATGCCCTCCATTGTGAGGTCTTAAGTCACCTGATTCACGAGCCCTTTGTACTACATTAACAAAGGCACGAGGGGTTGGTTGCACTCGATTGGGAAACCGATCCGCATAAATCCGTGATGCCCCGTAAATAAGAATCATGTCCACCAGTTCAGCATTTTCGTAAACATGTGCCATTTTTGATTTCGTTTGAGCCACGCAACAGACACCACTATTCACTCACGCGTTACCGACTGACACTGACTGTATACAACTGAATAAAATAATTGTAAAAACATCGTTCCAAATTCTTTCGCTTTTTTGTTTCCGATGCGATGAACCGATAAGGCGGATAATATCGAGCACATAATATTATTATTGAGACAGGGCGGTACTCAAACTTCCAAAGGGCTATAACTTGGTTACTTTAATTTTGCCAGAAAAATGGTAAAGGAAAAAAACATTTCTTTTGATCAGATCTACTCACTGTTAAAATAAATGACTCAACTTCGAAGTCACCCTGTAGATTTATGTGGCTGAGGAACTACTGTACGACGAATTTTGTACCTTGTACAGGATGGGCCATCAAGTTCAGCGGATTTTAGAAAATCATAGAAAAAAACTACAAAGTATAGGGAAGATAATTTATATTTTTATTTAATCTCGACTTCAAATTCGTGAAAACTCGTTGGCATCTCCTCGGAAACGTTGTGCTTGAGCTGGACAATCGTCGTCGGTTTATTGGGAATCCCCAGAGGAAAAAATCCAGTGGCGTCAGATCTAGGGAAAATATTATTTGTTTCATATTGAGAAAAACAGCTTGCTGCAACATTGTTTATTATCCCTGTAACAAAATACAGATTGCAAAAAATTCAAAATACCTATAGACAGTTTAAAAAGGTACGATCACCTTTCTGTCTCAGATATGGAACGTCAAAATAAACGTTTTATACATCTTCAAAATATTATTTTTCATTCTCGGGTTGAAAACTTACATGGGACTACGACGCAGACTTGGTAGTGTTGTTTTGCAATTTCAGGTGGACGGTAAGCTGTTGTGCTGGCTGTGTACGTTATCTTTTAAAAGGGCGTTAGCAAAGACGAAGCAAGGAGATGCGGACAGAAGGGCGCACATGAAAATATCACATTTGCATAAAAACAAAAAGGAGGGAAAGTGAGTGAACATTCGGGTGAAGCTACTTGGATTGTTTGTCGGAATACTTGGTATAAGAGATAGGCGTCCAAAAAGAGAATAAATTATAACGGAGATTTGCGAAAAATACACTATCCATCATACCATCATCCAGCGATAGTTTGCGTAGAAAAAACTGGCGACTATGTAGAAAAATAGCTCAATGATCAACGTTTCCAATGATAAATTCGTTTTTTCCAAAAAAAAATTCCTTGTCTGAAAAAAATATGGGAAAATTATTTATGAGACAACCCTCGTATATGTCCACGAAAAATCAGATATGGCTTGGAAAGTGGTTCTCGGATTTTGATGAAATTTTCACACCAAGGACGAAGAAGCTTTGTAGTTTTTGAAAATCAATCCAGTATCGGCGCAGAAAAGGGCCGAAAATCCTGGTAGTATTTGAAAAAAGTTTAGGCGTAACAATCGCTTGAGATTTTAAATAGGAATATAAGTTTGACTGTGAAATGCAAAGCATCAAGAATTCTTCATTCATCAGAGTACAAATTAATTTTGGGCCAGTTTTTGGGGATTTAATTTTTTGTTAATGTTTTTTTTTGACTTTCCATCAACCACCTCGACATTGAAGTTGACGGTTGATTCAAGATCAGTATGAAAGCTTCGACAATAAGTTCCATATAGACTCGAAAATTACAAAATTCTACGTTCACATACATATGTGGATCCTAGGATTGTTCTATTGATTCTACAGTGACATTTTGTGGAATTTTTCTTTATCAATGAACCGATTGTAATTATAAAATAGATTTTACTAGTGGTAAAACAGACATATTTCTTATTCCAAGTATTTTTATCAAACATTATCGGTGTGATCGAAAATTTCGCATAGTTCAAAGTTTGTTAGAGGACTTTGTACATTTCTTCCAGTGAACATGAAAGATCTTTGTCTCAAAAATTGTAGTATAGTGCTGTACAAAAAACCTGTATCCAGGCACTATATAATGATAGAATACAAAACAGAAAACTAAAATTCAAAAATGTACTAAATGTACATACACGCACAGCTCAAGCATTGAAAAATACAAACTTAAAAATGAAGTTGATCACTTTTCTTTAAATAAAATAAGCAATCACACGACGCTGAGAATGTGAAACAGGTTAAAACTTGTGCTGCACCATATAAGGTTCCAATTTTACGAGGATATACTTGAAAATATTAAAATTATTTTCCACCAGTCCATAAAAAAATTATACACGAATTAGTAGGACCCTTTTCGGTTGCGGTAAATCAGTGCCGATCTTCAGCTTTTTCCTAGGCGCTAAATTGAATTGTTTCTAAACAAAAACAGGAGACATTAAAAAATATAGTCTGTCTTATTTTGCATAGTGCTCACTATTTTTTTTTGTGCTCTGCAAACCCTGACTGAGTCACCCTACCCTGCATAATGGTTTAAATAGTATTTTTCCCTCTCAGTGCGTGGCAGTCTTTCTTTCCTCAATAGTACCCAAAGGCGGTCTGTTACGGACCAGGTCATTTATGAATATTATTAAAAGCGTCGGACCTCTAACGGAACCGTGTGGGACCCCCTGCTTTATCTCCAGTATGACGTAATAAGTCAACTCGGAACATGCTTCAAAAGTTGCACTACAGTATCTCCGGATTAGTTTTCATCGAGGTCCAAAAGATCTTTAATAGTCTCGCGATCACGTTCTTGCCGAAATTTTCGATCTCGCTAGGTTAGACACGTAACAACGATGCACGAACTGACATTTGTAGACCTCGAAGTCACAGTAAAAGGCCTAACAGACCGGACGTAACGAAAATCCCACCGCCGGAAGAACCGCAGAACAAGATAGCCCGTAACAATTCGGCACCTGTGATCGTTAGAGGCGAAATGGATCCGCACAGTTCGGATAATGTGGTGGCGATGACGAATCTCAAGGAGCAGATCGCTAGCCTGACGAAGCAGGTCAATCAGAAGAATCAGGAGCTGTTAAATAAGGACAAAACGGTGGGTATCAAACGTCGACGTCGCATACAAAAATTTTGGTATCAGGTCATGGAAATCTCGATAAAGGAGGAGGCACAAATCTTGCTCAGACTTTGGTTTGGGACAAACCAGTCTACGGTCGATTTTGCTCAAACTTTGGGAATCGACCGATCAAAAGTTATCACACGCTCCACCCAATCTTAAGGAACGTTTCCACGATATACAGGGAGTATTGCTATTGGGTATTATTATGTATACTACAACTATTTAAAACTGTAATGACTCATACGCGTGATCAACACGTGATCAGAGCTCGATCCCGGCTTCCTTCCAGTACAGCCGCATAGCGTACGACATATGTCGTTTCTGTGGCTTTGCGGTGGTCAACAGCACAGACAGAGATGGAAATAATGGCTGATTGTTCTCCGCCGGTAGAACCAATGAAATCAAAGACGCGCCTCGACCGGCAGACTCATAGGCGTCGGCAACGCTTCGGAACGTGTTTCGTTGAGCGGTCGCATATTGTGTGTTTTTATAAGAATTGTTGTGTGATTGTTATTGTTGTGGTTTCTGTGGTTACTGTTTTGGTTATACTTAACCATGGAGAGTACAAATGGCGCGAGTGGAAGTACTGAAAGCCAGGGAACAAGTAGACGGTTTCGTAAGGCACTGAAGAGGGACGCGAAAGAAATCGCGCTCAACGTGTTCAATTATCTGAACAGAACTATGTCGCGTTGTGAAAGTATGACAGGCGTTCCAGAGTGGACCATTCGCAGGGTGGTGCATGAAAAGAAGAAAACTGGAGCTACTACTGATCCAAAGTTTAATTTGAAGGGACGAAAGGCCGTTAAATTGGATGACGATAGCAAAATGGCGTTAAGGCGAACCGTACATTCATTCTTCTTTAGGAATGAGATACCAACCCTCAAGGCTGTACATGCAGCGATCAAGGAAAATCAAATTATACCCCAAATGAGCGTCGAGGTAATGAGGAAATCCCTGCACGAAATAGTCGCCTGGCGTCGAAAATACCTACGCGAAATGATTGATTATAGGCGACAAAGCAGAAAAATCTATTATTTGGACGAGGCATGGGTAAATGCAGGTCACACAGTTAAAAAAAAAACTGGATAGACAAAAACGTAGTGAGTAACCGACAAGCAAGCATTGAAGGTTTGTCAACAGGTCTTCGTGGACCGTCAGGGAAACGTCAAAGATTGATCGTAACTCATATTGGTAGCGATAGTGGCTTTTTAGAAGAGTGTGACTTGATTTTCGTCTCTAAGAAAGGAGGTGGAGGAGCTGGTTTCAACGGGTGCTTCAGCTAGTTGAGTCCAACTCTGTGATCGTCATGGATAATGCTTCCTACCATAGTCGTCGAGCCGAACGTGTACCGACTATGGGATCTCGAAAAAGTGACGTGCAGCAATGGTTGCGCGAAAAAGGAATCCCGTTTGACGATTCATGTGTGAACGCGGAATTGTATGAAAAAATTAAACAGCACAAACCTGCGAACATTAATTACGTGACTGATGAGATGGCCCGTCACTGTGCTGCGGTTACCGCCCTACCACTGTGAATTGAACCCAATAGAGCTCATCTGGGCTCAAGTAAAGGGTTATATTGCGCGCCATAACACAACCGTCAAATTACCAGACGTTAAGGTTTTACTTGAGACTTCCATACAGCTAGTAACGCCCGAAGCTTGGCAGAATGCTATCCGTCATGTTGTGAATGAAGAAACAAAAATGTGGCAGCTTGACCACCACATCGACACCATCGTAGAGCCAGTTATAGTCAATTTCAACGAGGAAAGCGATAGCGACAGTTTATTACTGTCAGATGTAAGCGGAAGCGACGATGAATAAAGGTAATTCCCAAATTTTTGACTTACAATATGTTTCAAACCACTCTTTATTAAGCATGTGACAAATCTAGTTCACCCATGTTAAACATTCATACCCCGCCTATGAACAGCCGACTACTGGTAGTTAAGTGATGTTCACGTGAACATCGATGAGTCATTACAGTTTTAGATAGTTATAGTATAGTAGGTAGTACGAGGGATGTCTTAAGTTTTGCATATGGAAATAAAACAACACGGTAGGTAGTTTTGAATGACTTTATTGTGTTTCGAAGTATTCTCCACGAAGATTAATACACATCTGCATGCGCTAGAATAAATTTTCGAAACACGTATTCCACTCGTTTGCTGGCAGATACAAAACGGCATTTTTGAATGCGTCAACTGCTTCTTCTGGTGACTGGAACCTTTGACCACGCGGCCTGTTTTTAATTTTCGGGAAAGTAAAGAAATCGTTAGGACTTAGAGCCGGACTATATGGAGGATGGTCCAATAATTCCACGTTTTCTTCCGTACAAAAAAAAATTGTCGACTGATGTGGCGCTTCGTTGCCGAAAACAGACAGTAACTCAGCAAGGCATTCTTGTTGCGATAATTGTCTATGAAAGTTGTAATAAATTGTGGCGCGAAAATGTTCTCGGTTGAGTTCGATTTTTCTAATGACTCGGTGACACTTGAAAATTCACTGTAGTGAGAACAGTGCACGTATTGTTGTGAAACTTTGAATTTAAGTTGTCTAAGGAGTGAGGTTAAGATTCAGTACTGACGTTCGATCCACTATGTTTCTATATGCAAAACTTAAAAGACATCCCTCGTATTGTAAGTGCTAAACTGGTGGACAGTTGCTTTGCAACGTGGAAAATTTTTACCCAAATTCAAATATCGATATTTTCGCAACGGAAAGAAATCGATATATTTCTTTCATTCATCGACTTATACAGGGTGTGCAAGGAAGTCAGGTTTTTTTAGCAAAGTTTGGGGCTATGTCAGATTCTTAATTTTTGATCATGGAAAATTTTCTATGCATCTTTTTGATCTTTGGACTATTCTAAAAAAAATTCGCAAATTTTTCTAAAGTTGGCTATAACTCAAATTATCGAATATTAAAAAAGTGTCACATTAAGCACTAGAAAGGAACTTTTTTTGGGTTTCTCTTGAGAATGGGTATTTTTCTGCAAAGTGAAATTTCTTAGTAGTAGTAGTAGAAAAGATTTATTTAGCACATTTGGCTACATAAACAGAATTATTGTAAACAACTTAGAATTAGTAAATTCAACCTATAATTGTAGATTTAACAAATGATTTCTCAATTTTACTTTAAATTTTGTCAAAGTTTTCTGGTCTTTTATCTTCTTATAATATTCAATCAACCCTTGATGGAATCAGATTTGCAGCATATGTTATACTTTTTGGTCATTAAATGGAAGTCATCTTTATTTCTGGTATTATGTAAATCATGGTCGACATTTGATGATGTTAAATTAGTTAGACTTGATGGAAATATATTATTTTTTACTTTATAAATGAATATCATTGCAGGATATTTGATAAACATTTTTACATTGAGCCATTTTAATTTCCTAAGCATTTGCCTGATTGGAGAATATTTATCTTTATTCAGTATTATTCTCATGCACTTATTTTGTAAAATTTGCAGTCTTTCAAAAATGGAATTATTTGCTAAATATAGAATAGTCGAACACTACAAGAAATTTGGAAGAATGTTGGTATTATAGATAATTTTTCTGCTGCATGAACTCGGACATCCAGAAACTCACTTTACTACTAATCTTATTTATAACTTTTTCATAATGAATATCAAAAATTAATCGAGAGTCAACAAAAAGCCCCAAGTATTTAAAATTTCCTACTAATTCAATATCTTCACCTTCAATATTCAGTTAAACATTTGTACATTGTCTTTTTCCGATTAACATAGCTTTCGTTTTACTCGTATTTAATTTTAGTCTGTTTCTAACCATTTTGAGACAAGTTTCAAGTCTTCATTTATATAAGAGATACCAGTTTGAATATTTTTAGTACTTATATAAATCATAGTGTCATCGGGGAACTATGGCAGGTAAATCATTTATGTATAAAATAAAAAGAAGCGGTCCCAGGATGCTGCCCTGTGGAACACCCAACGTATTTTCAATTTTTGATGAAATAGTCATTAATTTCTAAACCAATCTAAAACACCTAATAATATACCATATGCCTTCAATTTACCTAACAAAATATCTCTATCAATCGTTTCAAATTCCCTCTTCAAATCCAAAAATACTGCTATGACAACTTCTTCCGAGTCTATGGCTCTTCTCCAATTCTCAGTTACCAACTTGAAAGCCGTTTCTGTGGAATATTTTTTTCGAAAGCCTGCTTGCGCCTGCACAAAAATTTTGTTTTCTTCTATAAACTGCATTAATTTTACTGGTCTCATATCGCTGCATCTTTTAGAATTTTTTATTTTGGGAACTGGTGTTATTGTAGAGCATTTCAAATTTTCAGGAAAAGCACTGATTCTCAGTAACAATTGATCCAATTTAATACAGGATATCCCAAAATTTCGGAACAGTTTTTCAGCACGTTTTTAGTAGAGATTTCGGCACAGTTGTTATTTGATTTAAAACTGTTTACTTTTTTTCTTAGATAATTCAATGATACGAAAACAGATTGAAGCACTCATTTAATTTAAACCGAATTTATAAATTTTACTATGCAATTGAACAGCTTAATGAACAAATCCAAGTTACTACTCTTGATATTGTAGGGGAATAACACCAAAAGCATTTTTTGGTTTGGCGAGAAATATATTTTTCAAAACGCTACTCTTCTTTCATCTGGAATTTTTTATCTTTCTCGTTCAGCATCGGCGCCGAGAACAAGTGACAACCTTGAAGGTCACGGTAAGAATTATTGGCAATTGCCGATTCTTAAAGTTTCAGAAAGATTCGCCCGTAAGGTTTGTGTCCGCTCCTTTCGCAACGCCTCGAAGTTCCTACTACTCTAAAAGTAGGGAACTGTAGCATTTTCGATGGCCTTTCAGACGTCAACGTCGAAAGATTGTAATAAACGTCCTTGACTTGAGGTACCGAACGTGTTCGGCACAACTAATTCGCTATTTGCAGATAACGGAGCTGAAAGCGAACAACTTCACGACCGAAAACGAACTCAGGCAAAAGCTGAAAGGTCAACAGAAAGAACACGACGACAAAGTGGAAGGCATGAACAAGCGGATACAAGGTCTGCTGAAAGAGATCGCTAGTTTGTCGAAAACGGCGAAAAAAGGGAGAGCCAGCGCGACGGCGAACGCCTCGATATCGGGCGACAACAACAGCAGCGGCACGGACAGTCCTAATTTGCAGTGAGACGACGAACTTTAAAAAAGTCGGACGGCGTTTTCAGTTGTCGTTGTTCCGGTAAGAGTGTACGACGAAAAGATATATCGAAAATCGGTATTCGCCTCAACGTTGGTGCATATTTTTTTAATATATACAGGGTTTTTCATAACTTCGTGTCTTAGGAAACATGTGTTTTCAAGAAGTTTGATATTACATACGGTTTTGATTAACAGGTGCATGTGTGTTCACAAACATTTTATTATCCTCGGTTTTAAGCTGATTCGAAAGGAAAATAAGTTACGAGCACCCTGTATCCATTAAAATGATGCACTAGTACCGCGGAATCAAAATGTTCCTGTTTGCTTTCCGTTTTCGTTGGGACACCTCGTATGCTGAATACATTATGTAATCATGAGTCTAGAACGTCTTTTATCAATTTCGGCGCGAAAATTTCACTCGAGGGAAATCGTAGCCGTTTGCCAGGGTGGTTCCTTTCGACGTGGTGTTCAAGACGGATCTTTTGTCGATCGTTGCGTGGAGATGAATTTACAGGGTGTGGCGTAAAGAGCGGATAACGTTTAACCTGCAGCTGGAGGACATCAGGACGATTCAAAAAGGTGTGTGTAGTTGCGAGGTTTTCAATTTTCGCGACGTTTTTCATAGGTGGTGGAAACGGACATCTTCACTCAGTGTTTTAAGTCTGAAGGGTTTTTCTCGTTGTTAAATACGTGCTGCAGGTTTGATTGCTTAAAAAAACATTAAAATAGCTAACCTTAATAGGAGCATCCTTTGAATTGACAGCAGCAAATACGGTGTATCATTTTACAATTTCAATGAATTAGGCAAATTATTCACGTCTTGTTACCGCAATATTATTGACACCACACGTGGTCAAACTTGACATAAAAAAAATTTATTTTTTTTCCGAGTTTTGATGATTTTTTACAAAATCAACTAAACCTGTAGCACGAACATGGCAATATATATTTTATGACACACGTATCCAAGAATACTATTTTGAAAAAAGAATGAGAAAAAACCTTCATGTGTTATCACGAGACTTGAAATAGTGAAGGTGCCCGTTTCCTCCAAATTTGAAAAAAGTCACGAAAATTTAAAACCGTGCAATTTATACTAGATGCAGTTTTTTTAATCTTTTATACAGCAGATTTTTTGCAGGAAAAACAATTTTTTTTCCTCACATAAATCGTAAAACACCACGTAAAATTCGTGATTATATAAACAGTGTGACGATCTTATTTATGGCTAGAAAAAATTATTCTGATAAAATCAATATTATCATCTGTGCATTAACTGAGCCTAAAGTAATTTGAATAATACACATTTCTGACGTTTCTGTTGCGTCTGCAGGATTTACGAATGATACAAAAAAATATGAAATTAATATTGAACCTTCCTGAATTTCATCAAACCATTGTAGCCAGGCCTTGGACTCTAGAGACTTTACGGAATGTGCGGTGGATCTTTAACCTTTTGCAGTCAGTTTTATCTTTTTTTATCATGAAATATTGAGTATTAGTGAATATAAAATTGGCCTTCAAATGTCCCGTTAAGTCAAGCCGGAAACGGAGACTAAGTCTTGATCGTTATCAGACGAATATAAAAAAAACAGTACGTGTACTTTTCAAATTATAGGTTTGAAAGAATCGGAAAATCTTCACCCATGATGATCTTTCAGTTCCCACTGCTACAAATTTCAAGTAGGAAAAAGATTCAACCTTCGTTCAGCACAAGATTTCCGTAATACACTTTCTTTTAAAGCACGGACTGATTGAATTTTATAAGAATACATTTTTTGCTTCATTATGCCACGCAGTGTTGACCTAGGAATTCCCGAAGCAGCGGAACGCTTCCGTACAGACCGCCGAGGATTTGCGATGACCGAATCACTTACTCGACGCCGAGTAGAACCTGTTTCACAAGACCTTAATCCACTTTTTCATTAGGTTCTTGGGGCATCTCTTGCTCGGCAATTTCCGAAGGGCAGCTGCGTATAAATGATCGCTCTTAAAATGAGCCTCGATAGCGAAAGCAAGCTGCGCTCCGGTCCATCGTTCCATCGTGACTATTTAACCCGCACGCCTAACGCGTCCCCCAATTCCTACGGTCGCCGCGTAATTCAAATTTGAAATGTGAACACCGAATTAATATGTGCGCGAGAGCGACTATCAGCTGCGTGGTGCGAAGTTTCCGTCAAGGCTCTGTACGTTGTTTATTTATTTCATACGAAATCGTTACGAGACCGCCAAAAGTAGTGAGACGATCCACATCTATTCAGACGTAATTATGTGTGCGAAACATTGTAGAAAATAATGAAAAGATTCAGGATCTAGTCTTAAATAAGATGGTGGTTGTGTATATGGTCAACACTTTGTAACACTCACGAGTTCTGCTCTACTACTGCATCTACGTTACTAGTTTCCTCAGCGTCGTCTAGATCGTCAGGGAAAGTGTAAATTTATTCATAGATAGGGTAAGCTAGGATTTTATACACTGTACAGTGTATATAAACATATGCTATGGAAAAATTGAGATTTAAATCATCTGCGCAACTGCATTTTTAAAGACCTGAAGCTGATTATAGCTAGCTTCAAAACTGTTTATCTGGTAATCTGCATTATAAATTCAACCTTATCACGTCCATTCATAAGTTCAAATTTGAAGGGAATTACAATTGAGTTTTGACAAATTAAAATGAATAATTCTTTATCAGGATCTTCTTGTAACAATATGACATCTGCTAGTTTTCTTGTTGCCGTATTATGGCCCATTCAAAAAGACAACTACCAAAAACAAGTTGGGTTTCAAAAGTAAATTAATATATTTGGGTGAGATGTTCCAATTTTTCCATAAATACCTGATTATTTCATGTCATAATGGTGTAAATTTCAGATAAAATACACCACTGCTTCAAACGACTTATTTGGCATGTCCAAAACCCGATGGGTCTTGGATTAAATATTACTTTACGCCCTTTAAATTTTTTACTTTTTATTTAAACATGTACATAGTGATCTTAGCTGTACAGATAAAAGTAATGAAAAAATCGCCATAACATTTTTGAACATCCAATTGGTCGATACATAAAGTAATCTTGGAAACTTGTTAGGAAAATAATTATCACTGAAAATTACCTTTTGTCATCCTTGAGGGTGGAAGGTAGATTCCTTCTATGTTCAGTCTTTGCCGCGAGATGGAAATATATTCATAGATCTTGATCTGCCGTAAAATGTTATGTTTCGTTTTTAAAGATAACTAAAAATAAATGTGATTTTTTTATGGTAAGTGGTTGTATTGCAGTTTAGTACCAGGTAAATTTCAAGTAAAATTAATATTCAAAGCATGTTGAGGATATTACAATTAATTAAATTGCATTTATGGTTTTTCACGAGTTTCTACTTACGTTTCGACGTCTACTAAGGTGAATCTCAGGATCGAATTTGGAACATTTTACAAAAACTATTTATCTTATTGCGTTCCTACCCGGCTTGAAATATAGTCACGAGCATTTTGTTTGTAGCGTTGGAAATTTAGCCTGCAACACCAGCTGTCGACCAACTTTCAGCATCGACTGTTAAGCAGGTTTGCACGCTACGTCTTATCGGGCGTACAAAACGTACGTTTTGTGCAGTGTATACACATCACGTGTTTTCCCTTACTACTACTACAGTTCCAATCTAGAGTCTTTAGTTGTGTGAGGTTTAATTTCTTTGAGAGAGGAAACACGGCTGCTGTTTTACTTTTTCAACTATAAGGATACAACGACTGAGAGGAAAAGGGATGAAGAGGGAAAAGACAAGAGGGTCAAGGAAGTGGCTTCTGAAAAGAAGAAGAGACTCGTGAAAACCATAAATCGTTTATTTCATGAAGATAAATATTTATATACAGGGCCAAGACCAACTGCGCAAAGGGTTTTAAAAAAGGCATCTTGATGTTAAAACGGACGCAGGAAAGTAAACGCATATTAAAACAAGAAAGATTGATATTCAAATCAAGTTGGGTACTTTATTTTGAAGGTTCATTTATACCATTTATGTATGAAAAATAATATCGCTCAAATGTTCACCACGACTGGATTTACAGACGTCCACGCGATGGTCGAAATTTTCAATGACATTTTGCAACATGGTCGGTTCTATGGCATTTCTCTCGGCAATGATGTTGTTTTTGAGTTCTTGGAGGGTGGCTGGTTTGTTGACGTAGACTTTGCTTTCCAAATATCCCCATAAAAAGAAGTCCAAGGGAGTCAAATCGCACGATCTTGGTGGCCATGGCACATTTCCTCTGCGCGAAATCACCGAAGGACTGCAATCGATGGATATTGACGTTGGTTGTGTGGCATGTTGCACCGTCTTGTTGGAAATAAACATCGTTCATATCCATTCCTTCAAGTTGCGGCAAAAAATAGTCCTCTATCATCACGTGATATCGCTCAGAATTGACGGTAACCGCGTCCCCGGCCGCATTTTCGGAAAAGTAAGTTCCGATGATGCCTTTTGACCACAATGCACACCACACAGTCACTTTTTGAGGATGCATCGGCTGCTCTCGATACTCACGGGGATTTTCGTTCGCCCAGATGCGGCAGTTTTGCTTGTTTACCGTCCCATTCAAAGTGAAATGCGCTTCATCGCTGAACATGATTTTTGATGAAAAATTGGCATCAATTTGGCGGTGTTCGAGGAGCCAATCTGAGAACGTTCAGCGCGAAAAATGGTCGGCTCGACGCAGCTCTTGCGTCAATTGGATCTTGTAGGCGTGTACATTCAAATCCTCGTGGAGAATGCGGAGCAAACTGGTTCTCGAAATGCCCAATTCTTGGGATCGACGATTGTTTCGAATCGTCTCTCACACTCTCCTTCACAACAGCAATATTTTCCGGTGTGCGAACGCTCCTTGGCCGGCCAGAGCCTGGCAGATTTGCCACAGAACCTGTTGCCTCGAATTTACGCACCAGACGACCGATGGTTGTTTCGTCTGGGCGGTTGTTGCGACCGAAATGTTCACGAAGCGCGCGAAACGTCTTTTTTATTTTTGCACCATTTTTGTAGTGCTCTTGAATAACTTTAATGCGGTCTTCAATCGAATACGACTCCATAGCGCTCAATGGTGAACATTCAACTAACTAAATGACATGTCGGTGACAGAAAACAAACATGGCGTCTATGTCAAATTGACGTTTACTTTCCTGCGTCCCTATTGGACAATCCTTTAGGAATCGTGTTTTGATTTCGGAGTGAGCATACCTTCATTTTCTTGGACAGTAGTGATTATAGATGTTCGCTCTCTTTTTGTTTTAGCAATCATAATATTTTTGATACATCTTTTTTTTAACCTGGAGGTTTATGAACATTTATTTTGAATTTTTGATCATCCTGAAGTTTATCGTTTAATTTTGGCTGGACTTGGTAATATTTCTCTTACTATTATACAAGAAAGAGGAAAATGGAAGCTTTAGGAATAATTTTTGCTAAAATAGCACATACTGAATTTTTTAGATGATTAATCATGGAACTTAAATTTCATACAGACCAGTTTTTACAGCAAGTGGTTCAACTGGAGTAATTTTAGCAATTTTTCTATGGAGCGTTCTTCATAACACATATGTTGAAGCTCACTTTGCTTTTATCAATTTTTGAAAATAATGTGTCCAAGGTGGCGGCGACACTGTTGGAGTCGACTCCTGAACTCGTTTACGCAAAACAGGGGGTGAGGACGATGCCAAACCACTTTTTTTTTCTAGAAATCCTCGGAGAAAAGTAGTCACAGATACTCAAATCTGTAATCAAAAGATGTCCTCTGCTATATTTTAAACAATTCCCTTAAGCAAGGTATCTTTCCATATAGTAAGCACGAAACGGAAGACAAAATTCGTGCGAAATCCGATTTGTAGAGGTTCGCGCGCGAAACTGACGCTTCATTTTTCAATATTTTCGGATGAAATTTTTACAGAGTGCCGAACACAAAACCCTACACGGTACTATCGAACCGCTTTTTCATTTTTTCCACTAAGCTCTTTTTAAAAAAACCGTGAAACTCAACAAAATAAGTAAGCATTAGTAAATCTTGTGCAAAAACAAAATGTCAAAAAGTGCTCCAAGTACTTCTTCTGAACATACTGTATGGATTTCGTTCGAAAATATTGAAAAATGGAGCGTCAGTTTCGAAGCAGCTGAACCTTTGTAAATGGCGAGTTTCGGAACCGCCCTAACTTCTTCAATTCGCCCCCCGAGTTTTTAATTTAATTTCGATGGTGTTTTTTTTATTATAATTGCGATAAATGTAAAATGCTCGCTCCAAAATTAAAATCATTTTTTGCATGCGTCCAGATTGCCTTTTTAATAATTCATTGAAACTGCTTATTTGGTTTTGGCGCTCGCTGTACATGATGACCTTTCTATTAACCGAGCAAATTTTTTTCTCTTATTATTCAACTATATGTGTTTATCTTGACATGCATTGAATCATAGAATATAAAGATATCTAGTGTACATTTAAAATCATATTTTGTGACAAGACTTTAATTATACCAGAGAAGTTTTACTTCGTTTAAAAAGTGAAGTAATTTGACCGTGTTAACTTTTTTCCATAAAATTCTTTTGTGTTTTGAAGAGTTTAAAAAGTGAAGTAATTTGACCGTGTTAACTTTTTCCCATAAAATTCTTTTGTGTTTTGAAGAGTAAATTTGTTAGGAGAAACGCATAGCATAGAAGTGAAAATACTGTTTGTGAATTATGTAGTGTACTTCGATTTTTAATTTTAGTGTTTTGATTTCTCTTATGAAACTATTAAGCTGTTATTCAAAGCTTATTTTAATTAATCTATATTAATTTATTGAAAATCAAAGTATTTTTGTAAAAATGCGTTAGTGTCATGTGCTATTAAGGATTCAATAAAAATAAATGTAAAAAAGGTTTTTTTTACTAGTCCTTTGACCCTCGTGATTTGTATAATAAAACTCTGGTAAATGTAAACACACACATATATTTATTACAACAGGTCAAATAAATGTTTAACAACTTAACATTTGCTTTGGAAGACAGTTACATTTATCACATATTAGACGAACATTACGTACAGTATTACAGTAATTCTTTGCTCCCGTTTTTTATGTTGACAAGAAAATGATCATTTTAACGATAAAAACATTCGTGTAAAAAAATCTTGAAAATGGATAGAAATAGAGAAACTCATTAAGGAAATGAAAACCTGCCTGAGAACATAATACGAGAAATTTTCAATAATAGTCAACACTGTTGCACAAAACGATCGTAACGAGGAGTTTGAAAAATGGAAACTATGCCATTTATATTCCAAAAGTTAGTCTTCAGAACAGGACAATTGTAAAAATAAAATGCTACACTAAAATTTATACAGGGTGAGAAAAAGTATAGATGAGAAAGAACGTAGTATTGTAACAGTATAAAAATGGAATTTGTGACTATAGATAGGGAAACATTGTTGATTAAATTACATTGGGATCGATGTTGAACGTTTTGCGAAATTATTTAGTAAATGTTTCGGGACGATGGACGAGAGCGACGCATCTGGTACATTACAAAAACGAAAAGATTTAGTGTCTGTTTATGTGCAAGAGCAAGGAAATCTAGCGATGTTCTATGACATTTTAGTCAAAGATTGCATAACAATTAACCAGCGCGTTACGCAACAGTTCTGAGTGTTTTTTTTTTCGCGTTTTTTGGTGTTTTCGGGACGATGGACGAGCGTGACGCATCTGGTACATTAAAAAAAAACGACAAGATAGAAAAGATAACGGATAAAATCAAAGTAAATGCTGAGAACCAATGCAGACACTGCAAGAAAAAATGGATTCTACAAGCACTTCAAAAAATGGTTTTTGAAGAAAGAAAAAATATTTTTCGATTTAGTGTCTGTTTATGTGCAAGATCAAGGGAATCTAGCGATGTTCTATGACATTTTAGTCAAAGATTGCATAACAACCAGCACGTTACGCAACAGTTGTGTGTTTTTTTTTCGCGTTTTCGGGACGATGGACGAGCGTGACGCATCTGGTACATTAAAAAAAACGTCAAGATAGAAAAGATAAAGGATAAAATCAAAGTAAATGCTAAGGACCAATGCAGACACTGCAAGAAAAAATGGATTCTACAAGCACTTCAAAAAATGGTTTTTGAAGAAAGAAAAAATATTTTTCGGTTTAGTGTCTGTTTATGTGCAAGAGCAAGAGAATCTAGCGATGTTCTATGACATTTTATTCGAAGATTGTATGACGATTAACCAGTGCATTACGCAACAGTTTTGGGTGGTTTTTCGCGTGTTTTTGGCGTTCTCGGGACGATGGACGAGGGTGACGCATCTGGTATATTAAAAAAACGACAAAATTGAAAAGATAAAGGATAAAATCAAAGTAAATCCTAAGAAACAATGCAGGCACTGCAAGAAAAAATGGATTCTACAAGCACTTCAAAAAATGGTTTTTGAAGAAAGAAAAAATATTTTTCGATTTAGTGTCTGTTTATGTGCAAGAGCATCTAGCGATGTTCTAGGACATTTTAGTCGAATATTGCAAAAACAATTAACCAGTGCGTTAAGCAACAGATCTGGGTGTTTTTTTCGCGTTTTTTGGCGTTCTCGGGACGATGGAGGAGGGTGACGCATCTGGTAGATTAAAAAAACGACAAAATTGAAAAGATAAAGGATAAAATCAAAGTAAATCCTAAGTAACAATGCAGGCACTGCAAGAAAACATGGATTCTACAAGCACTTCAAAAAATGGTTTTTTAAGAAAGAAAAAATATTTTTCGATTTAGTGTCTGTTTATGTGCAAGAGCATCTAGCGATGTTCTAGGAGATTTTAGTCGAAGATTGCAAAAACAATTAACCAGTGCGTTAAGCAACAGTTCTGGGTGGTTTTTTCGCGTTTTTTGGCGTTCTCGGGACGATGGACGAGGGTGACGCATCTGGTATATTAAAAAAACGACAAAATTGATAAGATAAAGGGTGAAATCAAAGTAAATGCTAAGAAACAAGGCAGGCACTGCAAGAAAAAATGGATTGTACGAGCACTTCAAAAAATGGTTTTTGAAGAAAGTAAAAATATTTTTCGATTTAGTGTCTGTTTATGTGCAAGAGCATCTAGCGATGTTCTAGGACATTTTAGTCGAATATTGCAAAAACAATTAACCAGTGCGTTAAGCAACAGATCTGGGTGTTTTTTTCGCGTTTTTTGGCGTTCTCGGGACGATGGAGGAGGGTGACGCATCTGGTAGATTAAAAAAACGACAAAATTGAAAAGATAAAGGATAAAATCAAAGTAAATCCTAAGTAACAATGCAGGCACTGCAAGAAAACATGGATTCTACAAGCACTTCAAAAAATGGTTTTTTAAGAAAGAAAAAATATTTTTCGATTTAGTGTCTGTTTATGTGCAAGAGCATCTAGCGATGTTCTAGGAGATTTTAGTCGAAGATTGCAAAAACAATTAACCAGTGCGTTAAGCAACAGTTCTGGGTGGTTTTTTCGCGTTTTTTGGCGTTCTCGGGACGATGGACGAGGGTGACGCATCTGGTATATTAAAAAAACGACAAAATTGATAAGATAAAGGGTGAAATCAAAGTAAATGCTAAGAAACAAGGCAGGCACTGCAAGAAAAAATGGATTGTACGAGCACTTCAAAAAATGGTTTTTGAAGAAAGTAAAAATATTTTTCGATTTAGTGTCTGTTTATGTGCAAGAGCAAGGAAATCTAGCTATGTTCTAGGACATTTTAATCAAATATTGCATAACAATTAATCAGCGCGTTACGCAACAGTTCTGAGCGTTTTTTTTGGCGTTTTCGGGACGATGGACGAGGGTGACGCATCTAGTACATTAAAAAAACGACAAGATAGAAAAGATAAAGGGTAAAATCAAAGTAAATGCTAAGAAACAATGCAGGCACTGCAAGAAAAAATGGATTCTACAAGCACGTCCAAAAATTTCAAAATAGTTTTTGAAGAAAATTTGTTTTAGATTTAGTGTCTATTTATGTGCAAGACCATGGGAATCAAGCGATCGCACAATAATTAACCAGTGTGTTACGACAACAGTTCTGGATGGTTTTCGCGTTTTTGGGACGATGGACGAGGGTAACGCATCTAGTACATTAAAAAAACGACAGCCTCATGCTCGCTTGTCGTTTTGAGGGATGGACGTCGTTTTCTGGAAAGGGAATGATACCCCTGACAGTCCTGGTCTATGCTGGTTTTGTGTGGTGCCTTCTTCAAATTCCGAATCTCTCATGTTAGATTTCCAGACTTGTAGTAACACACTAGGAACGTGATTAATGAAAAGAAAAAAACGAACTATTATCTGCAAGACAGATAAAAATCAAACGTATTATCCTGTACTGAAGATCACCTCTGTGGTGGAAACACAGCAAAGAAAAATCTGTCAATACACGTGGTTGTATTGGCCAAACAAGCAAGGGAGATTATTGACATGTAAACCTCAGGATATTACATGTTTCATATGCTCACACAATCATAAATATAGATTATTCGTTTGATTACATATACGTACAAGCTAATAAGCACTACTTTACAGTTAAAAAAAAATTATTGCACGGCTCTTGCCTCAATGGTAACTTTAGGATTCTCGATATCCTGTTTGCTCTGGACCAGCCTCAATTCTTTCTCTCGGCTAGTAGGTGTGGAACCTGGAAGGAAATGAAATGCTGAAGTAGATCAAGAAACAATGGTAGAAGATACGTTTATTTACAGAATCCCTATACAGAGCAATATAGAATTAAAAAAACTATTATCCACAGGTATTTAGTGGCATATTCTCAGCAGCACACTTTAGTTCCTTGAGTTTACATTTAAATATGTTATTACTGATAATGGTGATTTCAACATTAGATTTTTCCTATCAGCAGTAGAATAAAATGGTAATGACTGTATAGAGTTAAATTATACCCAGTTCCTTATTCTGGATATATGTGGCGCTTTTCAAACACTAGATATTTCAAAAACTTCCTTTGTAGTTTATCCAGTCTTTTCCTTGTGCCACTGATAGTTTCAAATTATCGACAATTTCTAACGACGAATCCATACGTTCTGTACGCTTCAGCAATTTTGTTATCAATATTATTAAACGGATTTGTGAATCGAATAATACTCCTCGGTTTTCATTTGTTAAATGACGCTCCAAAAAAATCCCATCATTGTGGTAATCAAATAAAATTTGTACTTTTTTTTCAGTGATAATTATTAAAACAAATTTGTTGAACATGACCTGTAATCTACATCAATTTTCTATAGCAGTTGTTCCACAATAGGCTTTAAGAACAGCAGATCATTAATGAACATATTAAATAAAAGTGGACCTAAGTTCGATCCTTGGAGAACACCTGAGTTTACACTATATGTGTTAGAAGTACATACTGTGAAGAATTACAAAATTCTACCAAATCCGTCGAGAAATCATCACCAAGTTTTTTTTAATGAGAATAACAGTCACTTGATCAAAAGCTTTTGAAAAAGTAAAAGCACCTCTTGGCCCTAAGCAAAAAGCCTAGCGCTTTCCCAGCAGCTGCCGCTATTGAAGAATACATTCAGTATGAAGTTTACTAGTGAGACATCTATGAAGCGTTAAGAATAAGCTACCTTCTTTTATACCGCAGGCGGTACGTTTCAATATCGCTTGTAAAGATGCGATGGTCCTCTCGAGCGATGTTTTTAAATCACCCTTAGTCTTATGCATCCACGACAGCATCAGGGAGGCGAACACGTCACCTGTGCCGATGAATGCTATCGGAAATTTCGGCACTTCTAGCGTAAATTTCTGTTTATTCTTATCTGAAACAGAACGTTTCGTTTCAGGTATGAGAAGACGCAGTGTTTGAAGATGAAGTGATGCAATGTGTAAGTGATACGCTAGATATATTGCAAACTGTTAACAATACTTTAGTCATTCGCCAGTTTGTAGGGATCCAATTTCTCTTATTTCTGGTGGTGCTATAAAAGTTATTTATTCACTTTGTTCAATGTCCTTTATGGTACCTCCAATGCAGGTTCTGGGTTAAACACAATCCTTCTTTGTACTTTGTTGAGGCAGTATTTTTAACAGTTTTCATAAATGTAATTTTTCCTTTTATCCATTAAATCTTATAGAACAAATTCGTTGTAGTTTTATTCACCAACCTCTGATGCTGCTAGCAAAAACATGCAGCTCAGGTACGCCCTCAAATTCAGCTGATGATATCACAACAATCTCACATCCTTTGCCATGTAACACGTCACAAGCTTTCCAAATATCGTCTGGGGTTTTGATTTGCAGGTCGGTTAGCAACTGCGCTTCAAACAAGTTGGGAGTTAGGATTGTTGCTAGAGGAATTACGACTTCTTTGTAGATCGGTATTAGTTCTTGCGGGACATAGATTTTTCCATTGTCTCCGATCACGGGGTCACAAACTGCAAGAAATTTAGTAAAATGGATAACAAACTACGAGGAATGTGTCGTAAATGTGAGGGGCAATCCAAAATCTTCGCACGACAATGCGCATCCTCATGTCTCACAACAAACTAGGTACTTAATCGAGCGATTTGGCTTGGAATTCATCACCCATCCCCGTTTTTTCAAATAAAAAATTCCTTGTGCCTGAAAAAAATGTGGGAACCACCCTCGTGTTTCTTGAGTTCAGATTAAATCGTAAATTAATCATTGAATAATTTACATGTTAGTCTAAACCAACTTAACTTTTGGTCTAGGTTGTGCTATCAGAAATCCATAGTAGCTTGAGTATAAAAAATAAGGAAAACAGGTTTTCGTTCCACAGTGAATGTTTTGACTTGCAAACATGTCTGTTAAAAGATACCACAATGATTCATATACAACAAGTTTATCTTATAGTCAGTATCAAATTCCCTCAAGGTTATAGCGAAACACTTGCTTTCATAATAATTTGCTCTAAATAACTGTTGCGATGCTGATTTTCTGTGACTGCATTATTGCAGTTGTAAAAACATCGACTTATGTATGGTATTTCGATGTTTCAGATCATTTTCATCCCATTAACTGCCACAAAATTATGCGGTCAAAATATTCAACAGTGCTATAAAAATATGTATATACATAGATGTTCTTATTGATGACATCATATTTTTGTTGCTGATTGAATGAATGAAAAACAATGCAATTTGATTTTGAGGTCTAGTAAGGCGTATCTTTCACCTGCGGAATATTGCAAAGATTTCAAATTTTCAAGAAAACGAAATTCTTAGGCACATAAAAATTTTCAGTTTTCATCAAAATACTGGAAGCATCTTAAAAACTGGGGAAGCTTTCCAAATTTTCAATATCTAAAAACTTACATAATACCCAAAATTTTAATTTTCAAAATTTACAATTTCACGATTTTTAGTATTTCAAGAATTTCGAAATTTTCAAAATGAACAAACACATTTTTTTTTTAAATTTTCATTTTTCAAGATTTTCAAAATTCACTAATTCAAGATTTTTAGGATAATCAGGAATTTCGAAATTTTCAAGATAATCAGAATTTTGGCATTTTTTATAGCTCATTAAAATTTTCAGAATTTTTAACATTTTCAAACTTAAAAATTTACAGAATGTTTTTAATTTTCAAGATTTTTCAGAACAAAATTATATATTTTTTTAAAATTGTCAGTTTTCAAAATTGTCAATTTTTTTAAATCTTCATTTTTCAAGATATTCAGAATTTTTGCATTTTTTAAGGACTTTTAAAACTCATTCAAAATTTTCAGAATGTCTTTAATTTTCAAGAGTATCAAAATTTTCAGTTATCAATATTTTCAAATTTTTAAAATCCTCAGTTTACAAGATTTTCAAAATTCACAAATTCAAGATTTTTAGGATAATCAGGAATTACGAAATTTTCAAGATATTCAGAATTTTGGCATTTTTTAAAGCTCATTAAAATTTTCAGAATTTTTTACATTTTCAAAATTTAAAATTTACAGAATGTTTTTAATTTTCAAGATTTTCAGAACAAAATTATAAATTTTTTTAAAATTGTCAGATTTCAAGATTTACAATTTTTTTAAATCTTCATTTTCAAGATATTCAGAATTTTTGCATTTTTTAAGGAATTTTACACGTTTAAAATTTTCAGAAAATATAATTTTCAAAATTTTGAAAATGAACAAAATTTTCAGTAATCGAAATTTTCTGTTTTCAAGATTTTCAAAATAGACAATTTCAAGATTTTTACGATAATCAGGAATTTTGATACTTTCAAGATATTCAGAATTTTTGCATTTTTTAAGGATTTGTAAAACTCATTTAAAATTTCAGAATTTTTAAAACTTATAATTTTCAGATAAAATTTTCAAGATTTTCAAAATGAACAAAATTTTCAGTTAATAAATTTTCAAATTTTTAAAAATTTTCAGTTTTAAGATTTTCAAAATTGACAATTTCAAGATTTTTAGGATAATCAGGAATTTTGAAATTCAGAAGATATTCAGAATTTTTGCATTTTTAAAGGATATTTAAAACTCATTCAAAAATTTCAGAATGTTTTTAATTTTCAAGGTTATCAAAATTTTCAGTTATCAATATTTTCAAATTCTTTAAAATTCTGAGTTTTCAAGATTTTTACAATTAACAATTTCAAGATTTTTAGGATAATCAGGAATTTCGAAATTTTCAAGATATTCAGAATTTTGCATTTTTTAAGGATTTTTAAAACTCATCCAAAATTTTTAGAACTTTTCAAAATAAACAAAATTTTCAGTTTTTTTTAAAAATTTCAGTTTTCATCATTTTCCTTTCTCTCCACATAGAAATCCTAGCTAATTTTGTGGTGTAGCTTATGTTGAAAATATAGACATTAAACATAATGATAAATACAGGAACACTTGTTAAAGCCTCAATATACAGTGTTCCAAACAATTCTGATTACCAAGAACAGGTGTTGAGCATTTTTATGCCAAAGATGAGACTGAATAAAGACAAAACATGAATATTGTAGAAATAACACTTTGGTGACATTACACTAAAAACTTTCAATGTGAAACTTCAGCAAGTAGAATAGGTTGAAGGAGGCGTTTGACAAAAATGAATTCAATAGTTCGTAATTTTTGTATGCACTGGAACAGCCAGATCGTTCCACAAAATTTTGATCTCCTAGAGACAAGGGAGCGGTTATATCAGCCGGTTCTGGATAAATGAAGTTCAACATGGTTAGGATGAGAGGCCAAAGTCAGTCAACCTGAATACTACATTGATAAAAGTCTTAAGTTGTTAGTATCAAAGTGATATTACCATAGATAAGTTTCGGATTTTTCGTTTTTAAATGCTTCACAACCTCGGCAACCTCTTGTAAGAATGAGGCTGCCCCAATATAGCCTGTTAAAAGATATGAGTAAAGATCAATTTCGTTTTCGATAAGTCCATCCATAAGGTCTCTGAGATCTTTCTCTGTTAGCACTTGTCCTGTCAGCTTTTTGTACCCAGTATGGGTGCAAAATTGGACAGAGTTTATAAAATCAACTTCCAGACCTAAAAGCTGGAAGCATCAATTGTATTTGGTGCACACAAGGGTTATATTTACAAATTACAGTACCTGCATAGGGAAAACAGCGCTTTTATTGCCGACATAGCCTGAAACGACGTGGCTTTGGATAGATAAAACTCTTGGATATGCACTTTCACACATGTTTGTCTATCAAATTCTGCTTTGTATCTTGATACAAGGTATTATAAAGTGGTCTCTGTACAAAGATAAGATCATTTGTAAATCAAGTAAAGATAACATGGCCACGCAAGACAACTATTGAAATATTCTCTACTAGACTATCCGTAGCTAAATTTTTCTCGAAATCATTGCACAATCCTTAAAAATATGCAAATGAAGATTGAAAAACTGCCGCATTGACGTTCTAAACGACTCCGTCGTTACCCCGGGATAGACATACGGTTTGAAAGTTAATCTTACCTGGATTGCGGCGTTGCCAGCTCTTCGGACGATTTTGCTACCTCTGCTATCAGCATTCCTTGAACCTTTTTGTTCGAGGCCTTGCTAATAGTTTTGAAATTTTTCAGAAACGAATGTAAGTACATAAGAATACTTACAAAAACGTTAGATTAGTGCACGTCTCTGTAAATTTCTTCTTATAATAATGTATTATAGGGTGGTCAAGATAAGGATCAGACTAGGTTAAACTCAGTAATCACACAATCTTACATCAAGCATTTGTTTGCAACGCCTACTTAAATATAATGAAAAGGTAAAAAAATACTTTTGTTTATAATTAAAAAACAAATCGTTGACGTCATGGAAAAAGCTGCTATTAGATACAATGCAGCATTTTTTTAAAAACATCATCATATAGTGCCTAAATAGTGCCATTAGTTTGTTGATATTTCTTAAAATAAAGTCAGACAAAAATAAAAACGATTTGGCCAAATTTATTAAAAAAAAACATAGGATGTCAATCCTTACACACAAGTAGATGAGTTGCAAGGCTCACCTAGTATTCCTGCACAGGTATCCTGTTTCCCTCAGAAGAGTTGGAACTGGGCCTAATTTCCCCTTTGGAGACACTTAACACCCAAGTCACAACACCAAAACACCACTGAGAGACAACCGAGAACCCTATAGTGAACACCGCTACTGAAAAAAAGTAGCTAAACCGAATACAGCTCTGTGCGGACTGCGAGCGCGTGGACATTCCGCCGCGACGGCGGCTGCCGAGAGACTGAAGCGTGTGAGTGCTGCCGGTCAACGTAAACATCGAGTCGCTTCGGGAGCAGACGCGCGGAGTGGGAGCTGGAAAGGGGCGTGGCCATACCGTATCGCCGCGGCGAGGTACAGCACTCGCACGCGTCAGTCTCTCGGCGACCGCCGTCGCAGCGGAATGTCCACGCGTTCACAGGTCTATTCGGTTTAGATACTGTTTTTCAATAGTGGTGTTCACTATAGGGTTCTCGGTTGTCTCTCAGTGGTGCCTTGGTGTTGTGACTTGGGTGTTAAGTATCTCCAAAGTGGAAATTAGATCTACTTCCAATTCATCTGAAGGAAACAGGATACCTGTGGAGGAAACTAGGTGAGCCTTGCATACTTATCTACTTGTGTGTAAGGGTTGACATCCTATGTTTTTTTAAATAAATTGCCCACATTGCATGCACTGAGAAATTAGTCATATACTGAGGTATTTGGGAAAAACTAAAATTTGGCCAAAACGTTTTTATTTTCGTCGAATTGCCACACTGTATCTAAAATAGCAGCTTTTTCTACTACTTCAACGATATATCACGTTACAGTTGTTTTTTTAGTTATAAACAAACGTGTTTTTTTTTCTAGTTTTTCATTATGTTTAAGTAGGCGTTGCAAACAAATGCTCGATGTAAAATTGTGTGATTACTGATTTTAACCTAGTCTGATCCTTATCTTGATCACTTAAATGCCCCTAATTCATAAAGTATTTTATTTTAAAAAACTGGGTATTTATAAAAGTTTCCATTTTCAGAGACATTAACGTTCCGCCGCATAGACGCCAGGCGACGCAAAATGTAAATAACAGCTTTTTTAGTTATTTGGCTAACATTGCTACGCTAAAAATTTTATATATCTCTATTGGTATCCTTCAATGTTTTATTCAGCTTTTTTATATAACATTCTAGCAAAATTGTCCGATGAGCTGGCAGCGCTGCAATTTAAGTGACAAGATCAACTACTAAAACGTATGTCTATCCCGGGGTAACAAGGGATTCATATAGTACGTCAAAGCGGCACTTTTCCAATCTTCATTTGCATTTTTTAAGCGGTGTGCAACGATAATTCTCATTTGTTAAAAACATAACTAGCTGGTTGTTCCTGGATTATAAGAAGTTTGAGAGAATCATTTCGTTTGTATTTACTATCACAGATCTCCCGTGCCGATATACTTAAGAATATTCGATGATGTCTGACTGACAGTCCAGTTCTATGAAGGCATTTCTCTTTTGCCGTTCTGTGGAATCAGAGCTGCCATGCGTCACTGCAAGTGCCGCCAACATCACCAACAAATTCGTCGCTGCTCAGTTTTTGTCTCCCCAAGTCCGCGTTTGTTCGTTAATTGCACCAATTCAACTTGTAATCCCAGGAATGAGGAATTAATGTTCTATCCAGACTCGAAACTAGGTACACATCTTCCGATTCAGACTGATGCAGCATTCTAAAATGCTCATGCTCGTTTATATCGATCATATTTTTTAGTGTTCTCATGAAGGCAGTGACTGTTTTCCAACTGTAACTTGACATCTCCTCGAACGTCACTAATGGATTTCGATCTAAGCAAAGAAAATATTCAACCCTTGCGAGGAGGAAGAAATGTCCAGCAATTAGGGATGGCTCTACAAGCGCAGACCAGCAGGGAATATCAAGCTGAACTCCTGCATCAACAACAGTGAGTTCTGTTGACATGTACTTTTTCCCTGTTTTTGGTTGCCTCTTGTGGCAGTTGTTTGTATTGCCCTTTATTCCTCTATATAAACAAACTGTTATCCCCAGCGTTGATGTGGTTTTTTAATGAGATGGAATGGTAGAACACTAACGGCCGTATCGTCGGTCGTTCCTTCGATTGTAGCACGCCTTTATGGCCTCCTTGATTGTCATAGTCTTTTCTACAATTGTAGGATGCCTTTATGGCCTGCTTGATTGTCATAGTCTTTTCTACAATTGTAGGTCACCTTTATGGCCTGCTTGATTGTCATAATCCTTTCTACATTAATTGTAGGATGCCTTTATGGCCTGCTTGATTGTCATAGTCTTTTCTACAATTGTATGACACCTTTATGGCCTGCTTGATTGTCATAGTCTTTTCTACAATTGTAGGATGCCATTATGGCCTGCTTGATTGTCATAATCCTTTCTACATTAATTGTAGGATGCCTTTATGGCCTGCTTGATTGTCATAGTCTTTTCTACAATTGTAGGTCACCTTTATGGCCTGCTTGATTGTCATAATCCTTTCTACATTAATTGTAGGATGCCTTTATGGCCTGCTTGATTGTCATAGTCTTTTCTACAATTGTATGACACCTTTATGGCCTGCTTGATTGTCATAGTCTTTTCTACAATTGTAGGATGCCATTATGGCCTGCTTGATTGTCATAGTCTTTTCTACAATTGTAGGATGCCTTTATGGCCTGCTTGATTTTACATACAAGTGAATGATTCTTCAGGTAGACAATATACGTATAAAATTCTTAAAATTGGCAACTAAGATTTTTATGGAGGAATTAGAAGCTGACGAACTGGGGCTGCTGAAACATTTGTCCCAGTTCTTTCATCACTTTAAGAATGTAAATATTGTTTTTAAAAATACAGAAAAAATAGCTATATCTATTCCTGATTTAAACTTATGTTTATGTTTGATTTGTTTATGACCAATGAATGTTAGTTTCATTAAAACTGGGCCATACAAGAAACTAGATTTGCCAAAAGTTTGTTGTTGATGTTTTTCCTTATTGCTCTTCATAACAGTAATTCTTGATTCACTGACAAATCATCGATATCAAAATGGCTCAAATCTAAAAAAAAAATACCAACTATAATGTCAAATTTTGTGATAACTGCTGAATTTCATTATTGATATTTATCATATTTTAACAATTCTAAACAAATGCTATTTTTTTTTAATTTAACTGAAATGTAAAAAACACCTCATTGGTGAAATATAAATATTTATATAACAAATAAAGGCAACATTTTGTTATATTCTGCTGACTTCAAGAAGACAATAATTTTATTTTCTGATGCAATTTAAATGAAATGCAACTGAATATGAGTAAGCGATGTGATGATGAACTTTTTATAGGATACATAGGGCAATTAATTTTAACTTTTTCAACTTGAATCTGCAGTCATGGAAAAAGATAATATCATAAAAGACCTTGGTGCTGTTGTAGATCATAATCTTTCTTTGAAAAATCACATTGAATATATAACCAATAAGGCAACGACACTATTGGGGTTTGTTGTTGTTCAACATTTAGTCTTACCTGTTCGAAAATAGACAGATTTTTTAACAAGGAATCACCCTCTAAAATATTTCCGTCTATTTTTCGAACACTCTGTATATTTGTGACAAATACACACAAATGTATATAATCTATTTTCATTTATTTGTCTATTGTAAATTCTGAGAAGATTGTTTTATAAAAATGCTTGATCATATTCATTTTTTCTGTTTGCACATTGTCGTTATATTATGGTTTGTGTATCGGAGAGTTTTGAAAATTGCTTTTCTATAGGGAGTTTGAAAATCTCATCAGAACATATGAAGGTGAAGACCCGCTAGAGAATTATTACAACTACATCTCGTGGATCGAACAGAGTTACCCGAAAAGGGGACACGAGGGAAATTTATTACCTTTGCTGGAAAGTTGCTTACAGTTATTTGAAAACGACAAGCGGTACACGAATGACATACGTTACTGCAAGCTTCTGATCAAATATGTAAGTATATTAGTAAATACAAATTTTTGTAAATTGTCTTTACAATACATTTTTTTTTCAGTTTGACACACTTCCCAACCCGATAGAGTCGTATCAGATGGCAAAGTCGAAAGGGCTGTGTGTTGGATGCACGGACTTGTACAAGGCCTGGGCGTATTACTACGAAGCCGTCGGAGATTTCCAAAACGCAAACAGTATATTCGAGGAGGGAAAAAGGAATCTCGCACAACCTTACGACGAATTGGAGATCGCACATAACAATATGATCATGGCTGCCGGTCAACACGTAAGTAGCCGCTTATTTAAAGTTTAAATGCGGTTTATGATCGTTTACGTCGTTTCAGCTCCTGTTCGGCCCGGACGAGAACCGCCTCCAAGAGAAGCGGCACGCTCTGACGTCGCTGCAGCCACGCCACGGCGGCAGAGTCGGCATGGTGCGCACCGCCGCCTTCCTATCCGGGCCGGGGGCGGTGACCGGCGGGGGCGGAGCCGTTTCGCGCACCAATAACAACGCGGCGTGCGCGGTGCACGTGTACGAGGGGGCGGGGCCTCAGCAGAACGAAGCCGCGGCGGCGCCGGCAAGCGTCATCGGCGCTGTCAGGAGGCAGGACGCCGTCAAGGAGAACGAGCTGAAGCCGGGACCGTGGACGACGGTGCCCGTCAAGAAGAGGGTCGTCGGCGATAAGGTCGGACCGGCGTTCACCGGTGAGCAGACCCAAATTTTTTACAGGGGAAGTGTGAAAACTTATTCTTATTCCAGTGCATTGCGATATCCCGGACAACGCGACGACGGCCGGCGCAAGCGCCTGCTTCAGCCCTTCGAGCGGGATCCGGCTCCCCAAAAACCACCCGCGCGCCTGCCTGGAACATTACGCCGATTTCCGGGTGAAGATCAGCTATCCGGAACCGCCGAACCCGGCAGTGGTGCCGATGTACCCGAAGGACCGCGTCTACGCCCTCGAGGACACGGAGTTTAGCATCGAGGAGTTGAGGGCCGAACGGTATCCGAGGGGCGTGCAACAGGCTCAGCAGTCGCTGCATGAGGTAAATAGCTGTTAAATTTCTGGAATTGGTAAAACATTTTCACAAGCAATTGACCCAAGTTATACATTTTGATATAATAATAAGAATATGTGATTATTTGTGACAGCCGTATCTGCGCACATTTGCAGCTGATTTTTTATATTAAACAATATCTTGTGCCTAAAAAAATTGTGGTAACCTTAGGGTGGATTTCACAATCTAACAAACCATTATTCTGCACCAATAGGGTACGAGTACCAAACAGTCCGTTAAATATACCCAATCAGCCTCAAGATCTCTCCGTCAAATTTTTGGCAGCAAATAGCATCAAACTATTCAAAACAAAACACTGTGAAATATGAAGAGACAGCTTGCCATTGAATTATGTAAAACTGAGTCAAAATTTTTAAAAATGCTTGATGTCTGAGTAAAATCTATTTTTCAGATTAGCTGAAGGTTTTTCCATGTTTACTGCAACTTTTGTATTTCATATGTGATTATATCACCTACCGTGTGCTTATAGTTTATCCTACATTTGCGAACTTGCACTTACAAACCCTTACATGGAAAAGCCTTTTCACTCAAATTTTTGTTAGGTGTTGCATTTCAACACATTCATACACTTCTTTCCAGTTCCTCAACGATATTTTAACCGCACTGGTCCGAAACCGTTCAACAGTTTCAACATTCATACATACAATTGCAGTTGCGGTTTTTTGTTTTAATTTCAGTGTATAATCAGTCGCACCATCGGTGATGGTACATTCAACATAACCACGTATTTAGGGGTTCGTGCAGATTTAACGTGTACACGACGTCGTCATTAGGCGCTCCTCTGGCGATGTCCGATTGCGTTCAGGTGCCTTCTGCAGGTACCTCTTCGCCACGGTCAGGAGTTGATACCAGCGCGGCTCTCGTTTTTTTTGCTCTAGGCATGGCCATCCTCAATTAATCGCACAAAAAACAAGTCCAAGGCAGAAAAACACACCCAAAACAAATCTCTACCGCAAATTCGTCAACAACTCAAATAAAAACAACAGATGATTCACCGCCTCGCTTTGACCGTAAATCGTCGTGGAACACGAGACACCACAGAATTATTATGATTACGTCAATACGAGCATAAAACATTACAGAAAGAGCTATCCAAGGGTAAGACGAGTTCCGAAACCACCCGAATCAAAGTGGTCTTGTTTATAATACAGTCGAATTTTCACGATTTTATTCAACATTTTAATAGAATCCACTGACCTTTGACAGCTTCCGTCAAATTGCATTTCGTTATGGTATTTTCCTATTGGTCCATAATAATAATGTTGGTGAAATCGGCCCTTAGACGATTATTATTAGTATTAATAGCTTCCCCATGCATTATTTTATATTTTTTTGGGTCCATTAACAACTAAATTAGTAATTCGTCGCTAACATCGAGGTAAAATAAGATGACTCCAAAATGATTCAAGGAATTTTGTTGATGACAATATTTTCAGTTGAAGAACGAAATCAGGCAGACACCGCCGAAGGAAGCACCGCACGGATCTGTTCAAGACTCTCCGATGTTTTATCAGGAATTGCATACATCGACGGTCGTCAAACAGCAAACTCCATTGCCGAAAACTCCAATCAAGGTGCATTTTTGCATTATATTTTTCTAAATCGGATAAATATTTTCGGGGATCTGTGGGGAGCAAAAATAACGGACAGTTGGAACATTTTGCCCAAATTCAAATCTCGATATTTTCGGAACCGAAAGAGATATCGAGCTGCGATATTCGTGAGGTTTTTGACCAACTTTTTACAGGGTTCTACCGGTATATTTCTTTTATTTATCCACTTATATAAGGTGAGTAAAGGAAGTCAGGTTTTTTAGCAAAGTTTGGGGCTATGTCAGATTCTCAATTTTTGATCTTGGAACATTTTCTATGCATCTTTTTGATATTTGGACTATCCTTAAAAAGTGATATCTCAAGTTTTCCGAAAGTTGGCTATAACTCAAATTATCGAATTTTTAACTTCCCGCAATAATGACTTTTTTCTGTGATGGGAAAAAGTTTGACATTTAACAAAAAACTGTCACTTTTATGAAATTCCTTTTATCCCCGGAAAAAAATTAGTACTTTTTTCCCGGATATTGAATAAACACAAAGTTACATTTCCTTTATATCAAAAGTACAATTATTAAATGTCCTTTGTATGAATGACACGTTCCTTAAACTATTCGGTACAGCAGCCGAATTTTCTTGTGTCGAAATTATATGTTTTTCTGCCATCACAACTCCCGTTGATGTACTTGGAAATCCGGTGTTATTTCAGCACTACCACACGTTTTAAACACTTTATTAGCTATTTTTGTACGGTGTGCTACCGATTCATCAACATCATACTTCAACGACCGCCATGCTTCTTTAGTGTCATCAAGTCTCCACCAGATTCAACTAAAAGTGTAGCAGACGATCTTCGAAATGAATTACCTGTATATGAGTTCGCATTTTCATGTTGAAGAAAATTAGCGACTGTTTCGGGAACCTTACAAAACTGGTTTTTACCCACAGCATGATTGATACATTTTCCATTGCGATCCTTTGCTGCTGATGGATGAAGTACTACAAATCTCATGTTTACATCATTCTTTTCACAATTAATAACGTTCCCGAATCTTCAATATCATCTAATATTACCTGTCTGATTTCACATATTCGTCAATCTCCTGCAATCCCAAATACAACAACCTTGGCCATTAAATAAACTCAGCATTATTTAAAAAATCACTAATTTGTGTACTCGTAAAACTCGCAGCTTTCTTGGGCTTGTAACCTTTCCCATTTTGTCTCAGAAATGTAATGAGTTTGAAATATTTTGAAATGTCTACATTGTTATTGAATCGTAACATACTTTTAATCATTGAATAATTCGACGACACTGTTGATGGCTTTTGTTGTGCCAATTACGAAAAATAAACCCTGCGACAAAGAACTGCGTGTTTTTTACATCTTCCATCCCATGAATCTTGAATTCGCGGATTCGTAAATTTTCCGCGATTTAACTGGCAATAATTTTTGTGACGCTATTTTGACGACTTCTACTGATTCAGGTGGAGTCAAAGAAAACTCGGAATCAGACATTTTTTACTTTATAGTATTAAAAATAACTTCTGAACAACCACTAAGTTCGCAGTTTTTAAATCAAATCACAAAATTGACAGCTATTTGATTACTTTAAAAGTTTCCTTAGCAACGCAGGTCTAATTGTCGTACAACATGGCCTACTAATCTCAAAATTCAAATTTCATATCGATATTTCCTGATTTAAATATTGTAATAATATAATTTTTCAGTATTAAATCGTTTTTCTCGTCACAGAAAAAAAAATGTGTATTATACACTGGAAAAATACTAGATTTTAAAATCTAGTACCACTTATATAATAATAACTATAAGCTCGACCCCGTATTTTTTGTGATTACCCTCTCCATGCAAATATGTAGGACCTTTTTCCGATTAGAAGATCTTAAATTAGCTCCCAAAGCAATACGAAAGAGTCAGTCATTTATAATTGCTTGAAAATGTACTTGTGCCCCCCTGAGGCTATCAAAATATTCAACAGCTTGAAGATACTTCGCCGTGAACCTGCAATTTATGCGGTGTATCTCTGTTGATTTTGCACCGGTGTGTGGTTTGCGACACGTTCAATAATCTTGTTGTCCGTTATAGCAGTAATATTTTCAGAAGCAAGAAAATACCTTGTCCGATCTGAGGAACCCTTTCACAAGTTGGGGCAGAAGTCCGACACAATCGGATGAGTTGGACATTTGGAGTTCGCCGGGAATAACGACTCCGCCAAAGTCGAGTTTCCAAATATTCGAACAGTCGTTGGCCGAAGTCCAACCTAAAGCTCCTAACAAAGGTAAGACACCGGAAATGTGGCAAGGTAACGTTGAAATGTTAGCGAGTGTTTAGATACATTTTTGTGCCATTATCTTGAAATTGTTAAGCAGAAACGTTGCTCAAGGTAACGCGAATTTACTGACAATTTGAGGATTATTTATGTTTTGATCAGGTACTTATTTAATTCTGTCTCCGTTGTAATGGCAGGTTTTCTATGGTCTGTTCCAAAAGTTCTGGTAGGTTATTGGCTAGAAAGCCAAGGTATCCTTCTCCTGACAACTTTGGGGGTAACAAGGCCTGCACTTGTACATGTTACGGATAAAGCAATTTTTTCCATAGGATTCTACGGACTATGGTATGCGATAGTCCTACGCGGCGCCCTAATTCCCGAGTGTTGATATCTGCATTGATTTCCACGATATTTAAAATTTGTTCCTCCTGCTCTACAGTAACCTGTCTTTCACGAGTGCGAATATTAGTGCGTCCTGTATCTCTTTAGTACACTTGCACAAATGTCTGGGTGTACCCGTTGGCGAAATCTGTTGCGATAAATTTGAGCTGCAAGATTTGAATTCTGACGAGCTTCACCGTAAACTAACAACATGTCGGCGAACTCTTCTAATTCGAGAACATTGTAAATAAACACGACGACGTACGCGAACAAAAACAAAGCAACATACTAACCACTGTTACCGTTTGCGATCGATTGCCGGTTCGATAAGAGTGATGACCGCTCGCTGTAGCACCCAATGTGGGCGATAAGAAAAAAGGCCAAACTGTCGTATTCGGCGATATACCGTACGCATACTAACCATGGCTCGAGTACTAATAAATCTTTCTCTCACAGCCAGAAGACTTAACCGGCGGTCTTGTCGTTCTGTGGTCCTCTGGGACATCCAGAACCCCTCGCTCGCTGTCGTCGTGTACACGCTCGTTCAAACGGCGAACTCTTGATTCGAGAACATTGTAAAAATAAACACGACGATGTACGCGAACAAAAACAAAACAACATACTAACCACTGTTACCGTTTGCGATCGATTGCCGGTTCGATAAGAGTGATGACCGCTCGCTGTAGCACCCAACGTGGGCGATAAGAAAAAAGGCCAAACTGTCGTATTCGGCGATATACCGTACGCATACTAACCATGGCTCGAGTACTACTAAATCTTTCTCTCACAGCCATAAGACTTAACCGGCGGTCTTGTCGTTCTGTGGACATCTGGGACGTCCAGAACCCCTCGCTCGCTGTCGTCGTGTACACGCTCGTTCAAACGGCGAACTCTTGATTCGAGAACATTGTAAAAATAAACACGACGACGTACGCGAACAAAAACAAAACAACATACTAATCACTGTTACCGTTTGCGATCGATTGCCGGTTCCATAAAAGTGTTGACGACCGACGCGCTGTTGTCATGTGTGTTTTAAATATTTAATTTAATGAAATTTACTGACTATAAATTTTGGCTTAATTTAGAAAAACTTAATACCATTTATTTGTTAATTACCCAATTTAAAAACGTTTTAAAAAATATGCCTTTTGTTATTAGCAGTACTTATTTTTCAGCGACATTTTGTAATATTTTCAAAAATGGTCATTTTATTCTGACGAATAAAAAATAATTCCAGAAAAATTAGTTCAAAAAAAAATTAAGGGATTTCCGTATATAACTTTCTTTTAGATTAGGAACAAAAAATCGAGTTGCGGTTTTTGCGAGCTTGTTTGGACATCATTTAGCTACTTTTTCATACAAAAAATCGTACCAATGCATTTATTTTTTTCTGAGAAAACTAACCATTTCTGTCGGGCTGTCGAAAAAAATCCCTCTAGCGGCCACATGTGAAACTAACAAAACTTCAAATGTAACATTTGTAGCCCAAGAATAGCTCTTTGTAACCAGCCCAAGTTTGTTAAAATCGGTTTAGCGGTTCCGAAGATACAGGTTGTTTTTTACGGAAACCTTTGAACACCCCTCACCACTTTATTTTTAGAGATACAGCAAAAATTGTCAAAAATTCAAATTTTCATCGACTTTGAAAATCAGTTTTTTTTTGCTAGGGCTTGCACTACGTTACCACGATGCCATAGTCAACGTGCAGCAACACGCAGCCTCCTGCGTCCGTTTGTTAAATCAGATTGCAACACTTTTATAGCACACTTCGTATAGCGTGATTTACAGTATCACTTTTTTATATTAAAGTTTGCAGTTACGCCTCTCTAGCGGACATTTCAGAAACTTGAAAATATCTTCCAAATCTTCCTCTTTACCGTTTTTGGTCGCGAGCCTCTACGACGGATAGGTTCTCAGATCGTTGCTCGTCCCGTGCATCGCCAAAGCCCCCGTAAAACGACATTCCCTGAAACAATGACGTTAACAAACAGTAAACGTTGTTTCCAGGGAGTGCAATGAAGACTGCTTTCAAAGACTTGAACGCGGAAGAGTTGGCGGAAACAGGATCTCGCGGAGGCATGGACGTGGCAGCGATCGCTCATCCCACAGAAAGCGCGAGCCAGCAGAGGAACACGGACGTCGATTCTCCTACTACGTATACGTTTAATTTGAATTTGAATAATATGGTAAGCTGATTTTTTTCAGGAAGTTTCATATTGTTATACGAAATGTAATGTTAAAATTATGTTCGGCAGGCGGTGAGCACGCCGCAGTACAAAAGGACAGTTACGACGGGCGGACAAGTCGAGGAGGCGGCCAGCGGCCAAGTGAAGAAACAGTTATTTGCGGAGCCCGCCAAAGCGGGTCCTCTGCCGGTTAATAAGACTGCTGATAAAGAGAAAGCTTTAAGTACGATTATCGAAGAAACGCACACGACTTACGCGTAAGTAAAAGTGCATTTCGCTCCTATAGGAACTCTACAGATCGAGGCAGTGGCAAATACAACTTTTTCCCGTTCAAGAAATTATCAAGGACACTTTAGGTCTATTTAACATCATTTACAGGCAGAAGGAGGTAGTCGAGCATCAGTCGACCGAGGCGGTACCACCCGCTAGCTTTTTCCAGTTTCCAGTGTCTGCATGTTTCAACGCCTAAGCTATACAGTCGTTTATCTTCCCCAAAGTTGATGATGGTTGATCCCTCAAGTGCTATGAATCCCGGTGGAGGGAAGAACATCTGCTGTTCACCACCAGTTGCAGTCTAATCGTACCGCCATTCTGTTCTTGGCGGAGACAAAAATCTCGGATTCTGCACCGATCAATCATCTCGGCTTCCGAAATTACGAGGCGCACTTCAATCTGAGGAGGAAGGGGGTAGTAACTAGCCTGTAATCGCACCTATAGGAAGTCTAATGATCGAGGCAATGGCAAATTCAACTTCTTCCCGTTTAAGAAATTGTCAAGGACTCTTTAGGTCTATTTAACATCATTTACAGGCAGAAGAAGGTGATCGAGCATCAGTCGACCGAGGCGGTACCACCCGCTAGCTTTTTCCAGTTTCCAGTGTCTGCATGTTTCAACGCCTAAGCTTTAGGGTCGATTATCTTCCCCAAAATTGATAACGATTGATCCCTCAAGTGCTATGAATCCCGGTGGAGGGAAGAACATCTGCTGTTCACCACCAGCTGCAGTCTAATCGTCTCGCCATTTTGTTCTTGGCGGAGACAAAAAATCTCGGATTCTGCACCGATCAATCATCTCGGCTTCCTAAATTACGAGGTGCACTCCAATCTGAGGAGGAAGGGGGTAGTAACTAGCCTGTAATCGCACCTACAGGAAGTCTAATGATCGAGGCAGTGGCAAATTCAACTTCTTCCCGTTCAAGAAATTATCAAGGACACTTTAGGTCTATTTAACATCATTTACAGGCGGAAGGAGGTAGTCGAGCACCAGTCGACCGAGGCGGTACCACCCGCTAGCTTTTTCCAGTTTGTGAAGAATGTCTGCATGTTTCTACGCCTAAGCTTTAGGGTCGATTATCTTCCCCAAAATTGATAATGATTGATCCCTCAAGTGCTAAGAATCCCGGTGGAGGGAAGAACATCTGCTGTTCACCACCACCTGCAGTCTAATCGTCCCGCCATTATTTTCTTGGCGGAGACAAAAATCTCGGATTTTGCACCGATCAATCATCTCGGCTTCTGAAATTACTAGGTGCACTCCAATCTGAGGAGGAAGTGGGTAGTAACTAGCCTGCAATCGCACCTATAGGAAGTCTAATGATCGAGGCAGTGGCAAATTCAACTTCTTCCCGTTTAAGAAATTGTGAAGGACACTTTAGGTCTATTTAACATCAAAAGGAAGGTGGTAGTCGAGCACCAGTCGACCGAGGCGGTACCACCCGCTAGCTTTTTCCAGTTTGTTGCCTTTATCGTTCTCATTGGGACCGTAACCGGGAAGGTTGAGAAGTAACCCGTTATCGGCGAAACACTTTTGATCTTGCGCTGTTTATATTTTAAGTGTCGATTTGTGTTTAGTTCGTCGTCGAGCTCAAGCGGGGCGACGACGAAATCCTCCTTGTACACCAACCAAACGAACAAAATGAACACGATATCCGAGGAGCACAACAGCTATTTGCAACAGAACATGATGGTGAACGCCGCGTTAAGGTCCAGCCTGTTGGGAACCATCATGGATCTGGGTACGAGTCCGGCGCCCGAGGAAATCGTGCCGCCTCCGGCGCCGCCCGCAATGCCTTCTCCTATGCAGAGCAGTCCTTTTGAAAGGTAACGTACCTTTTATTTTGATCCCAAATACGGCCATTCTCACCCAACATTGATTAACGTATGCAAGAAAAAAATCCAAATTTTCCGGTGTTTTTTGATAGGCTGTGTTTCGGTGAAAATGGTCGTATTTGGACTAAAAAAAACTTGTTTTTGACACATTGAGATTCTAGTAGGGATGCTGGCGATTCACTTTTGAAAACATCCGGTTTTTTTTTGGCTCTCGCAGTACTTGTAGTTCATGAACGACGAAAATGAATGAAGTGTTTTTTTTATAAAAATTAAGTTGTTCATGGGTTTTCCACGTAATTCTGATCCAATGTTTTATATGACAATTTAGTCTAATCATTTTAGCAAATTCCCCGAAATAATTGTAAAGTCTGCTTTTATTGGCGCAAGTTGTTCATGGACATGGACGCATAAAATGGGTACACCAATTTTTGCCGAAAAACTTTTTATGTGACAACAAAGAATGATTCAATCGAAAGCGTTGACAGGAACGAAACACTTTTCATATATGTAATATATTTAGAGACCTACAAAATGAGACCACACGCGAAAAGATGTGACTAATACACACTTAATTATGACACACGCTATTTCATTGTGAACCCGAATTTTTTAGTAAAAATGACCGATTTTGTGAATCGTTAAAAACCGTCCTACCTTTGTTGCGGACTCTAGTATCTGCGTGTATTTACGTGGAAAATGATTTTCGTTTTTTCAGCCCAGCGAGACAGCTACCGAAACCTACCCTGGTATCCCCAATCGGCTATATACCCTCCGACCCTTTCAAATCAAGCTTGATAAACCAGCTGTTAGAGAGGGTCTCGTTTCCGGGCTCCCATACAGATGGTTATATAGAGTTGCCTTGCATAAACAAAATCGTAGCTAAGAAGGAACCAGTATTCATAGGTAAGAGTTACATCATGTTACAGGTTTTTTTTATGGTCGAGTATGAATCAACTATATCTTGATATAGTAAATTATTACAACGTTTTTCTTATTTAGAATAATAATTTTGTAACAGTTCTTAAAAATATTGCATTTTTTGTTTATTACAAAATACTCTTGGTCTAATCATTTTGTGGTGTAAAATCGTAATCTACTCTCCATCTTGTTAAAGGTAATTTTTTATAATTTCGTTCCACATTAAATATGAGAGCTGAAGGTGACTATTTTCGGTGGTCTCGTCTGGCAGTACAGCGCCACAACCCGACTTAGCGAAATAATTTCACACCCAGTGCTGCGGTTTTTCGGGTTGTGGAGACTTTGATAGAAACCGGGCGCCTTTGTTGAATTTTGTTGTCGGGGCCCTTTTTCTTTTCTCTTTCTCTTTTACACTAAACCATTGAGGTGAGGGGAACCGCATGCATTGATACTCTGAGGCGAATTTCACATTGTTTACCTCCATTAAAAAAAAGTTCAAAGCCTTTGCTAAAGTAAAATAACATCCTAAAGGAAAGACGTGAAAAAACTTAACTTATACTTAACTAAATTTTTATACTTAAACTTTTTGGGAGCAAAATGTCAATTCAGAAAATGCCACAATCTGATATCATTTTTTAGGGCAAGAAAGGTATATTGTAGAAAAGCAATTGGGAAAAGGGACGTTCGGCGTGGTGTTTAAGGCGTTCGACTTGACGAACAATAGGAGTGTAGCGATCAAATATCAGAGGCCCGCCAACAAGTGGGAGTATCACATTTGTAGGGAGTTGCAGGCGCGGTTAGCCGACCATCCGTTGAGGGATAGGTTCATGGATGTTTCGATTGGATATTTTAGTAAGTATTTTTACATTATTCCATCTATTTTGGTTAGCATGATATCCACATACAAATGTTCCGTTTGTGGCACATCAATTTGTTCACAATTTGTGATTGATGTGAATAAATTATTATTACTTTTCATTAACGGCATCAACTTCTATAAAATATATAACAATCACACATACAACTGTAAGTTAAATTAAAATCATTTTGCGCAATAGTTACTATTCCTTCTCAATGTTATTGCAGCTCCTGATGAAGATGGCGAAGTCCATTGAAAGCTAGAGATTAATAAAGTTTAAAGAGTCGTCTTTGCTTGAATTTTGTCGAAGTACTCAACAAAAGGCGGAAGCTTTATTTTTCACCTAACTGGTCTAAACGAAAATGACAACGTCTCAAGTTTTATATATGTATATATATATATATATATATATATTATTTATAAACGGCATCAACTTCTGTGGTTATTAGCAGCATTTAATAATATAGTATATAATTGCAAGTATAAGTAAAAATATATAAATATATATAAATATAAATATATATATACTTATATATATACTTATATATATATATATATATATATATTATTTTTTTTTATAAACGACATCAACTTCTATGGTGATTAATATTATTTTTTCAAAGCTCACGCCTTAGAAAAGGCCGCCCGCCGGTATTTTTGTTAGGAGATCGATTGTCAAGAGGAAAGCTTTTGTACAGGGTGTCCTGATATTCCGTGGACATGTACCACTTATTTTTGGACTCGGAAGAAGTCGATTGGATGCGATGTGCCTCTATGCGAAAGTGCAAAATTTTTTTTCAGATATATTTGGAACCGGTAGTCCTAATATACAGGGTGTGCCAGAAATAACATTCCAGAGTGACACGGGAGATAGATTGGCTTCAGATCAATCATATAGAATCAACATGACCTTAGTAAATATTTTCTAGTTTTCGAGATATTGCCACTTTTAGGTTTTTTCAAAAAATCACTTTTTTTTTGCCTATTGTGGCTATTTTTGAGACAACCGAGTATTAATTTCATTAAAAAATTAATATATTTTGTTTTGACTAATTACTGTGAAAAAAAGTACCAGACTGAATCGGCAAATGATCTCAAAAACTACCCTATTTAATGTTCTTTTAAAAATGGAATGGTATAACATCTTTCTACTAAAATAATTCCAAATTTTGTTATTGAAGTCGTAATACTTGCGAAATACTACAAATAAAAAATAATTGCAGCAGTCTTTTGTATCCAAATCACCGAGGAATGGAACGACGGCAAACATTTTATATTATTTAAGCGAATATCTTGAGTATATATTTTTTGTTTCTAGGTGATCAAGCGTCGATACTGATATCCGAATTCATGCCGGGCGGATCCCTGCTGGATCTGGCGAATCTGCACAAGCAGAGAGAACGAAAGCCGATGAAAGAGTGCTTAGTAGTGTATTTCTGCATTCAGATGTTGGAGATGGTGCAGGTGATGCACGACGTAAAAATCATCCACGCTGATATAAAACCGGACAACTTTCTGGTGTTCATCCTGCCGAATAACACGATAGGGCTGCAGCTCATCGATTTCGGTATGTCGTACTTTTTTCCACATCTTTTCCTCCTCCTTTTTTTTTATCCATTTTCCAGCATAATTTCCTCGCAGAGCGCTCCGGTTCGAGCTGAGCATGGAGGGGATTGCATAGAGAGAGGGAACCACCGGGCCACCCCTCCACGACGCCACGTATTTTAACCGGACAAACCTCGTATATCCTGACTGTAAATACATAACTTTGAAATGAAGATTTAGTAAATAATAAAGCAATTTTCTATTTGCCAAATAAGAATTAGATGTTGAAATCCACGCATGGCTTTATATTAATTTTCAAATTCAAAGTTTGACCGAAAGACACTTCATTTTATTATAAATTTGGCGGATTTCTGTGGACAATGTTTGACTTTTCGCCGACAGGTTGCGGCATCGACATGTCGCTGTTCCCGCCCGACGCCTCGTTCACGAGGCAAGTGACCACGGAGGACTTCGTCTGCTGCGAAATGTTGGACGGTCGACCGTGGAACTATCACACGGACCTGTTCTGCGTCGCGGCGACGGCGCACGTGCTGCTCTTCGATTCGTACATCAGGCTGAGGAAGCAGGACGGTGTCTGGTCGATCATGCAGAGATTCAACAGGTACCGCTTTATTTCGTTTCATTTCTGGACAGTTACAAATTTTGCGAGTTGCATTTTCAGGTGTTTCGGTAAGAGTTGAAGAACCTAGTAAGTAAGACTACCGGTATCCGTTTATATATCTCCATCTCCCTCAAACATACACATTCAACCTACCCCTGTGTGCGAACGTTTGATCGGTAAACTCAATGGCATACGTTTTTTAGTTGTCGCTATATAATTTTTATCTTGCATATATATATTAATTTTGACGAATGAACCATGTATCCAGCATTCTCCAATTTACTGGCTGTTTCCCTCAACCAAAACGTTAATAACATTTAGCAACAATCTCACATGTATGTTAATTTATAATCATTTTGCACAATAGTTGCTATTTCTTCTCAATGTTATTGCAGCTCCTGATGAAGATGGCAAAGTCCATTGAAAGCTAGAGATTAATAAAGTATAAAGAGTCGGACAAAGCCAGAAACATGGAGACTTTGTCATGTATCGAAAAGTAGCATATAGTCGAGGAATTTTAAATAATCGAAAATTTTCAACGGAAACGAATGAGATGAAAAAAATACTTCTATTCTGGAGTCCGAAGTATGGGCTTTCTTATGCAACAGTCGCCAGGCTAGTATCTCCGTTATCTTCGGAGAAGATAGATCCTGAATAGCGACAAGCGCGCGTATTACGCAAAAAAGTCTTCTATCCAACATTTGAAATTCGGTTATTCGAAATGGGTGCCCTAAACGAAAAAAACTCTCTCCACGTAATTTATAGAACTCGTCGAGATGTACAAAATGTGCCGTGCGAAATTCCTTTTCTTTTTGGCATAAAGGAGATATCGGAGTTTTTGCGGCAATTCGCTAGATTTCTCGCTTTTTCTTTGAAATTTTCTAGAAAAAAACTACGGATGCGGAATCAAAAAAGTGACGCTCTAACCTGATCTCTCATCATTTAGGTATCGAATGAGACCGATCTGGAGTCGATATTTTGATAGTCGGCGAAACGTAGCTTAAAAAAGTCTTCGTACTACGCGAAAATCTACCATTTTTTCGACTTTGACTCCCGTTTTTGTTTTCAACGGAAACGAATAAGGAGATGAAAAAAATACTTTACTTTTATTCTGGAGTCCGAAGTATGGGCTTTCTTATGCAACAGTCGCCAGGCCCGTATCTCCGTTATCTTAGGAGAAGATAGATCCTGAATAGCGACAAGCGCGCGTATTAGACAAAAAAGTCTTCTATCCAACATTTGAAATTCGTTTATTCGAAATGGGTGCCCTAAACGAAAAAAACTCTCTCCTCGTAATTTATAGGACTCGTCGAGATGTACAAAATGTGCCGTGCGAAATTCCTTTTCTTTTTGGCATAAAGGAGATATCGGAGTTTTTACGGCAATTCGCCAGATTTCTCGCTTTTTCTTTGATAATTTCTAGAAAAAAAGTAAGGATGCGGAATCAAAAAAGTGACGCTCTAACCTGATCTCTCATCATTTAGGTATCGAATGAGACCGATGTGGAGTCGATATTTTGATAGTCGGCGAAACGTAGCTTAAAAAAGTCTTCGTACTACGCGAAAATCTACCATTTTTTCGACTTTAACTCCCGTTTTTGATCGCATTTCTTTCTCGTACCTCGCCGGTTCGCACTCGCTCGTAAAGCGCCGAGTTTCGGTATCGGTTTCCGTCAAAACCCGGAAAAAAACCGGAAAAGCCGCGCCGATGTCGAAACGCCCCGATCCAGACTCGAGAGGGGAAAGTGAAAAAACAGATCACTTAATATCATTGATTGTACAATGAGAGAAGGGGGAATGAAAACAGCGGTCCCCTTTTACCCACTTCATGCGTACTGGAGAGAGTAGCAGATGCGCTGAAGATTCATCCGCGAATAAAAGAAAATTAGAAAAGTTTGCCGATAATAACACCTGGGTAAACTCACAAAATCAAAGAATGCAAGACCAAAATTAGGAATACTTTACAAAGGGGATGGAGGAGGGGGTTAATAATTATAAAAATGAATGACCTCAAATCGGGCAATCCAAAATTTCGTGTAAAAAAACGAATACTCGCTGCATCCGTAGAATTCACGATTTGAACCAGGGCCAAACAATTTTTTGCTTTCTTACAGGTGGATGAAGGTGGACCTGTGGAACATGTTCTTCAGCACGTTGCTGAATCAGCAAAGCGGCCCGGCGGACACATCAGCTCTAAGAGCCATGCTAGACGAAACGCTGTGTATATTGAACAAAGATTCCAGCACTGCTTTGCCGAATCAAATGAGATATATCGTGAATCTACTTAATAATCAATAGTTCGACGTTGTATTCAATATATATTGACATTGATATAACAAACGATGATTGCATTAGAAGCTGAATAAATTATTATCTAGAGTTAATCGTTGTTTTTGTTTACGAAAACGAAAAATATGCCACAAGTTCTGATAAAAAATGTTCTTCAGGAAAAGAGGACGATATTTTGTCAGATTAGTAACCATTTGGGTCTTACTTGATTATTATTATTATTACAAAATATAATTTTTTTTTAAGGTGAAAACTTTTATAGTCACTTTCAGGCAGAAAAACTCGGCGGTATTGCCCGTTCTGAAAAGGTAAGTAAAAACTGCTTGAGGGTGTCCAGTGGGAAGGGTCTCTTTTTGATTTAAAAAAAAAATACGAACCTAATGAAAAGAAAATATTTACTACTTTACTTTCTTAAATATCATTCAGTCCAAATGTTCGCCATCCCTCCGGACACACTCTTCTAATCGCGCGCGCAAATTCTGAAACACTCACACTGATGTTTATTTTACGTCGAATGTTCTCTTTTAGCTCCTCCAGTTGTCGTGGATTATTGGAATACACTTTTGACTCTACACAAAAAATAATCGCATGGCGTGAGGTCGGGTGACCTAGGAGGCCAGTCAATGTCTCGAAACTTCTATGTAACTTTGAGGAAAAAGTGCTTTCACCGTGTCCATCGATTCTCTGGAACTATGGGCATCATGTTGAAACTATCTGTTTTGTTCTAGGAGCAAAAAAAAGTGTCAATCACGTCCTTGTATCGCTCGAAATTGAATGTCACTTAATCCACTTTTCAATAGGTTCTTACTCGGGGCATTTCTTCGCCAGCGAATGTTGTATCGTGTACAGCTGCATTTGAATCACCACTCTTCAAGTAAGCCTCGATAGCAAAAGCACGTTGCGCTCCGGTCCAGCGTTCCATTGTGCATATTTAGCCCGCATGCCGAACGCGTCGATCAAGACGCCTCCCCACTTTCTCGCGTATTCGGTTGCCGCGTTATTCAAATTTGAAATGTGAACTTTCCCATTTGAAAACAAGAAAGATTCACGCGGTTGCTTTGTCCCATGTTTATGTAATATAGCCTTATTTGCAAATAAAACTCTGATTATCCGTAGCGTAGCTCAACAAATTTTAAATCATCCTTTACAATACATAAGTTCGTTTTTCTAAAAAACGATCGATCTTATCGACGTCAAATAAGAGTATATTCTAACATAAAACTCTTCAAAAATCGTCGGGCCGTTATATGATACAGGATGTGGACATTTTTAGCAACAATGCATCACCGGCGATCTAAATGAGCTAATTGTTTAAAAAATTATTTGAGGAAAACCGATTTGACCGAAAAGGTAGGTAAAAACTGCTTGATATTATCCAATTCTTCAGCTGCATTGGGAAATGGGATCTACAAAGAAAACTCGTTTTAATTAATAGATATTTATTCGCTATTTAGATAAAATTATAAAATTCCAAATAAAGCGTAACAATTAACAATTTTAAGAATGTTTCTATCAAGGTAATATTCACATAAACATCAATACTTTTCAGACAATACTGTAATAGCTAGATATGCTGACTTACAAATACCTATATGCAAAGTAGTGAAGTGTTTGTTGTATATCAACCATTTGACTAGGTTAATCTTCTGTCAAATGATTAAGGGCTTTCTACACTTCACTGTTGTATTTAAAAACGAGGTAAGACTCAAATATGTTGATATTTTTACATGAATGAAACCTCCTATATGGAGAGAGACGAGGCTGGCAAAGTTTACGGATTTCACCAGACATTCTCGCACTGCTTATATTTCCACGACTCAAAAATGAAACCTGTTCGAATATTGTGGTGGATAAAAAGGTTAAATTATTCTTGAAATGTTTGTTTATGGATTTTCCAATTTGGGGAATTTTTTGTTTATACTACTGGCAATTCTGATCAGTTGCACACCACTTTTTCTTTGCCAAATTGGTCCAGTTGACTTCAGATCTAATACAAGCAACTTCTAAATATTGACAGTCTACGGATTCAGTTTGCTGTTGTGTCCCCAGTAACTGCTATTAGGTGCATGATACTTTTATTTGTAATTTCGCACTTGATGACACCTTAAATGCCTGGAAAAAATAAATTTGTCAGATTTTAATGTTTCTCTTGGAAAAATGGAAGTGAATTTGGCAACGCCGCTCTTGTTTGGAACTTTCGATTTTTCGGTTTGTCACTTTTAGGGATGGCAATTTTTTTAGAAAACATCGATGTTTGGAGCTCGATACATCGAAACAAAATACATCGATGTATCGAAACAACCTCTTTTTAACGTTTTCTGCTTTCAATTCGGCGACGAATTCATGGATTGCTATCAGTTTTAGCGGAATGGTCATTTTATCCGTTGGTGGAATTCCCGCGGCGTTTTTTTTTCTCGATTTCAGAACCATTAAGTAAGAATAAAAAACACGACAGCAACTTTATGATAGGATACCGACTGCAATATAATTTAGTAAAAAAGTATGATAAAACAGCGACCCGACAACTACACAAAAATAAAATAATCAGAAGAACTTAAAATCGTTAAATGCGTAAATTCGCTGTTTTCAGTTTATTTTATTCTTTCCCTTGGGAAAGTACAGAATAAAGAAACGACAACAGTCCATCTCAAGTCTGTAATCATAATATTGATATACTACTAAACAGCTTTCTGGCCTTTCAATTTCAAAACTACCAGTCCTCGCTTAGAGATGGCAGCACAGTTAAGGATATACTCGGGGTATACCGATGTTTATGATCCTTTCGATGTCGATATATCGTCATAAAACCATCGATGTTCTACGTCCGCTGTATCGACCGAGAAAATAGAAATTATTTGAGATTGCAGATCCGTGAATAAATTGGTCGATTCATTTCTCAAATTCAATTTTTTTAGACGAGTATCCTCGCCAAATTGTGATCGCCGCTGTTGCCATATTTCAAGAACATTTAGCACATTGCTTTAAGTCTACAATACTTTTATGCCTGTCGTTTTCACCTGTGAAATGAGTGAAAGCTAATAAAAGTGGAGAAGTAGTTGTAGTAGTATACAGGCGAACTATTTTTTCTTTTTAATCAAATTGAAAAACATTCTAAATTCCAGCAACGCAGCATTGCTTTTCTTTGAAGTGCAGACTTTTTTACCGATTTGACAACGTTTAAAATGGCCGCCTGCGATTTTCGGTTATGTGGCGACAACCAATGAAACTGCTTGATTAGAGATTCTACGGCGACTTTTGCAGACGACGTAAACATTGTAAAAGTTCAATTTGAGAAACACGCTGCTCGTGATTTAAGTTAATTTATTGCTATATGTGGTAAAGACGTGGTTTTTGAGTCTTTGGTGTGTAAATGCCTATTCAAATAACATCACGCTTTTATCTTTTGTAATAAAATTATGGGCGTAGATCAAGCGGTGTTTTTTCTTCCTAGCAAAAAAATTAGTAGAGAGTTTGACCACACCTTAAAAGACGGTAAGTTTTTGGTAACATAAACATGTATTTAAGGGTTATTGCGGTCTAACGCGTACACGTAAGTGTAGTATTTAATTCTTCACAAATAAATCTTGGAAGTACTTTTTATATGGCAACGAACAAAAAAAATATTATTTATTTTATAACAGATTTTTGCAAATTGCCGTGGCAGTTAACGTGTTATTTTTTATTACGGAGAGCGATCAATAAGCCAGTTCCATTTAGGAGGATTCATATTCTTTACCTCATTTTGAATTTCCACATATTTTATTATGAAACACTGTTCGTGAGTTTGTCCAATTTTTTTGCTGACTGTATTGTTTCTATATGCTTAGTTATATTTACATTTACAGATACAGGGTGTTCGAAAAATAGACGGAGATATTTCAGAGGGCGATTCCTTGTTAAAAAATATGGTAAAACGTTTTTCTAAACATGTGCAACATTATTGGCAAACAAATGTATAACACTGCCTTTTTGTAACTTTAATTTGTTGTTTCATTAAGCATTGAGCAGTCTATTTTTCGAACACCCTGTATATCATTCGTTTTTCTCCTTACAAAGAAATCAAAAGCCATGAGTATTGTTCAACATATTCGCTAGAAGATACCAACTTTAATTGAAAACTGTGCCTGTGAGAAAACGGGTATATCTGTTTGACCAATTATTCTTACAACTATACAGAGTGTCCCACATCCAAGTGCAGTAACTGATTACTCAAAAACTTGATGTAAAACAGTTATGTACTTTTTAATTCCTTTGGATTCTTGGCATAGAAAACAGGCGTTGAAGTGTATTTTTTATTAAATTGTCAACGCTTATTTTATGTTATTGAAATGATTTTCTTTAAAACAGCATATATTCTTCAATAATTGAGATACTAACATGAATCAAAAAAAGAACTGTTGAGAAAAGTTGAGGCTTGAAATTTTCATACGAAGACACATTGTTCAGTAATCCAATGTTTCCACAGGGTGTTCAGAAATTTAGGGCAAAATGCACCTTCTAAGATTGACCGTCGATAATGATTACAATGTAATTAGCGAAATTAATGCAGTAACATAAAATACTGCGTAAAGTTGGATATTTATCTTGTAGAATATGTTAATAATCCTTCGCACTTTTCAGAAGTATGTGATTGAATTACGATGATTTGACTGGACTGTATCAAGGACTAAAATCACAAACAGCTATTGATTATCACATAATTTTTTTATTGTGTCCATTCTAATACTACATTTGGTTCCAGTAGATTCAAAGCTATTATAAAAATGACTATACAAAAATCACTAGCTCATTATATACTCTGGTTCCCACATATTTATACTATTACGTTTTTGGTTTTTTTTTTGTTCTTTTGTCTACATATTAAGACACAGATTGATATTTGATCTTGATATGCTATGTAGTAGCATTTACACCATTGATAAGTTACGTTTCCATTGCAAAACATTGTTTGATGTGATAAACTTGAGTAAATATAATTTTTAATTACAGGTACGGGAAACTTGAAACTATATACATATACAGGGTGTTTCAGTTTATTGTTGCATAACTTTAAGATTCGATAGAACTTTTATAATTAATGCATAAAGTCTATATAAACATGGGTCGAAAAATGCGTGGCTTCCGAAATACAGGGTGTTTAAATTTACTTTCTAAAACAGTTTTTTTTAACTCTTGATTGGAGAATAAAAATGGCATTTTTATAAAACTTACAAAAAAAACAGGTAAAAGAAACTAAATTTCGTGCATTCACAATTGCAAAAAAACGTTTCAGGTTTCAACAGACAACAAAACTAACCGTCAACTAATTGACGTTTAACCTTATTCTGCTTTCAATTTCAAAAATATTTGCAGGCTTAAAAATCGAAATATCTCAAAAACGGCTAACTATAACGAAAACTTACAGGAGAGCTTTTTTATGTTGAAAAGTGCGAAGAATCAGTTTTTTTATTCAAAAAGCAAAAAATTGCACTAAGAAAAAATTTTCGGTCATTTTAATAGACCGTACAGTAGAGAGCGCCCTCTAGCGGCCACAGTAAAACTATGCCCATGGTTCGTTTTGTCGTACCAAAAAAACCCTTGTATACCAATTTTCACTGTTATACATCAAATATTGTTCGAAATATTTAAAAAAAACTATTTTAGAAAGTAAATTTAAACACCCTGTATTTCGGAAGCCACGCGTTTTTCGACCCATATTTATATAGACTTTATGCATTAATTTTAAAAGTTCTATCGAATCTTAAAGTTATGCAACAATAAACTGAAACACCCTGTATATTGTCACATTTATTTAGACTTTTCTTAGTTGTTGAGCTCTGTCTCTTCTTGGGTTTTATGCAGTATCACTTTCTTGAGGAAGATTAATGTGTGCATTTCACAGTAGGTTTTTAGCAAAAATTTTGAAAATACCAAGATCCACAAACTTCTCAATATTTCCAAAATTTGTATATTCTGAAATTCTTGGAAGTTGCAAATTTAAAAAATATTAACGTATTTTGAATACTTCGTATTTTTTGAAAATTTTTAAAACTCGTGAATTTTTAAAACTCGACTTTGAAAATTTTGGAATTTCTAAAAATCTCGGAAATTATGAATATGAAAATGGAAACAATATTTAAATATTTTGGGAACTTTGTTAAATCCTCCTTTCACTCCTAAAAGAACATTCGTAAATGTGACATTTAAATTGAATTGTCTATTTCTTTATTGTATTTAAAAAACATCGAACTGGTAAATGGATGTTTTTTCCTTACAGGTATGGTAAACTGGAAATCCTTGAGCTGAACGATAAAACAAATTACTCTGGTTTTACCAACACTATTCAGTTTTGGTATCAATAATTTTTTGAGGTTCTATTTCAGCTCAGAAAAAAGGTTTGGTCTAGGTAAATGTTTATCTTCATATAAAAAGATAAAAAAGATTTATATGGCTCATAAGTGAATGTAGTATTTGTATTAAAGTTTTTCGATATTTATTTAATTTTTTTTTACCAAACCCGAATTGTTGGCGAGCCTTTGGAAGGTATTGTACATAAACAATAACTTTATTTTTTTATTAAAGGTACTGCTGATATAGTTTCTTATTTCCCTATACATTGTACTTAATTGCTTTTTACATTTACACTTTTTTTAACCTTAAAATGGTTTGCTGAAAACGAATGAACATTATAAGCTGTTTTATTTTGATCTTAACCATACATTGATGGAATTTCTATGTCTTACCTGTACACGTGCAGCTTATTAGTCAGAAAATTTACCCGAAATTGATCTCTGCTTTGACATAGGAGAATTTTATTATTGCGAGTAGTGGAGCAGATATAGGATGCCGAGTATTGCGTTTTAAGCCTAATCTAATCATGAAATTTCGCTGTCTGTAAAGTCTAGTGAATTTTACAATAGACAGACCGACCTTTATTATAAACTCCTATTAGAATCTTTTGCTGAACAAAAGCCAACTATGAAGATAGAAAATATCTGTTCGCAATGCGAGGTAAATTTTCTGACCAGTGCACCGACCATTCGCGTCCATCGATCTAGGAAGAACTGATTAGGCTTTTGTGGACTCCCGGGTGCCCGCGTTTAAAAGATGTCCGCCGGTAGCAGTTGCCGGGCGCCGGGCAGGTGGTAGTCGTTGATTTCGTCACCGGCCGGAGCGCATTGGTGGGGGGAACACGTCACTTTGGCACCGAGACCGCAGACGCATTCCACGCAGTTGCCCGTGTTGTGCGGCAGCTTGTCTCCTATCTGGTACTCTCTACCTGTGGACGAAATAACGTATATTGAAATATATTAATTGTGAATTTGATCTAACGGACTGATAATCGCGTAAGTGTCGAGCGAATCAGGAGGGTGGTTCATCAGCAAAGGTTTGTATGCCGTTTGGTAAATCTTTCTCCGCAATTTTTTTCGCGCAATTTCAACAATAACGCTGCACGATATTGTAAAGGTTATGGTTTTCCTAATTTTGACAACATTGCTGCGTAATATCGTCATCGGCTTTCCGAGAGGTGTCAACGACAAAAATAAGCCGTTCAGTTTTAAACTGAACGAACTGTCGCCGGGCCTTGCGTATTTATTCCGTTCAAAGAAATCGAGATCGTTCTCGAACAGATCGCTCATCGCAGTGTTGCCGCTGCTTGTGTCAATTATGAGAATTTACAAAATTTACCAAAGCTTCTATGATTTTTACACATTTAAAACGTTTCGAACCATCATAATTGCCTTTGCGAGCTACCAGTAGCGAGTTGGCGACTACTGGTCTAGGTAATCAGTGAAAATGACACCACGATCAATTTTGAACTGAAATATATGATCAGTCCCTTTTTTGTCGCGATATAAACGATTCACCTAACAAGGTGTGTAGCTAATATCTCACCCATGACGACGCATTTCTTTGGCACTTCCCCACTCGTACTGGCCTCTTGCGAAGTCTCGCTGGAAGAAATATCGGGCTCTTCGGTGACCGTCGAGGTATCCTCGAAGTCCGCTGCGGTGTCATTCTTGGAGATCGCCACTCGAGCGAGCGACGAAGTGTTGGAAGACGACGTTTCGTGTGACGATTGTGTTGTTGACGTGGAAGTTGATGACGCGGCGGCTGTGTAGCCACCTTTGGAAGATGATGAAAATGTCTCCGACGAGGACGTAGATGAAATTAGGGGATTCGCTGGGACGCTGACTGGAATAAGAAAGTTTCGTTTAGGACCGATTTTGCCGACAGAGGATCAGCATCCTTGGTCTGGATCTATGAGAAGGCACCTTAGTATACAGGGTGTCCGTAAAGTTGGGGTTTTCCTTTACACGACGTGTAGATCTTGAAAACATAAGCAATTTTTCTTAGTACCATATACACCAATGTCTTAAGGGAACCGAGATAAAGGGCTCTGCAACATCAAAAATATCTGAATACCGTCCTGTAGCCGCGACCCGCCACGATATCCCCGACTGGTACAAGGTCTCAACCCGACGGCAGAACTGGGTCGGGGTCAGTGTGTCAGGTCAGTATGCAACCTTCAACCGACGGTTACGGTCACGTGCCATTAAGTGTAAGACAATCAATGTGGTTTCTGCACGATGGTCATATTTGTTACCTCTGTTCGTGGTCTGCACCACCGCCGGCGTCTGCTCGGTAGCGCATCAGCTGATTTCATTTTCTGTTGAAGCGGTATGATTTCGGGCAGAGACGTACTTAGCCCTTCTCGTCAACTGGAGAGTGAGTACTTCTTCCTTTATTTTTTTTTAACTTGGTCGCCCTCGTTTCACTACACATTACCTTTGTTATTTCAAAGGTAGTTGTTTCTGAAAAGGAAAGCCCCAACTTTGCGATTTTTTCTAAAATAGCGTATGGCACAAGATATTTATCGGTTTTTTTTTTAGTTTTGAGGATTGTCGTGTTTGGGAACAAAAGGTATGATGTGCTATCGAAGTCAGTTTTGGGTATCTCTTTAGTAATGGCATGATGCTAGGCCTGGCCAAAATATGATATGGTCATTCGCATACTTCAGCTTGATCCCTCGCTCTTCCGACAAAAGGTTGGGATACACCCCTGTTGGAAATTGTGCACGAGACAAGGATTTTATCTGCAAATATCTGGAGATCAACACCTACGATCCTTATCTAATAGAAGGAAATTCAAAGTGTAAATTAATTAGGTGTATATTTCAAGTTCGTACGCTTGTTTGTCTCTTATACGAAAATTTACTTGCGATATGGTCAAACGCTGGCATTCTGCCAGAAACATTCAAAAGTGCAAGATCCATCTCTACAAAACGTGTAACATTACAGGAACCTATAATGCAATCTTAATCGCAAATTAGCGAGATCCTTTAAGAGAAAGAAAGGTCGGGAAAGTTATTATTACTTATGATTGGTATAACTGTTGGACTGTTCTGCTCATGTAGCACGCATCAGTCCCAAAGCGACATTTTTTCTAGGTTTTATAATGTGTAACTGCCGTTCTTTCTCTATCAAGGGCTGTTGGGTCAAGACATTTGTTCTATTTGAATTGTTCTCATACAGAAAAAAACTTGTACTGTATTGACGACAGGAGGAATAACTTAAAAAAATAAAAGAGATCAAATTAGCTTTGGAGGGGAAGGGTGGATATCTTCGGCACTCGTAAATCGCATCTCCGTATCGTTGAGGATGGTCTGTTTCTCGGTCAGGGTAACATTAATGTCGTCTTAGGGTGAGTATTGTTCTCGAGAACCCCGTTATAATTAATAACGGTAAAGTATAATCCTGGAATGTGTACTTACGACAGGGTGAGAACGGTCCTCTGTCCCTGCATGGACCCTCCATCGTTGGCGGACAGTCTTGCCACCAGCAGAACATCTCGCCGTCCAGGCAGAGGCAGAACTCGCACGGATCTGGACGATAAATCTGGAACAAGATGAATTTTTATTACTGCTGAAAATGTATTGTACAAGTATATTTTGAGCGTATTTCGTTCAGCTTAAAAATAAATGTTCTTATTGGGCCATAAGTTGACAATATTGCGTTGGGGCTGATCAGTCAATGTTCTCCATGGACAACGTCTATGATGGTGATACCGTTCCTGAAAAACTTATTTATTAATACGATGCGACACGCGGTGACCTGGACATCTACCTGCGGAATAATTTCTTGGTTCTGTTTCTTGATAACAGAAAGTTGCAGTCAATGGCGCCAGTAATGTTGTTCATAAATACAGGGTGACTTTGAAGTTGAGTCATTAATTTTCAGATAATGATTGTAGAAGGAAGATAAACCAAAATAAGTGTGTAAAAATAAAAAAAAATGTTTACCTTGTTTTATAAAGTATCCTCCCGGCAAGTATTTCAGTGCGGACCTGTATTTGATCGTGAGGTCTTGGAGCACCGGCATGCCGTCCCCTGTGAGGTCTTAAGTCACCTGATTCACGAGCCCGTTGTACTACATTAACAAAGGCACGAGGGGTTGGTTGCACTCGATTGGGAAACCGATCCACATAAACATGTGCCATTTTTTATTTCGTTTGAGCCACGCAACAGACACCGCTATTCACTCACGCGTTACCGACTGACACTGACTGTTGTATACAACTGAATAAAATAATTGTAAAAACATCGTTCCAAATTCTTTCGCTTTTTTGTTTCCGATGCGATGAACCGATAAGGCGGATTATATCCGTTGTTGCCAAACACGAGCACATAATATTATTATTGAGACAGGGCGGTACTCAAACTTCTAAAGGGCTATAACTTTGTTACTTTAATTTTACCAGAAAAATGGTAAAGGAAAAAAACATTTATTTTGATCAGATCTACTCACTGTTAAAATAAATGACTCAACTTCGAAGTCACCATGTATAATAGAAAGATGGTCCTAACGATGTTCCCTGTGGAACACCACTTTTGAGATTTCGATCTGAACAGCTGGTGTACCCTTTGGGTGCTTCTGTCTCCGTAAGCGCGGGCTTTTATTATTGGTATGTATGGTTTATTTTACGGACGGAACGCGGTAATGAATTGAATTTCTGTCTCTGGCTGTGAATATTGCAACACGCTAAAACTGAGCAATCTGTGCTACGCACCTAATGACGGATCGCCAGCTGTCGTTGTATCTGTACAATATGGCGCCGGTACGTTGATTACTGCATTTTTTCTGCGTACTCTGGATGCCTGATTGCCGTCCATAATTGATTTGAATACGGGGTGGAACGATTATTATGGCTTTCAGATGTCGTAGGTCGTTTAATGGAGGTTGCAAGTATTGGAATAATCGGTAGCGTTGACGACGATGCCGTCTGAAACTGTCGCTTGGACGTAGAAGGTCAAAATGGGTTGGGGATTGCAAATTCAGTGGTGTAGTCTGGTCTTTTGTACTTGCGGAGCTTATTGGCATTTTTTGGTATAATGAGATGAGTTATTTACTTTTCAATTAGCAGCAGTATCACTTTCACTCACTCATGCATATCAAAAATATATTATTATAATATTAAGGTAATATATGGTCATCCAATAATATTTTTTCCCTCGTCTCAGCAACTTCAGACTATTCTTCCGTATCAAACCAGTTTATGGTGTCAATTTTCAGACCATTTCCACTTTTCTGAGCTCCCCCTAATCTGGTCCACATGCAGCCGCTGAAACAGGGTAAACTAGAGTCTTGGTAATTTGTTCGTGCAAGAAGTGCGCTTTGAGAGACTTGTTAATTTGCTTCACCTGATTGAATCTCAATTTCTGGTGGAATATGTTGATCCATGAAGTGTCGGTACAGTGAATGGCAGGCTTTGCACGTCGGCAACCCTCATTATGCGTTTGTTGGCACAGTGAGATGTGTAATTTACTTTTCAATTAACAGCTGCAGTAACGTCTTCACGCACTGCTGAATATTCGTGTGCTGCTCATCAGATTCCCGAACGCAGACAGGCACTAATTAATGTGCGTTGCGTCGATGTCTGCGTGGCATTTACCCGCCTGCACCGGGTTTATTTAGAACCGCAGCTCGCCGCGTAAACCCCTTCAGCAACAGAAATAGAGCGGAATTGTGCAAAACTTGTTGTCTCGGCTGTTTTTCTGTTCGCCGCAAAAATTGCTCTCATCGAAATCAACGGGCTGCACAGCAGCGTTCACACCAAAGAGACGGCAACGAATTCGGTCGGAATACACTTTAATTGGACAGTTGTGAGATTAGTTGGAGTTACTTTTTTCATTCCTAACCTAAGGCTTGATAAGAAAGTTTAATACCTAAACATGTAAAACATTGGAGACTTGCCAGGATTTATCGTAAATGCTGCATAGGGCCATCTGCAACTATTTATTACGATTTATTACGATTTTTTACGATTTATCACGATTTATTACGATTCATATGATTTATCACGATTTATCACGATTTATCACGATTTATCACGATTTATCACGATTTATTACGATTTATTACGATTTATTACGATTTATTACGATTTATTACGATTTATTACGATTTATTACGATTTATTACGATTTTATTACGATTTATTACGATTTATTACGATTATTACGATTTATTACGATTTATTACGATTTATTACGATTTATTACGATTTATTACGATTTATACGATTTATTACGATTTATTACGATTTATTACGATTTATTACGATTTATTACGATTTATTACGATTTATTACGATTTATACGATTTATTACGATTTATTACGATTTATTACGATTTATTACGATTTATTACGATTATTACGATTTACTACGATTTATTACGATTTATTACGATTTATTACGATTTATTACGATTTATTACGATTTATTACGATTTATTACGATTTATTACGATTTATTACGATTTTATTACGATTTATTACGATTTATTACGATTTATTACGATTTATTACGATTTATTACGATTTATTACGATTTATTACGATTTATTACGATTTATTACGATTTATTACGATTTATTACGATTTATTACGATTTATTACGATTTATTACGATTTATTACGATTTATTACGATTTATTACGATTTATTACGATTTATTACGATTTATTACGATTTATTACGATTTAGTACGATTTATTACGATTATTACGATTTATTACGATTTATTACGATATTACGGTTTATTACGATATTACGATTTATTACGATTCATTACGATTCATTACGATTCATTACGATTCATTACGATTCATTACGGTTATTACGGTTTAACGGTTTATTACGATTTATTACGATTTATTACGATTTATTACGATTATTACGATTTATTACGATATACGATTTATTACGATTTATTACGATTTATTACGATTTATCGATTTATTACGATTTTTACGATTTATTACGATTTATTACGATTATTACGATTTACGATTTATACGATTTATTACGATTTATACGATTTATTAATTACGATATACGATATATTACGATATATTACGATTTATCACGATTTATCACGATTTATTACGATTTATTACGATTTATTACGATTATTACGATTTATCACGATTTATTACGATTTATTACGATTTATTACGATTTATTACGATTTATCACGATTTATTACGATTTATTACGATTTATTACGATTTATTACGACTTATTACGATTTATTACGATTTATTACTATTTATTACGATTTATTACGATTTATTACGGTTTATTACGATTTATCACGATTTATCACGTTTGATCACGATTTATCACGATTTATCACGATTTATCACGATTTATTACGATTTATTACTATTTCGTCTTATTTACTTTCATTTTGAAACAAGATACTGTTAAGGAACCTCTGCATGCTCCAAAAAATCTATCACATCACATTAGTTAAATCTAATAAAAACGATTTTTCTGCAAACGCATGAACAATAGATAAAGTGGTGAAACAAGGCAACGCCGCACTGTCAAAGGTTCCTTCCTCGTGTGGACTGAGATCGATAATTTGTGTCCTGTGTTCTATTCTTCAACGTCACTCGTTTTGTGCTGTTAGTTACGCGGCGACGATGTTTCCCTGTTTGCCAACTTCTTTCCAGAGAAAATAATGTACGCCGAAGCCATGGTGTGCTGTTCATACTAATAAAACTCCAAACAAAAAGTCAAGAGGAGTTAAATTCGGGGAACGAGCTGGTCAGGACACTTTACTCGAGGTTCCAACCCATCTTCCGGAAAACCGCTGAGAAAGATACTCTCGAACTTGCTTGGAGCACCGCCTTGTTGAAACGAACAGCTATTAACCTGTGTCAAAGGAAAATTATCCAGATAATGTTGCAACAATTGGCAAATCCTGAACTTTAGGGCTGATATCTATTTTTACGCAAATTGGGCCGTGGATTTGGTGGAATCTGTTCTATAGATATCTTAACAGTCTTTTTCGCTCGCCATCCAGTTAATACCAACTGGGCACCAAATAACGAAAGCACGATCTAAAAGCATCCTTCATTGTTCAAGTTGTCTGCCAATGTCTTGACACGGCTTGGGAAATAGAGGGATCGCAGTCTAATTTGTTTGCGCTTCATTGAGAGGATCTCGAGCAGGAAGGAAGACGATTGATGGTGACCTTCAAAAGAGCGGACCGGTTGAAGCCAGGCATATTAAAACGAAAGGGGTGACGTCAATCAGTTTGTTATGTGGCCCTCAGTGCATATTGACGCCTGGTAGAAATTGCTATGGTATTCAAAAACCACTTAAACTCGGAGAAAGCCGACCCAATGAATAAAGTTGATTTATAATTGAAACAACGATGCAACTGCTTCAAATTGTGAACCCGATTCAGTCCGGGGGGGGGGGACATCAGGGCTATAGGGCGGCTGCGGAAGCGCTGGGATGCCGGCCTTGGTCAGGTAGCTGTTCACAAGAAAGGCGGTGTGAGGCGGGGCGTTGTCGTGGTGGAACTTCCAGTCGGCCTGCGATC